CCCCCCCACCACCAACATCAACATCAACACCAACACTAACATCACCCCAGGAAGTCTTCCAAGTCTGCCACGCCCCCTGCCTCCTATTGCTCTCGCACCTCTTCACCCTCGAATCCATCTGCGACCTCTCCCCCACAACCGCCACCCACTGCGCCACGAAATTCTCCATCCCACACCACACCACCAACCCGCACGACGTAATCACCCACCCCACCGTGCAAGCCGTCTTCATCCTGACCTCCGACGAAAGCCACGCCCAATTGACCATCGCCAGCCTCCGCGCCGGCAAAAATGTCTTCCTCGAAAAACCCATCACGTTATCCCTCCCCTCCGTGAATGCCATCCTCGCCGCGGAGCAAGCCGCCCCGAACGGCGCCCGAGTCTTCGTGGGGTACATGCGTCGCTATGCGCCTAGTTACCTGGGCGCCTTTAAGCGGGAGCTTGCGACGATTCCGAGGATTCTCTACGCCCGGGTCCGCGACTTTAGTGGTCCGAATGCCCAGTTCGTGAACCAGAGCGGGACCTTCCCGATCAAGAACTTAGACTATCCATCCCATACCGCCCAGGAACGAGAGACCCGTCTCGAGACGCTCTTCAGCGAAGTCTTCCCGAACCAACCCATCACCGACGAAAAGAGAAAATACTGTCGTTTCCTGGGGAGTCTCGGATCGCACGATATCTCGATCATGCGGGAGACATTAGGGTTTCCGGAGGAGGTGGTGGGGGTATCCGTTCATGATCCGTTTTATACGGCGATGATGAGGTTCCGGAATCGGGATGGGTCGGGGTATTCGGTCACGTATGAGAGTGGGATTGATGCGGTGCCGGTGTTTGATGCGCATGTGGCGGTGTATGGCGAGCGAAAGAGGGTGGTGATTAAGGTATGTGTGCATTCTCTGTGTCTGGGGTTGGGGTTGGGGTTGTGGTTGGGGTATGGGTAAGCTGACTTGGGTGTAGTATGACAGTCCATATGTCAAAGGCTTACCGATTTATGTGGAAGTGGAGGAGGTGAATGAGCACGGGGAGGTGCAGAAACGGACGATGTTGTCGTCGTATGAAGATGCCTATACGGCGGAGCTGCAGGCGGTATATGAGGCGTTTGTGCATGGGAAGGAGATCAAGACGTCGGTGGAGGATGCGCGGCAGGATTTGCAGATTTATGATCTGATGTATAAGAAGTGGGGGGAACAATCTAGTTAGGTCGGTAGAAGAGGGATCAGGATAGAAATATTGGATATTTACTTACATATCTCTGTCAAAGAAGAACGGGGAGTATCCTACTTCTGGGATAGAAATCATCGACTGTACTTATTGTATCGAGTCTACCCGAAGCATGGCTATGTACAGGGAAAGTAAAGCAGACAACCGGCCTTGCCCAGGTCCTACCCCATGCGACAACGTCTAGAAACGACCCTTTTAATCACGTACGCCAAACCACCCCAGGATATTAGAAACAGTATTCCACACGAGGCTAATCGAGTCCCATAAACAAGCAAGCCAGTATTAAACCCAGAACGCGCAACAACATCTAGCATAAGAACCCAAGTCACAAGCCGGCATTGGATAATCAAAGCAATTCATAAGTATACAAGGCGAGAGAATTGGAGGAGGATCGTGCATCACGCCTGGCTTTGGCTGGACCGTGACAGGCGAGAGGTGGACCGCCGGCTACGGCTAGAGGGAGCCCGCTCGGGAGGCGCATATTCAAAGAAAGGCAGCAGTCCGGGGTTCTGGCTAGGAGGCGTCTTGGACGAGGTCTGGTACTCGCCCAGGATCTGGTCCTCAGCAGCCGTATCCGGGTGGATTTCAATGCCCTTCTGTTTATCCAGACCTCCATGGGGGCTGTCTGTCTGGACCTTGAAAGCCTCTCCGTGGTCGGAGGGCCGCTCGATCGGAGACCAGCCGGCAATACTACCCGCCACCACGCCAGCCATCGCAGCAGCCGGGCCAAAGGCCGAATTCGACCGGGACCGAGTGCGGCGTCGGGACCGCGACTCCGGGGTCGGCGGCTGGGTGGGAGTACTGTCGCTGTGTTCGCCAATAGGAGTGCCAGGGATCGAGTTTTCTCGGGATCGGGACCCGCTGCGAGATCTGGGGAGGAGCTCTTCGGGATGTTGCAGCTTGTGCTTGAGATGTCTCAGTCGGCCGCCGCGAACCGTCTTGAGGAACTTCAGCTGATCCCGGATTTCCTCGAGAGCAGGATTCCACTCGAACCGCCGGTCCTCGTCGGACACCAGAAGCTCGGGGCCCTTCTTGCGCTGCCAGAACCGCGGGATGAGCCGGCTGATGAACTCATCCGGGATCAGTCGGATAATCACGGCGACGGGAAGCGAGATCACGCCCAAAACCAGCGAGACACCCCACTGGGCGCCATTCAGTCGCTTGACAGAAAACGCCTGTCCACCGACGAAGATGATCAGGATTTGACCGCCAATGATGATCAGCTGGATGCCCAGGAACCACACGTTCCGCCACATGCCCTCGAAGATATTGAACTTGTTGTCCAGTCGGCGACAATTCCACTGGTTGAAGATCTGCATCCAGACGAACGTGTTAAACACCATCGTCTCGAGCCGGTCGAGATCTTCGGCCGATCTGTAGTGAAAGATCGATTTTCCAGCAAAGTTCAAAACCAGGGTAACAACCAATTGGTAGATGCTCTGTCCGATGATCATTTTCCACATGGTCAAATTGATCAAAGGGGCCGATTTGGGCTCGGGTCGACGGTCGAGAACGTGGGGAGAAGGGGGATCGGTCGCCAGGGCGAGGGCCGCAAAGGTGTCCATGATCAAGTTCACCCAGAGAAGTTGGACGGCGGTCAACACGGATTCCTCATTGCCGCTCGCGACCGCGGACACGAAGGTGAGAACAACGGCCGTGACGTTGACGGTCAGTTGGAACTGCAACTCGATTAGCTTGATGCAACTACATCAGGACCGATGACACGTACCTGCAGGAACTTCTTGACGGCATCGTTGACAGTCCTACCCCAAGCCATAGCCTTGATGATTGAGGTAAAGTTGTCGTCCATCAGGATGATGTCGGATGCCTCCTTGGCAACCTCGGTGCCCGAAATACCCATGGAGAAGCCAACATCGGCCGTCTTGAGAGCCTGGGCATCGTTGGTGCCGTCGCCCGTCACTGCCACCGTTTCACCCAGCTTCTTGAGCTGCGAAACCAGGATTTTCTTGTCGTCAGGGCTGGACCGGGCCAGGACCTGCAGCCGGGGGATAATCTGGGTCATCTGGCGACTGCTCAACTGACGGAATTTAGGACCCTCGATGGCAATGCCTCCCGGAGTGAAGATGCCGCACTCTTGAGCGATAGCTTTGGCAGTATTGATGTTATCACCAGTTACCATCCGCACAAACACACCGGCGCGCTGGCATTGATGGACGGACTCGGTCACACCCGGTCGCAGCGGATCTTGGATACCGAAGACACCCAGCAAGATCATGTCCTTGAAGACCGCATCAAAGACGGCAATGGAACGATCCTCCTCCTGCGTAGGAGCACCACGAGGTGGCCATTGGTCAAAGTCCCGGTACACCAGGCCGATGGTTCGCAACGAATGAGACGCATAATGGTCGATGATTTTGTCCAAGCTCGACCGGTCCTCGTCCGACATGGGCCCCTCGGACAGGTCCTGTGTGGCATCATGAACGATTCGCGTGCATCTCGCCACCAGGATCTCCGATGCACCTTTGACCAACATCCGATATTTGCCATTGTCCATCTTGACGATCACGGCCATGCACTTGCGTCCCGAGTCGAATGGCACCATCTGGACGAGGTTGGCATTGTCCCGGGCCTCACTGAGAGAGCCTAGCCCAAGATACGTACGCGCAAACCCCAGGAGAGCCGTCTCAGTCTTTGACCCAATAAAGGTCATGGTGCCGTCTTGCTCCCCTTCGAATGCGGTCGAGTTCAGAACAATCGACTTGGTCAAGAGATCCTTGGCGGGGCCGGAAAGACTCGAAGCAAACTCCGATGGGGATAGGGTAGTCGCAGGGTCACGGCCTCGGTCGCCGTCAGGACGACTCGAGGCTCCCGTGGATTTGTCTCCAAACCGGAGGTTCTTCCCCAGGGTGGCCGCCACCGCCGTCATTTTATTCTCGGTCAGTGTGCCGGTCTTATCGGAGCAGATGGTCGTCGCATTTCCCATGGTTTCACAGGCGCGAAGCAGACGTACGAGGTTGTTGTCCTTGAGCATCCGGGTCGTTGCAAAGGCGAGCGCCAGGGTGACCGCAAGAGGCAACCCTTCTGGGACAGCCACAACGATAACGGTCACAGCCACAATGAAGATCTGCAGGAAAGCCTGACCCTTCTCGGAAGCATTGCCCATACCTTTCAACTGGGCGAGGAACTTGATAAACAGCACGATAAACAGAAGTAATCCGGAAGCAAGGCCGAGTTTCGCGATGTATTCGGCGAGCACGTTTAACTTGGATTGCAGCGGCGTGGTCTGGCCTTCATCCTGGAGAGACATCATGGTTTTTCCGTATGTCGAATTGACTCCAACTGCCGTGACCAGGAACGTTCCTACCCCTTCAGATACCTTGGCGCCCGATACGATGAAGGGGTCCTGCTTCGAGATGCTTTCGTGTTGCTCGATTGCACGGTAGACATCATGGGCGGGGGTTTTGCGCAGCACATCCGACTCACCAGTTGCAGAGGATTCATCACATTTCACATTGTGGCCATCAATGAAGATACCGTCAACAGGAATCAGATCACCGGGTTCGAGATGCATCACATCACCGACCAGGAGGTCGTGGATGGAAATTTCTGCAGTCTTTCCCGAGCGAACCACCTTCACCATCCGGTCATCTTTCTTCTTGTTCAATTTGACGAATTGACGCTCCTTTTGCCAGTCGTTGGCGGCACCCACGACGACCACGATGAGAATGGCCACAATGATAGCCACACCCTCGACCCATTGCACACGTGCCTCATCCCCGGTGGCGGTGACCGATTGGTAAATTCCGAGGGCGAGGGAGATAATCGCAGCTATCGTTAGCAAGATGAGCACCTTGTCGTTGTACGCAATCCAAGCCAGCTCCAGGAAACTCTTGGCCTTCCGCTCCGGAAGCTGGTTCCTTCCATAAACCCGGCTCCGGTCCGTAAAGGTATGCTCGACGTGCTTCGATGAACTCGTGTCGGTCCGGGAAGGGGACTGCGGCGCGGGAGAAGCGGACTTGGGTATATTTTCGGACGTCTGCGTCGCTGTGGCATCCTCGAAGCTCACGGTACCATCCAGATCCCCCTCGTCCAAGCTCAAGCCACTTCGTGTGTCGGTCCGAAGCCCCTTTTCAATTCCACGCAACCCACCGAGGGCATGGAAGGCACCCAAGCTCTTGGGGTTCAACAGTTTGTTCAGGTGGCCAGGCGAGAATGCAAATTTGTTGTCCTCCACCTCGAACTCCGCCTCGCGTCCCGGATCCGGCTTAAGGGCGTCCTCATCAGGAATAATTGTGTTCTGAGTCAAATCCGTGCGCGACCCGTGGGATGCCGTGGGAACGTAGGTATCTCCCCCGTAGGAACTGGACGAATGGTTGGAGTCCTCGGATTCAAGCGAGTTGCCGCGGGATCGCGTGCCGGGTACGGCCAAATAATTCGAGTTCGACATGGCCTCGGTGGTTTTCGATGCGGGCGACGAGATATTATGCGGAGAAGTGGGCCGACTTTCGTAGTCTCGAGGTTCGGATGAAGCAAAAGAGCGGACGGACGACGGAGAGACACCCCCACTACTCAAGAGCGCGCTCATATCATTCGCATCAACATTTTCGGTCGATACCTGCAAAGAGGGCTGCGACGGCGTGGGAAGGATCTGTTGCGGAGGCTCGTGTTGGTCAGTCGGAGCCGTTACTGCGGACGTGTCGATAGTAATGGTCGGGGCCCGCTCCCGTCGCAGGGGAGTCGGCCCTGATTGCTTAGCATCGTGGCCATCCGGTCTGGAATCCGGCATGATATTCAAGGGGTGAAACGACCGGAGATGAGTGAGTGGGTCTTGGAAGCGATGGCAACCGGCAGGTAAAGACTAGGATACTCGACGTCAATAAGAATGCGGCTCCAAGAGGAGCAGATCAATCGGATTCGGCCGTATCATAAACCACGAAGCCAGAGGGACGAGAAGTGGATATCATTCCAGATGCAAGCAGCACCGATTAAGCTCAATAACGGACGCTGGATTGGAATGCGCGTGTATTATATCCCATGTATTCTAGCTACAATCGAACCGCTGGGTTTAAGTGAAGAATGCGCGAGACTGGTCTTGGGGGGCAAGGAACGTCCACATCGATCGAATGGTCGTCAGCTGTGAAGCGCGAAAGAACGGGGAGAGGCGACTGGTGAGGCGAAAGGAGGGAAGAAGGTCGAGCAGATTGCCAGGACTAGAGAGCCACACCACGTAGCGTCGGTATCAGAAGCGCATTCAGGCGTGAAAGCTGTCGCACCACGATCAGACGGCCGTCGGATTAAAAGCACTGGCAGTGCTATGAGGGCTTATCAGCAACCAAAGGTGTTCAAAGTCTGCGAATGGACCGACTCCTTGGTTTGCAAGACGGGAGAATGAAGCGAATCCACAAACCAAGCGACCGATGAAGCGAGCACAGAGCCAATTGGGGAAGGGTACGGGATGAAGCGAGGACCCAGTAGGTTAAGGACAAGAGGAGCCGAGCAGAGGAGGGGAGGGATGGGTCGGGAGTCAAGCACGACGACACATCATGATGTTGGGTCGACAGATCGATGATGATAGATGGAGGGACGGAGGAGAAAGTCCAAAGCAAGTCCATCTACTTGGGCGTACCGTCAAGTAAGCGTAAGGTACCGATTACGCCAGGCCAGCAACCATTCGGTAGACCCTGCACCTGTCCCATCGAAGGGCCAATCAGCAGACCCCACTGCCCCACCGGTGGGTCCACGGCGTGGTCCAGATCGAGTGGTGTGGTAAGTTCGGCGGTATCGAACAAAGCTGGTTGCAGAAGGCGCCGAGGGCCAGATGCACTACGACGCATGCCCCCAGGTTTGAGGTCCTTTCGTCAGGGCGCATCCAGGGAGTCACCCGATATAAAGACAGGGCACCGCTGGGATTCTGCTCCTTGATTGACTTCTCTCTGACCTTGAAGAATATTCGATGAAGGGCGCCCTCCTTGCCACCAACGCAGCGATGGGGAAGTGACTACTGGGTAATGACCGCTGCAGAGCTCCGGCTCGCCGCAAGCTGTAACGTAACTCGTCGGTTCCGTTGCACTGCCTCAATGTACCCCGTCATCGAAGTCTTGGGGTCTGGATTTGAATTTTTCCCCTCCCTTTTTCGGAGGGTATCTTTAATTTATTTGTCTTTTTTATTATCCGCTGGTATTATTGATTTGATACTCCGTACTGTCTTTCATGTCGACTCCCTTGTGGCATTCCCAACCCGGTTTGCAGACGCCTGTCCAGTGCCACCACCTGATGGACTGTACATAGTAGACCGAAAAAGTGGTGACGGAAGAGACCACATCCACCTCGTTAGTGCTTCTCTAGTCGGGACAACTAACGGGCGAGCTAGAATTAAGGGGAATGGAATCTCCCCAATTTCCCGGGAGCCCTCACTGGAGTCGGGATAGTGAGGCAACTTTGCCCGGACCAGAAGGGCTACTAACCGTAATCATACTTCATGCCGCTGTCCGTCAGTCCTGTTATGATCGGATGGTTATCAACTTATCGTATTCGGATGTTCATCAGTTCATGATGGACCTGCCTTGACAGTGTTGAGTGTTGACCAAGAAAGGGGCTCCACTCGGTCCACGTACTATGCAGCATGCTATCTACACGACAAGGAAATGGAAGGATAACTAGCTATCCTGCTTAACGCAGTTCTAATAACGACGATGCATTAATGTTTGGGCTAGTCGGGCTAATGCACGCTATCCATCAGGTCTAACCGCCGGAATTGCAAGGAAAAGAACCTTCCATGTCCACCTTGTTCTCTCTATACCAGATTTCTTCTCCAGCTGTCAGTGATGTACCTGATCCAGCATCTTCATCAATCAAACCTGGCCACCAGATGACGCTGTCCACAATGCTCCAGTCCAACAGTCTAGGCCTGTGGACACCCGACCCAGCTGGCTTGGAGATCAGGAGAAACAACCACCAGATTTGGCGGAACTGGGAAGGGGGCGGTGCAAAGCCCCATCCATATTCCCTCCACGTATGGGAACCTGACTAGTACTAAGGTTAGCGTTTATTGTCCTCGTCTGGAAGAATGTTCCTCTCCCTCCTTTTACTACTTTGACTTTGGACTGCTCCATTCCGGCGCATCCCATTCCCACTCCTGCTAGCCAGTGACATCAACATCGAGCACATCCATCGTACACAGTACATCCTCCGTATTATTCTCCGGATGGAGCCCTCATCCCGGTTTGCCGTTGCACCATCATCGTGATTCATCCGGGAGCTTGATAGGACCGGTGTATCGACCCCAACCACCGCCATGCAATCAATCACCCTGACTTGTCAGTTCGCTCTGCTAAGCTCTCCTAGACCGAGAGGTTACATGCATAGCATAGCCACCACAATGGCGAGATCCGGTGATACGAATGTCGTCAGCTTGAGCTCCTACCTAGATACCTACCCAAATCCAAAGCTCCGTTGAGCTCCGTTGAGCAGATTGCTACCCTATCCTACGTACATACACAGTAGTCAATTACATAGATCGTATCTCTGTACGGAGTACCATGTATCTATATGTGTCCACACTTCCCCAAAGTGGAAAATGTGCTCCCAAACAGGGAAAACCCATACACAAGGACCTTCGTCACACAACAATCTGTACAGAGTAAACCACGCATGATGTGATCTTGCCATCAACAGGACCCCTACACTACCCTTGGCAGAAACCCCATTACTCCGTAGTTTATTCCTCCCAAAATCCCAAATGTCATACCTACCTACCACCTTCCGTATCTAGATCCTACCCCGAGAATGCTATGTCTCAAGCAAACACCCATCCATCCCCCTCCTACATCAAAGGTAGAAAAAACAAAACAAAAACCTCTCATTCCGATTCACTAAATTATGTGTGTAATTTGACTTTTCATCAGGAGATACTAGAGACTAAATGGATTAAGGTTCCACATAGGTTCTTGGTTGGCTGGTTGCCTAGTACTTCCTTTCTTGTCTGGACTTGGCTTGGGGGAGTATTTTTGCGTGAAATAGATATCGAATCTATTACCAATCCGACTGCGGAGTAATATACATACATATTACATACACATGTAGTCAGTTGATTGTTTGAATAGAGAATTACTTTTCCGGGAAGTTCTCTTTTACGAAGTATACGGAGGACTTTGTTCATATCAAATTATATTGTGTCAGTGAGGTACTACTGGTTACTACAGTAGTAGGACATAGTCTTATCATTGGTCTATAATGCAGGAGAATAAGTCGAGGAGTAGCAATTCCATTGTTGTAGTGTAGATTGCTTTACTCATACGAAAGTGTGACGACACGAATAGTATCAAGATAGCCATTGGCTGTGACAAGTAGTATAGAACTAATATCGATAGTCTCTGCTTATCCTATTGCACCGTGTCTTACGGAGTACTCCGTACTAGCTGCCTCTATGTCAATGAGGCAGTGCTGGGCAGAGCAGCAAGTTTATCTGCAGGCAACGTAGATATCCGGGATGCAGTGCCCACACCGCAATTGCAAAGTCCAGCCACACCCCACCAATTGTCCCTGATTCAAAAGTCCAAACGTAAAGATCTCTTGTTCATTTTCATGTCGAGGTAATCCCTGGAAATGCGCCGGAAATGATCCCTCCGAGCCTGTCACATGCAAAAATCCCCGGAATCCTTCCGGCCAGAAGTGATTCGGAATATCGTAGAAAAATGAGAAATATGAGGGTAATATACACGCCGGTTTATCCTTCGTCAAAATACACTTCATTGCGCCGGCGTCGTGTCATTCTCCTCTTCGGGCGCCTCGGCGGTCCAGATCCCCAACGACTCGCCCCCCAGAAGTCTCACGCCCGGTTTGGCACGAGTGTTGACCATGGCTTTGCTGGACAGTGCCAGCGCATTCACCAACTCCCCGACCCGCCGGGATGCAACAAAGCTGCTCGTCAGGTGCTCCACCTCAGCCACCTGGGTGGCCAGGTTCATGCATTGCACCAGGAGCTCGCTACTGAGCACATGCGCCGAGTAGTACATCGCACTGTGGTAGTCGAGGAACAACTCCGGAAGGTAGGTGTTTCGAATCTCTTCCAATTCCGCCTGGTCCGCGTCTGTAACAATCCAGTCCGTCAGCAATTCGCTCGGCCTACCGCGGAGATCGCTTACCATTCTCGTAGTTGACTAGCCACTCATCTAACATAGCATCAATGTGGAGGCTGCTGTCGTCCAATGCATCCTGCAGCTCTTCCCTCAAATTCTTGAGAGTGCCGGAATCCCGCCGGCGTTTAGTCCTGTGCCAGTGGTCAGTATTATCCGACTTGATTCTGCAAGATCATCACATACTTTTCAAGTTTCTCAAACACGATGGCGAACTTCTCCAGCGCGGCAAATGCCAAGATCAGCACTTCCAGGTCACGCATGGTCTGCGATTGCTGTAACAAGATGCTGGTCTGGCTACCCGACGCAACCCCGTTGGTTTTCGACCGAGAACGCTTGTGAGGAGAGCTGACCAGCCTGGATTTGCTTGGACTGGAAGGTTCCGGGGTGTTGATCTCTTGCCCAGCCTCGATTTCAAGGGTGAATTCAGAAATATCAAACCCGAACGCTTCTCGCGAGAGGTCCGAAAGTCTCATCCGCCGACTCAACTCCCGTGCTGCAGAGAGTCTGCCCGAAGCTGTGGTAACGTTAGCCTACATCTCCTAGCTGCAAGAGATGGACGTACTATAGAATTTCCGGTACAACAGAGCTCCCAGCTGACAGATCCGACCCCACTGTCCATCGACGTAGCGAAGCCACTCGAGACTACGAATGACCCGTTCGTCGTTTTCGGATACCTCGGTGCCGATGAAATCCTTCTTCACGGGCACCAATTCATAGTTGCCATCCTTGCGGGTCACAACCTTCGGGTACTGCTTGACCGTCCGGGTGTGGTCAATGGCAGAGACACTCGCGCTCACCCACTCCCATTGAGCTTGCAGAACCGCCTCGACATCAATGCCATGCTTCTCCATGAGCCTAACCAGTAGCCTCCTCTCTCTAGGGTCCACAATTTCGATCAAGACTTGAGCCAGAACGGACTGCGCCATTTCTTCAGGGAGAAGGGACGCATAGGCAGGGATGATATCCACGACGCCGGCTTCCTCCAGATTAGCGATATACCCAATCACATTCACGCAAGCGGTGTTGTAGAACTGAGTGTCGGCGCGGACGTATCCAATGGAACAAGTGACGATGTAGAGATGAGTGGCAATCCGCAATGCATCAGCATCTTCAGCCGTGATGACAAAGCTGTCATCAACGGATGTCGGCGACACATCAGGTACGAACGATGACTGGTCCGATCGGCTGTTCGCGACCTGGGACACGGCGTTGGCTAGGGAGTAGAAGAACGTGTCGTATCCTTTGCCCAAGATGGCGGCCTGGATCGTGCGGTATGGGTTCCGAGCCTCGCTTCCAACACGATCGTTGCCTCGAGTGTACTGCACGAACTTGTTCAAATCGGCGTATCCCGCTGGCTCCGGCACGAACGAAACAGGCGCCGTGGGCGAATGACTGAGCTTCCGCTGGAACTGCTTGCAGAACCCCTGGTAGCGGGAGAGTAGGACGCTGTTGAAGTAGACGTAGAGGTAGTCATCCCAGGTATGACAGACCTTGAAGGCCGCTTCCGTCTCACCGCAGAGCAAGGAATAAACCGCCCGCTCAAAGTCCTCCGTATATGAGCTCCGTGTCAGAGCAGTGCAGGCGGCCCGCCAGGAATCCTGAGAGCGCCAGTTCATCATGCGCGTGTGTCCATCATCGACAGGCGTCCTGCCCGTGTGGGCCTCAACATCCACGCTAGATCCACAGATGCTGACTGCTCGCCAATGTTCCAGCCGCTCTGCGCACCACTCCCGGATCTTGGACCAACTCTCTCCGTGCCTCAGCATCTTCCAGCAAGTCATCCAGGTAGCGCGCTCGTAAAATTGGTCCTGCGTCTGCAGGCTGTGCTTCTGTCGCGTAACGGCGTCCGGATCTAATTGAGTAACCAATGGCTCTGATTTGTCCGAGCTCAGAAGCGAATCGGAGATTCCCGGATTGTTCGGCTCGAGAGGTTGAGGCCAGGCTCGCAGTCGCTTTTGTCCCTTGATTGCTTCCTTGGTGTAAAGCCAGCCATGCGACCACAGTCCTTGTCCTCTTTCGGCCTGTGTTTCTAACTCGGTGATTAGCGAGTCCATGTCTTTGCTGGTGGTCTTTGCTGTGTGTTCCAGCCACTTCATGACGATGACGCATTCTGTCGCATAATGGTCCGCGGACAAGAACTGTTCCCAAACTTCGCGATCGGACGAGTACCGGTGGAGCTTTTGGAAGACAGTTTCTTGTGCTTGCTTGCAGCTCGCTCTGCGGGGCGGATCGTCGATGCTGATGAGATTAAGGAGCAGCCGCCAGGTGTCGGCTTCCAGCTGTAGTCGCTGAAGCTCCTCTTCGGTCTTGGGATCCAGGGACGTTCCGTTGCTTCGAGCAGCACCCAACCCCAATTTGGCCCGCTTCAATGTGTTCTGTTTCGAGATATCGCCGATGGCGTCCTGCGCAAGGGTCTGGTAGCTCTTCACCAATTGATAGGCAGCTTGGTAGTTTGCAAATTCATCGGAGCGATTGCCCTTTTGTTTGAAACGGTCCAATTTCTCGGCGAAAGCCTCGATCTGGCGCGTCACTCGATCTGCAGTGCGGCGAAGGGGATGCAATGCCTCCTGCGCGCCCGCCGAGGTGAATAGGTCCGGAGTTGCGACATCTAGTCCGTCTAGCATGCGGTCAGCCTTCGCAGTCACGCCAGGGGTCGTAAACAGCGTACTGTGTCCATTCGGAGCGAAGCCCAGGTCCAGCGGCGATTCACTTCCATTCATCACATCAGCAGACTCGTCCTCCGACTCCTCGTCTTCGTCGACGTAATCGTCTTCCATTTCCTCCTCGTCGTCATCGTCGTTGGGGTCCAGGGCATCGCCTTCATCTTCCATTGATTCATCGTCGTCATCCTCGATCTCGATGATTTCCGCCTCGTGTGTCGATTGTTGGGAGGGCTAGAAATTGAAGCATCGGTCGGTCAGCGCAGCGCCTGCAAGCAGGCCAAAACAAAGGCACTTACGTTGATGGACGTGAAACCAGCAGGGGCGCCCGGGCCCGTGGCCCTGGTCAAGGGAGCCATGAGCGCGCGGAGATTCCGGGGGACTGGTCGGGAGGGGGTGAGTCGGGGAAGATGGGAGAAGGAGGAGTGTTTCGCGAGGGACCTTAAGCTTCCCAGGAGGGTTCGGGGAAGAACTGGAACTTCCAATCTTCTTCCTCCTACTCTTTTTGGCCGTGTTTTGGGCCGACGGGCCACTAGCCTAGATCGGGCCTAGCGCCAACACACATTGATTGAAAAACGCGCGCTTCGATTTTTCCCTCTCTTTCTTTTTCTTTTCTTCTTCATGTCTTTTAGGCAATCATTAGAGTCTCGGGACGAGCGGTTTCAATCTTCGTTCAGGTCAAAACGGCCTCTTTGCGTGCTCAAGATTGTCTTAGAACAATCTGGCAATTCTCATAATCCTAGCTCCTACTCTGCATGGGAGCTCAGACTACAAGGGAATTGTCACATCCAGCTTCAGCTTGTCTGGGATGGACTAAGGCTGTTGCAGCCGACGTCAAACTTGGAGTTTATCTCTATTCTATGTCGACAAGTATATTGGTAGTATGTACATGATCAGTACGGAGTAGATCTTGGGAATTCCCAAAGCCTCAAGGCACTAGGAAGACTCCTGGCCGCGTTGCTTCATCCTCAGTCGCAGCAAATTGGGTTTGGGGCAGCTGGGTGTCCGGGCGTCCTCTCCTCGCTCTTTGTAAAAGGCGTTGCAGCATTCATAAAGAGCATTGATCTGGGATTGGCATTTCTCTTCCTGGTATGAGTTCTTGGTCAAGCAGGCTGCAAGGATCAGTGACGTGCCTGCACCTGGGTATGATGGTGGTCACCTTGGATGGCACACTGCAACGGTCAGTCAGGTTCAATTGGGTGTCCCTGGGACTTACAGCTCGTGGATGACAAGGCGGGTCAAATGCGATGTCTTCTTTAAGTCCGCCCTGCTGCTGTCACTTTCAGTTCACATGGACGTTGGCGGTCGACCATACCATGACGCAATATATACTAGTAGACAGCTGGAAGATGACGATACACCAGGCGTAAATCACTGGTGATTATATCGGAGCCTGAATCTGAAACGAGTCTAAGACAAGGCCTAGGAAGATCAAGAATGATATCTGGGGTAGAAAAGGAAACCTGACGAACAAATATCATTCACAGCATCTCATTCCCTGGTGACAACAGCGGGAAGAGCACTGGACCTGCGCCGCAAAATAGATTTTCCGTTGTTCATGACTGGCGGGGGTTGCCTTCTTCATCGCCTCCAACTCCCTACCACCACCCATTTTCTTCCCTATATCATTTCACCTCCGCCTCCTTAGCCTTGTCTGCTCGTTTCCAAGTGCATCATCGCGCGCAGAAAGCCTCATAGCGACACCGAGGTGAGTCACCTAGCCGTTCCCCTCTTCCGATCTGCGACGAGTCACCCCAAGCTGACATCTCCCCTCCAACAACCAGTTTCTTCTTCCCATTTCCCCAAAAACCATGGCCGACTCTGGAGCCCCCGCCGGCGAGGCCCCCGCGCCCACCGAGCACCTGAACATCAAGGTCACGGACAACAACAACGAGGTGTTCTTCAAGATCAAGCGCTCAACACAACTGCGGAAGTTGATGGACGCCTTCTGCGAGAGACAGGGCAGACAAGCTTCGACCGTGCGTTTCCTGTTCGACGGAACCCGCGTGCGTCCCGAAGATACCCCCGATACTGTACGTTCACCCACAACAACACCCTCTGTTTGTTTGGCGCAAACATCGCGGGGTCTTCCCCGCACGAAGCCCGTACGACTTGACACGAGCAGCAAGCTAACATGTATCAACTTGTAGCTCGAAATGACCGACGGTGATACTCTGGAGGTCCACCAGGAGCAAATCGGTGGCTAGATAGATACTCTTCGATGAATGATGATTATGTCTTTAAATACATCAGCCCGTTACGCTTCTTGTCAGATGCTTCTTCTACCTCCTTTTTCTTACAGACGAGACAGGCGCAATGGTGTTACTGGGACGCTCGGTCCATATTGGAGAGGCTATGGGTACCTGGGTAGGATGGGATTAGCCTAAGGGTGTTGATGATGACGATGCTTAGTTGCTATCTATGAGGTGAAAACGACGAGTCAGGTGCACAAGATTCTAGTGGCATAGTCTGGATTATGTCCAAGATTTGCAGCTCACCTGCAAGTGAAATCTGCAACTAGATAGTTTCTGCTTCCACTGTCTGCGCATTACCATCGCTGTATCGGACCGAAAGATTATATTACAGTCCCGTGTATTTTGGACAAGCTGTAGAAGACAAGATACCAAAAGTCGACAACTATCCCAACCAGCATACAAATAAACATAGAAAATACGAAACCAAAGATAAGCACCACCGAACAACTCTCTCTCAGAACCCCCCCTCCAAAAGAAAGAGACATATACACCCTCTCTCCCCTCCCCAATACAACCCCCCACCATACACCCCAAACCCCATCTCAACACATCCCAACTCAGTACTCACATATCCCAAACCGCCTTCTTAGCTTCCTCCTCCTCAACCCTCACCCTCTCCGCCTCCTCCCTCTCCCGATTCCTCCTCTTAATCTCCTGCTCCTTCACCGCCCGATCATACTTCCTCTGTTCCTCCGTCCGCTTGGGCGCCCGAATCCCCAACGCCCCCGCAATCATCCTCCCCGCCACCGCCGTCTGCTTCTCGGGCCGTCTCGTCGCGGGTGACCTCGATCGCGGCGCCGACGACGCAGATGCCACTGTATTTCCGTACGCGGGCCACGGTTGCTGCGAGGGGGTGATCTGCGGGGAAATGGGCGTGGGGGGCGGGTCGAGGGGGCCTTCGGCGCTGCGGATGGAGGGGGATAGGGCGGGGCTGTTGTTGAGGCTGTCGAGATGATTTCCTGGTCCTTCGGGGTCGGAGGCTGAGGCGGAGGTGGGGGTGTCTTCTTCTAGTTCATCTTCCCAGGAGTCGGCGATGGGAGGGGATTTCTTTTTGGGCTTTTGGTGGTGGTGGTGGTGATGGTGGGAAGGAGCGGAGGTGGGAGTTGGTCGGGGGATGTCTTTTATGGGACTTTTGTTGGTGAGGGAGAGTTCGCGGAGGGAGGATTGGAGTTCGGAGGTTGTGGTTGGTGTTGCTGCTGTTGTTGCAGAGGGGGGGACTGCTGGGAGGGACATTGGGGTGGTGTTAGTTGTGATGTCTTGGGTTGAGTTGAATGGGAGGATAGGTAAGGTAAGAGTAGTATATGTGATAGTGAGAGTACTTGATGTACCATGGGTAGTACTTAAGTACTATGAAAGCGAATGGGAAGTGCACAAGAAGAACAAACAGTACGTAACAATCAGAACGACAATCACAATCAAAACAGCTGAATAAAAACATACCCTTCGAACCTAAGCCCGAACGAGAAGTCGCCATATCGTCTACCTGACAAAAATTGAAGATCGAACGGTACTCCGTACACCTAGTCCGTTAGGGAGAGACACAGCCGGTACAATGTCAAGCAAGGAAAAGGTGAAATCATGAATGGCGTCAGATCTGAACGACCAACCCCGCCTTTGACGGTCCGCGGGGCTCTATGATTGGCTCTGGGGCCCGGAGGGGGGGGGCTGGCCAGAGTTTCGACTCGGTCCAGCACTTTGTGTTTGGTGTTTTTCTTTCTGGGGGAGATCGGCTGCATGCGATGGGGACATGGAGGAGCAGGGTAGCACCGGTTCATGTTTCCACCGGTCAACTTTTCAGTAGGGTGGTTGATCTGCGTGGTGGGGGGTTATCATTGACTGGATGGGAGGGCTGCAGGGCCGGTTTTCGAAGGGAATGGGTCGTGGATCTACGCATCTGGGCTGGGGGTTGTAATGGTGATATTATGCTCGGGTGATCTGTTTGATCTGGGGATTGCGGACTGTGTCGTGTGTATTCAATGTTGGGGGGTGGATGGGATGGCTCGTCTATACTACGATTTTTGGAGCGTTCGTAAGATCCTTACTAAGCGATTGGAGTGTGGGGTAAGGTTGTACTGTGTACAATCCTTACCACGAAGAAAGGCTCTGAGATTGAGACAATGGCGTTTTGACATCATTTTATTGCGATGAGACGGATTATCCTTCATGTGATGTCGATTCATAAATATTATGAGTGGATGGATGGAGCAGACAATGCCGTCATACGTGGAGCAGACCCAATGCTGTGTGATTGCCTCAGGCAGGCAGTATGTGCCCTACATCCAGGCCATCAGCATTATCATGAGATATAAGTTTCAAAGCGTACCTGTATAGCTACAAAGCTATGGCTCACTGAGCACTGGATAATGGCAAATAATTACTCTGAGTAATCTTCCTCCCAGCCGCTACCTTGCAGCGTGACGCTGTAATACAAGGAATGAAGCCATGAACATAAGACACGCTTTGCAGGCTACCTGAGTAGAGATTTCACGACTAATAGGCGGGGCAGTATAGAATGCAACGCTACAGTCACTGATCAAAAGACACAACACAATTTCACCGTGAACTGATCTCTTCCTCCTCACACCTCTTACAGAGTACATGCGTGGTGTATCCCTTTCCGAGTCTTCTTTCGGCAACGTTCTTCCGAGAACACCAATCAACGCTCACGCTGATCGTCTCGAGAACCAGTCAGGCCTCGGAAACTGTCGGTAAACTGTCCGAGACCGGCAGAGCGACCGACTTAAGGGTCTCGTTTCCCGAGGTCTATCCTTCGCGTCCTTCAGCTTCCAGTTTGTAGAAATTCCGCAGATCTGGTTTGTGGCTCTTGTCTATTGCATTTCGGTGATTGGTGGAGCGTTCGCTGTCCTTTCCTGCTCATTTTTGTCATTAGAAGGGATTATCCTCGCGTCGGTGCTAACGCCTACGTGGATAACCCATACTGACTCCCCTCTCGGAAGTAGCCAGCGTCATCTAAATGACTCGTCTATGTTCCATTCCCGCGCAGGCGCGGAGACCTCTCGTCCGCTCATCGTTGAAGCAAATGTCGAGGTTCTCGACTTCATCCCGGACCTGCGACTATGCCGATACGCTCCAGAACTTAAAGATAGGCGCCCACACCAGGGTTTTGTTCCAGGGCTTTACGGGTAAGTCGATAGCTTCCACTGTAAACCCATGCTGACAGTATTCTAGGAAAACAGGTAGGTGCTTCCGTCAAGGAGCCGCAATAGGCTGACTAACTTGCTCAGGCCACCGCCAATGCCAAGGAGTCGTTGGAATGGGGCACAAAGATTGTTGGAGGCGTAAAGCCGGGCTTCGATACTTCGCATCTTGGTCTTCCCGTATTTCCGTCGGTTCGAGCGGTATGTTTGGTTGTCTGTCCTTGGGATATCATACTGACGAGAACAGGCTCGCATGAGGGCTCAACCGGACGCTACTGCGATCTATGTGCCCGGTAATCAGACCGCCAAAGCAATCGAAGAGGCCATCGAAGAAGAAATCCCACTTGTTGTGGCGGTGGCGGAACATGTCCCAATCCATGATATGCTTAGAGTAGGGAGCCAATCCTGAAGCATGAAGAAATGCTAACAATTGTAGATCCACTCCATGCTAAAGTCCCAATCGAAAACGAGACTGGTAGGGGCCAACTGTCCGGGAATTATCTCGCCCATTGGTAGATGCCGCATCGGATTCCAGCCACTACCCTGTTTCGCAGCAGGCAATATTGGTATCGTTGCCAAGTCAGGAACTCTGAGCTACGAGACTGTTGCGTCAACCAGCCGAGCGGGTCTCGGGCAGAGTCTTTGTGTTGGGATGGGAGGTGATCCTCTGGCAGGGACTAACTTTGTCGATGCGTTGAACATCTTTGAACAGGACCCTGACACCGAAGGTATCATCCTCGTTGGTGAGACTGGCGGTACCGCGGAGATGGATGCAGCGGAGTGGATTAAGGACTACCACAAAAGAACCTCCAATCCCAAGTATATGCATCCGGCCCAGTAGTGCACAGTCATGCTGACGAGAACAGACCGATCATGGCACTTGTCGGTGGCGTGTATACTCCTCCTGGTCGGATCATGGGCCATGCCGGTGCCTGGACAGCCCCTGGCGAACCCAATGCCAAAGCCAAGTATGAAGCCCTTGAACGTGCCGGTGCGGTCATGGTGGACCACCCGGAAAAATTCGGGGAATTAATGAAGACCCTCCTGACAACCCGAGGCCGTCTTCAAGGCACTACTGTAGGTCTCTGCCTCGCAACACGACAGCTTGCTGACAGGAGTAGTCCACCAACGGATTCAACCAACGACGAGGTCTCCATACGATGAGACGCGTGACACCGGGCCGTAAGGGAGCATGTCAGCCCCAGCAAACCCGAAGCATCTATGTGAAACCGTTCCAGGCTCTTGATATGCTCAGGGAAAAGTCCATCCCAGTGAACGAGACAGCCCATTCAGATGTCTTCCTGTCCCTCACCATCGACAGAACAGCATTGTCACCATGTATTCTCGCCTCCACGTCCACTGGCTTCGAACCCGAGCAGACAGGCCGATTCCCATTTGCATACGAGGGCACGGACTTTAGCAAGGATCATTCACTGGTCGAGGCCATCGCCTCCCACCTGCAGCTTCCCGCGGCGGCTTACGACAACCTGGCGCGACTGCTGCAGGGATTATGGCAGATATTCAGGGAGAAAGAGGCGTACATCCTGGAAGTGCGTGCTAACGTTACTAACAAATTCGAAGTCCGCGATGCCCGCTTTGGGTTCGACGACGCCGCCTTCCGGAGTGCAGGACGTCAGCAAGAGGTGCAGCAATTGAGAAACTTGGCCGAAGAAGTGGTTGAGGAAGTCGAAGCCGAGAAAGATGGCATCGTTTACATCAAGTGAGTATCCTTCTTGATGTCAAACACGTCCGCTGACCGTAACCAGACTGGAAGGTGCAGGAAGTATCGGGACCCTAGGTAAGCCGTCCCCCACGCCTTCGTGTCTATCACTGACCAGCAGTGAACGGCGCGGGACTGGCAATGAACACGGTGGACGCACTGACGATCCACGGGGGGCGCTGCGCAAACTTCCTGGACACAGGCGGCAAGGCCACAACGGAGACAGTCAAGGCCTCGTTTAGGCTCATTACATCGGACCCACGTGTTAAGGCGATCTTCGTAAACATCTTTGGGGGATTGACTCGCTGTGACATGATCGCGGAAGGGATCATCCAAGCGTTTCGAGAAACGAAGATGAGCGTGCCCGTGGTGGTACGACTTCGAGGAACAAACGAGGCGCTCGGACAGCACTTGGTGAGTAGTTGACAACTGACATGATCCAGCAGTACTCCCTAGAGCGATGCTAACGTTCCAGATAGATCGCGTCGAGCAAACTACCACTGGAGGTGTACGACGGTTTCGAAGCAGCAGCGCACCGAGTGATTGAACTGGCGGGAGATCGGAAGCACTATTATTGAAAAGACATCATGTACATACTGCAAGACCATCCAGGCACATACCCACTCACTGGCGTACGTGCCTGGATGGCCCTGACGATGGGTGATGGAGAGAAGCGCAAGTTCCACGGAACGTGGCGTACGTAAGTAGATGTCGCAACACAAATGAAATCCACCCCGCGATCGGCGCCCCGCTGTTTCACCCTTTTCACATTCCATCGGACCGGACCATTGCCAGTTTCCTCTTTTCTACCCCTCCCTCCTCTCCTCCATCCATCTCACCTCACCGTACCGTACCTCACCTCCCAATTGCCGACTACATTCCAAAATGGCCACGTACGGATTCCCCCCCCCTCCTCACATCCTCCTCAGAATAACCCCCAACTAACCCCTCCCAGCAACATCACCTACCACGCCAGCGCCCTCACCCGCACGGAGCGCAGCTCCCTCCGGCAACAACGCGGCCTCACCATCTGGCTCACGGGCCTTTCCGCCTCCGGCAAATCGACTTTGGCCGTGGAACTCGAACACCAACTTCTCCGCGACCGAGGCGTGCACGCCTACCGTCTAGACGGCGACAACATCCGGTTCGGCCTGAACAAGGATCTCGGATTCAGCGAAGCCGACCGGAACGAGAACATTCGTCGCATTGCCGAAGTGGCGAAGTTGTTCGCCGATAGTGCCAGTATCGCTATCACGTCGTTTATCTCGCCGTATCGCAAGGATCGCGATACCGCGAGACAGTTGCATGAGGTGCCGACGCCGGGTGAGGAGACTGGGTTGCCGTTCGTGGAGGTCTATGTTGATGTGCCGGTTGAGGTGGCGGAGCAGCGCGATCCCAAGGGATTGTATAAGAAGGCGAGGGAGGGCGTGATTAAGGAGTTTACTGGGATTAGTGCCCCCTATGAGGCGCCGTTGAAGCCTGAGGTGCATATTAAGAATCATGAGGTGCCGGTGCAGGAGGCCGTGAAGCAGATTATTCAGTATTTGGATGAGCAGGGGTATTTGCCTCCTAAGAAGGAGTAGATTAGTTTTAGATTTAGATAGATGATAGATTTTGTTGTTGTTGTTGTTGTATATATTTGGTTGAGTGCTACGATTGGTTCAGGTGTAGATGGAGACAAGTATCTATGTACGACGCTAGACATATCAACAGACAGGAGAATAACCAGCAAACCAAAGCGGGTACCTTAGTTGAACTCGAATTCATAATACACATACGCCGTGTACTCGGCGCCGCCCTCGCCATGCATCTCGCCCGGGTCGTCGCGCTTCACCCGCCCCTTCTTGTCGCGCCCAAACGCATTACCCGCCAGATACGAGTACTTGTCGTCCAGGTTGCGCTTCGCCTTGTCGGCCTGCTTCGTCCCGGGAGTCTGTATCCGTTAGCCCTTGCCCAGTCGACCATCAAGAATCATCAAACATACCCGGATCAACGTGCACACAAAGTCCAACGGCAATCCATACCGCAGCACCGTCTCCACAAACACCCGCAGCACATACACATGGATCCAGACCATCACGGCCTCGCTCCACGCCGTCCGTCCCAGCCGGAGCGTCTCCCCCCAGAGCTTGCGCTCGTCGCCGCCCACCCGCTCGACCTCCTTGCGCTCCTGCTCCTTGCCGCCCTCGACGTACTTGAAATCGCGCGGAATCCACTTGTTCTCACGACACTTGTGCACAAACTCCAGGCTGTGCTTCTTGAACGTCGTGACCGCGTACAGCGTAAAGTCGTTGTCCGAGGCCACCAGGGTCGCCGACCGCGGCACCACCATGGGAGCCACCGTCTCGTACAGCTTCAGGAATTCCTTGACCTGCTGGGCGGGCACCGCAACGAGGTGCGTCTCGATGTATTCGGAGTCTTGGACGATAGTGCGAGGGTCGACCACCGAGGCGAGGGATTTAGTAGACAGATTGCCCCTGTAACCATCAGCCCATACCCTTAACTTCACATAACAAGATATCCACTCACGTCTGCTTCCGCTGCAACGTCGCCAACGTATTCTTAACCTGATTGTACTGGGTATATTTCGTGCGGATATCATTGTCGATACTCGCCGCTTCCTACTAACCGTCAACATTCCCCACAATCCCACAGTCCACAACATAGAGGTATATATCAACCCACCTTCTGCAACGAATCAATCAATTCCGCCAACGGCTTATCAGCCCGATACTTGACCTTATTCCACGAAAACGTGCGAAGGTACTGATCCACCGGCTCTAGAACCCGTTAACATCCATCCCAATCCCACTCCATCCAAGAAACACAGTATGTGTGTGGAAGCATACTATCATTCACAGCCTTCATCTTATCAATCTGCGCTTCATCGCCCTCCAGGATATTCTTCAGCGCATCGCCCACCTTGGCCACCACCCCCTGGCAAGCGGTCTCGAGCTTAGCCAGTTCGTCGGCCTGCTGGACGAGGGCATCGAGAGTACCGATCTTGAATTCCGGGATGGGGAAGGGCGCGACGGAGCCATTCTCGGATGAGACGGTGGTGGAGATGGCGTCAAGGGCGTCGTCGCGGTGGTGGGAGGGGGTGATGGACGTGGGGAGCGAGACGAGGAGGTATTTGGTTGATTTGGACATGGTGGCGGGGTTTTAAGACGTTGAGGGGCGGGCACGCATGAGGTGGTCTGGTGGTGCAGACGGTGAGGGGGAAGATGGCTGTGGGTGCTGGAGGTGAGGTGGTGGTGGAGTGGGAGCTGAGCTGTTGCGTTGCTGCGGTGCGGAGGAGCGATTGCGGTCGGTCACTCGGAGGCGGTCGGCGGTACTTGACTTCTTACGGAGTACATATATTGGGGTGGTGTCATCGGGGCCACGTTACTTTCTCGACAGTGGAGGAGATGTCAGTAATGGTATCTACTAGACTACTGGAGTTTCCTCGAATGCTCGGGGCATTTCAGGTTGTTGATGCATTCTCATGCGCCAGAAGAGGACACATACGACTAACTATATGTTCGGAAGCCGCCCTAAAGCGTCGCAGCATAGCCTACATACTAGAACACAATACCAGTGAGTGCGAGTTCCAATTGTGAGCATTAGTATTAATTACACATACAGCCTCGTACCCTAAGACTGCAATGTTTGAGCTGTTGTCGTGTTGACCGTCCCAATAGATACCTCCAGCCCTGCAATGGCGCATCTGCAGTGCTTCTAACCCCAAGCTCCGCCGCCATGCATCAAACACGTCGACAATCCTCACTCGAAGCAGCCATCAGTACACTTGCTCATCGTCGCAGCACCTCTGCACCAGCGGCAGCGCACCCAGCCCGTTAGCACCACCAACCAGCATCTAGGTACCCTAGGCACCAATAGGTATAAGCCTTCTCATTAGGCACGCACAGGCGATTCCACGACCAGCTCACAAGCACCCGAAACTCTTCCCTCTTATCTTATCTCATCTGTGCATATTTCTAGAAAAGTCCCGAACAAAACAGCCACCCTCACTTCGGAATCGAAATCGAGGCGCGGCTAGAAAGCGACTCCCTGCGCTGCTTCCTCAGCGCTTTCTCCGTATCCATGAGCAGGTTCTGGACCGATCTGCTTCCTCGCGCATTGGCCCTGACTCCATCATCGTTTAGAAGCTCCATCAGAGCGGCTTTCACCATGTGATCGCTGCCGCGGGATTCGCTGGCCTTGCTAGATGCGATGTGCTCGTCGTCTTGAGCGGGGTGGTAGGAGGTGGAGCGTTTTAAGGGTTGGACTGTGTGGAGGGTAGGGACTTTGGTGGTGGAGGCGGCGGGTTCATGGGTTTGAGGGTGAGGGTGAGTATGAGCATGAGTGTGAGGGTGGGTTTGGGATGGGGAGGCCATCTTGTTGGTGTGGTGATTTTTTTGTATTTCTGATGGAGACGTGGTAGATGATTTTGAGTGTGAGTGACTGGCAAAGGTAGGTAGGTAGCGGTGTAGTGTGGCTTTGTTCTTGTGGTTCTTTATACGAAGTTGATATCGAGACCGTTGTGAACACGATAGAGTGTCACTATGACGTCTAAGACATTAAGAAGATCTGCAAGGGGAGAAGGAAAGCAGATGATCGAGATACTTAAATCCTGGGCTGATTCGCGACGAATCTAACGAACAACAAAGAGAGTTGCAGTCCTGAATCTGAATTCGCCATTATTCACTCGGTATCTGCAGCAGACCGAACGGTTTCACCAGTCAATTACATCATAGCGGCTTATCACTGGGGACCTTCGTCGGATCGTCTGATTTGGGTTCACTGCATCGACCATTCAGTGTTTGAAAGGGCATTGAGGATTCTATTATTGAAGTTGAATTCAGTTATCATTCAGAAGTGGCTGATGATGATATCTGGTTGGGTGGGTGAACGAATCCGTGTATCTGAGAGATCGCTGATTGGCGGGGTGCGATGCCGGCATCATCTTGGTGGATGGAGTGCCGGTGGTTCGATTGGTGACGGCCACTGTACTTCTTGCCATCAGGGACTTTTTCTTTGTCTTATGATGGGAAGTTGAGTGGCTTCTCCCCGGGCGGTGTATACATGACCTTCTCTATTAACTTGGCTGCCTCAATCTGTATCTGGAATTTGTCCATGAGCTCGCAAACACGTCATGGTCATGGTGAACTGACATTGTGACCAGTGCTCGGATTAATCATATTGATTTAACCCCTGCTTTGTGGCCATGGTTATCAGTATTGCTGACGGCAATATGCTCAGGGTATTGTCATGCCACCCAGTGAACCGGCATCGGGTCGATCGTTTGTCTCGCATGCTGACAGGGAATTTCCTTGAGATTATCGAACAGGAGTGTGGCTTGAAATTGTCGAAGGCAACACATCATGGCAAGGGCGGTCACCAAACTATTGCGGTACAACTCACCGCAAAGGTCAAAGCCCATCTACTCCCGACTGTAGGATACAGACGACGCTAAAGTCATCGCTCACGTGCAGAATAGGAATAATATCGAACACCAGATATCTATATGTACAAACCAAATGCGGGTTCCATCCATCTATACGCCTGTTAAATGATGTCGCGATGACCGTTGAGTTCAAGTTCCATGTATATATAAGTACTTTAGATCAAATCTAGATCGGGATCAGATGAAGCAATTAGTTGGTGATGTTGTAAAGGGTCGACATTGCCTGCATGTCTGATTAGCCTCTTCTTAGTCAACGGATCCGCTGAACCTACCGCCGCCTGCTTCGGCTCAATAAATAAGGCTTTCGCCTCCACCAGCACCACCGGCTCCTGGCCATCTTCGGGCAGAGTCTCGATCCGACCCTCGACCCAGGCCTTGCGACCCTCTACCTTGACCGTTTCTGCCCGCAAAACAGCATAGTTCCCGGCCATCGCGGGCTTACGGTAGTCCAGGTTCAGGTTGGCGGTCACGCCCACCTTGTTCGGCAACGCGGGAAAGCAGCACCGACCCATGGCCTCATCCAGTAGCGTAGCCAGCAATCCGCCGTGAACGATCCCCGGGTGACCGCAGAGACTTGGCCCGAGGTAGAAAAGCGACACCAGACTTTTCCCGCCCTCTTCGCAAAACACCAGCGGCGGCGCCACGATCTTATCGGGACCAGCGAGCGTGCCACCCGTGAGCGTGCGCGCGCGCAGGTGCTCGGGGATCTTCATGTGTGGGCGGGATTCCGTAAATGCAGGGTTTTGGCGCAGCGAGGCGGCCAGAGGGTGGGTGCGGATGTATTCGTCTACCTCCCTGGCGAAGTCGTCGTGAGGGACGAAGGCGGAGAGGGTCTCCTCGTCGGTGGTGAGAGTGACCGTCATCATGCGCGAGACTGTTTGCGAGGTCTGGTAGACTAAGCCGGCAGTGAATGCGAAGATGGCGATTGTGGTGAACCCGACGAAGCGGCGAAAACGCGAACGAGGCGGAGGTGTTGGAGTGGAGGAAGAGGCTGCGTCTGAGTTTGGAGTGGTCAGCACTCTCTGTGGGCTTTTTCTTTGGGTTGTTATGGAATATAAACCCTATCCAGTGGCGTTCTGTATGGAAGGGAGGAGCACATACCAGCAGGAGCAGTCGAGAAAGCTTTGGGAGAAAGCCTCGGCGACAAGGAGGAGCCTCGGGACAGAACAGAAAGCCGGCTCGGGGCAGTTATAGGCAGACGCGACAGAGGGCCAGCGAGAACGAGTCTTCTGGAGATGGTAGTGGAGCCCAGCATTGTTGGGACCGGTGGCATGGCGGCGAGTCTGGACTCTGGTGAAGTTGGAAGAAGGGGGAAAAAGGAGAGTGGCCTGGATTGGACTGGCAACGCCGTGGAGCCCCTCGACCGATCAGATCAACCTAACCTCGATACTGCGTTATTGCTTTTGCGGAGCCATCCAAGACCAACTTCAATAATCTTGAGCGTGTCCCAGACTCTCTGGAAGCTGACCATGGATCCCATCGCGATTTTCGGTCGGCGGATTCACGCGATTGGTGGCGGGCGGGGCGGCGCTGCCTCGAACCTCGGCTGCCTCGCAAGGGGCGTGCAATTGACTTTGAATATCCTCATGCTGATCGAGGGAGAGCCGATAGAGGACCAGAGGTTGAAAGAATGAAGACAGATCTCATCCTCCTCTCATAGCCTGTGATGTGGAGTTGGCTGGTCGTTGGCATAATGTAGGAGAGAGGCATCCATCAGCCCCATCCATCTCCGATCATTTACTCCGCCTCCGCATCTTATCTGGTTTCTCCTCGTCCTCTCTTCCTCCTGCTCGTCAAATACGGAGTAGCTTGCTCCACTCTACTGCTAGCATCATCTTAATCTACATTAATCTACAAGTCAACACACATACAGACAATGAATCAGACAACGCTCTTCATAGTAAACACAGGGCTCGGGCCCCTGTCACACAATGACCCCTTTCACGCCAGGGACAGACGCTAGAGGTCTTCCCTGAACGATCATCGTCGCTCAAGGTTACATTGCATCGAACATCCTTGTCAGTCATTTATATCAGGGGCATGCCATTGCTTCGACTGTCGGAAAGGATGTCTGCCATGCCCCTCCCCGCGGGGACATGGTCTCATTCCTTCCCCCTTGATGGCGGCCAGCATGCCAGTGTGATTTTGTAAACCTCCAGTTCCAACACGTTGGTCGCTCACTTTCTGCCATTTTTTGCTCCCTTTCCTATCGTCGAGATGGTTCGCTGGGGATATTTGGCAGTGTTAGCCCTTCCTTGTATCGTGAGCTGTACTGGCTCTTCCGGGGCGATCGACGACTATGATGTCCTCCAATATATTAATCCCCTCATCGGGAGCGCTAATGGAGGTACGCGCTGAATCACACTGTATTTTGTCTACAATCAAACACCCAGCTCACTGTCTTGGTATTTAGGAAATGTCTTCGCGGGGGCAACAATCCCATATGGCATGGCCAAGGCTGTCGCTGATACGGACTCGGTAAACAACCAGGGAGGCTTCGCCTACGATGGCAGCAGCATCACTGGATTTTCTAGCATGCACGACTCGGGAACAGGAGGGCAGCCCTCTCTGGGTGTATTCCCTCTGTTCCCCTATGTTGCCTGCACAAACGACGAGGTCGATGGCTGCGCGTACCCTAAGAAGGCCCGGAAGACCTCCTACGTCTCCGGATCGGTCAAATCAAGCCCTGGGTACTTTGGGCTAAACATGAGCTCAGGTATTCAGGTGGACATGACGACTGCTCACCATACCTCTCTCTTTCGCTTTCAGTTTCCCACTGACAAGCCATCGAGCCCGTTGATCTTGCTGGATCTGTCCGACCTGTCCGATACCCGCCAGGATAATGGAACTATCTCGGTGGATCCTACAACAGGCCGCATGACAGGCCATGCGCGCTTTTTGCCCAGCTTTGGAAGCGGCTCTTATGTGCCTTATTTCTGCGCAGACTTTCACGGAACCGCGGACATTCGAGACAACGGCATCTTTGTTGATGCGCGGGCTAGTGCGGACGTCAAAAATCTTACCATATCGCGTAGCATAAATGGATATCCTCTTCCGGTACGTACATATCCGTTTGTACCACTACCAATGCTAATGTGTCTTAGGGGGGTGCTTTTATCCGATACAATTCTTCCCCGGACAATATGATCCATGCTCGAGTGGGACTGAGCTTCATCAGCAGCGAGCAAGCATGCGGAAATGCCGAAGCCGAAATTCCCGACTTTGACTTCAACAAGACCTATACTGCAGCTGTAGACATGTGGAAGCAGAAGCTGGCCCCGATCCGTGTATCACGGACTGGAATCAACTCGAGCGTTCTCACCAACTTTTACAGCGGCATCTACCGGACCATGGTCAACCCGCAAGACTATACCGGAGAGAACCCTCTGTGGAGCAGCACAGAACCATACTTTGACTCATTCTACTGGTATGCGGCCTGATTTTGGCGTGCAATTCTTTACTGACTCCTGCAGCCTGTGGGACTCTTTCAGGTCCCAATTCCCGTTTCTAACAATTTTCGATCCGGCGGCACTAACTCGCATGATCCGCTCGTTGATCGACACGCAGCAGCATCTGGGTTGGCTCCCAGATTGCCGTATGTCGCTTTGCAAAGGTAGGCATCACGTCCGCTTGGAATAACTGAAACTGAACATTGCAGGCTACACGCAGGGTGGCTCGAACGCCGACGTCATCTTAGCTGATGCATACGTCAAAGGCATCTCCGACGGTATCGATTGGGACGCAGGCTATGCAGCTGTCCAGAAGGATGCGGAAGTTGAACCGTACGACTGGTCAAACGAGGGCCGCGGCGGGTTGATGAGTTGGAAAGCGTTAAACTACATCCCCGTGGAAGACTTCGACTACATCGGCTTCGGCACCCTCACTCGGAGTATATCCCGTACGTTGGAGTACTCTTACAATGACTTTACTATTGCACAAATGGCCCGGGGCTTGAACAATACAAGTGATGCGGAGAAGTACGAGGGCACCTCGCAGTACTGGCAGAATCTCTTCCGAGCAGACCAAACCTCCTACCTCAATGGTACTGATACGGGATTCCAGGGCTTCTTTCAGCCCAAATATTTGAACGGTACATGGGGACATCAGGTCCGTCAATCCTGTTATTGTACCCACGGTGCACTGAGCTGACTGTGCAGGACCCTTTGACATGCTCCAACATTGACACAAGCGGGAGATCCTGCTCGTTGCAGAACAACGCAGCGGAAACCTTCGAGTCCAGCATTTGGGAGTACCAATTGTATGTCCCACTTAATACCAATTCCAGGAGGATTCACCCTAACCCAACCAGCTTTGTCCCCCACAACATGGCGACTCTCGTGACCTTGCTAGGTGGACCCGCCCAATTCGTCCGCCGACTCGACTACCTTCACGACCAAGGCATCACCTATATCGGAAACGAGCCTGCCTTCCTCACCGTCTTCCAGTACCACTACGCGGGCCGCCCAGGCAAATCCACCGCCCGCGCCCACTTCTACATCCCCCGATACTTCAACCCCACAACCACCGGCCTCCCCGGCAACGACGACTCGGGAGCCATGGGATCCTTTGTCGCCATGACCATGATGGGCCTGTTCCCGAACCCCGGCCAAAATGTATATCTCATCACCGCGCCCTTCTTCGAGTCCATCAACATCACCTCCCCCCTCACGGGGAAAACAGCCACCGTCAGCACCGTCAACTTCGACCCCACGTACCAGAACATCTACATCCAGTCCGCCACGCTGAACGGACAACCGTATACGAAAAGCTATGTCGGTCATGAGTTCTTCACGCAGGGACAGGAATTGGTGCTCGTGCTGGGACGGAATGAAAGTTCCTGGGGCACTGAGGCTGAGGATCTGCCGCCGTCGTTGTCGACGAGTCAGGTGCTACGTTAACTTTCGGATGACTGGTTGTAGTTTACAGCGGACTGAGCCGTTATGGGTTGAGTAGATTACAGGGTTATACAGCTGCATTGATAGATGGCTACAGTGTTAGAACCTGTCAATCCAATTGAGTATCTTAACTGTATATCTCAGATCAATCAATTACAAGTAACCTATATGTAACATGTACGCTTACTCTTAGAACTGGATTATAAGGAAGCACTAACAATCGCATAAACTCGCTTTTTATAAGAAACACAAAAGCACAGGGTTGAGCCCACACTACAAGAGAAAAGTAGAAGAATCAATCATAATAATCTATTTACACACATCAAATATCATCATCAGGGGAATCTATTGTTGAAACCAAGCCAAACACCCATCACCACCCTCTTAGAGTCCCATCAAGCCTTGGGCCGGTAGAACTTGCTCTCCACCCAGGGCATACCCGTGACGGTAGCCTTACGGATCCGGTTCCGAACGAGGATGCCGACCTCAGTGCCCTTCTTGTGAAGTCCATTCTTGATGTATCCCATGGCGATGTTGGTGCCGCCCAGGGAAGGACTAGGGAGACCGGAGGTGATGACACCGATTTGGGTGCGCGATTCGTCGTTCAGGTCGACGATGATGGCGCCCTCGCGGGCTGGAGATCCCTTCTCGACGGTGAAGCCGACACGGCGTTGAGAGAGAGTCTTGGGGGAGGCGACCTGGGGGAGGATGGAGGAGGCGCCGTTGAAGTTGGCGGTGGCGGGGTCGCGGCGCTCCTTGCCGACGAGCCAGGTCAGGGAGGCGCCGGGAGGGGTTTGGGAGGTGGAGATGTCGCTGCCGTAGAGACACATTCCGGCTTCGAGGCGGAGGGAGTCACGCGCGGCGAGACCGGCGAGACGGACTTCGTCGGGGTTGGAGAGGAAGAGGTCGGTGACGCGGGCGGGCAGGGAGGCATCGCTGGCGGTGGGGATGGAGATCTCGAAGCCGTCTTCGCCGGTGTAGCCGGTTCGGGAGATGAGAAGGGGCTCGGGGGTGGTGGTGCCGTCGGGGAAGGTGAGGTGTAGCTCGCGGCAGTTGCCGAAGTAGAGGGTGGAGAGGTCTGAGTTGGTGCCGTCGGGGGAGACGAGGGATTGGAGGACGGAGGCAGCCTTGGGACCCTGGAGGGCAACCAGGGCGCGGTCTTCAAGGATCTCCCACTTCAGGCTGTCCGCGCCGTGGGTCTGCTTGTAGATGTCGATTTCGGCTTGTAGGAAGGCCAGGTCCTCCGTGCGGCGGCCGGCGTTGGTGACGAAGTAGAAGGTGTCGTCGGTACGACGGGTGATGACGGTGTCATCAACAATGCCACCGGTGCCTTCTTCAAGGAGGCAGGACAGGGTGGATTGGTTGTGCTTGAGCTTATCAAGGGAGGAGGGAGTGACCTTCATGAGGAGGTCGAGGGCGCCGGGGCCGCTGAGTTGGTGCTGGACCCTGGAATTTGTTAATTAGGAAGCCTCTGGGCAAAGGGGTGAAAGAGAATACGTACATATGGCTCACGTCAAAAAGACTGGCCTTTTCACGGGTCCAGTGGTGGCTCTCGACATGGCTGAGATCGGAATACTGCAAGGGCATGGAGTACCCCGCAAAGGGGACCATTTTGGCGCCCCGGGCCAGGTGCAGGTCATACAGCTGAGTTTTCTTCACTGGTCCTGATGGAGCAGCAGATGAGGCATACCGCACGCTTCCCTGGGCAGCCAGCGAAGCAACTCGGGGAAAGGGACGAGCAGCAGGGACGGTGACGCCCGCGGAGCGGAGAGCGCGCGGAGAAGTAGATAGCGGCCGCGCGAGCAGTGCGGAGCCATTGGCAGCCACAGGGGCGGCGCGGCAGAGCGAGCTCGAGCCGAGGAGGTGAAGGCCTCTTCTCATGGGACGCACAGCAGACATGATGGACAATTGCTGTAGGATAAGGAGGGAAAGAGGATGAGAAGAAGAGAAGATGAAGGAGAAGTACGGAGTAGTGAAGGTCATTCCTCCAGCGCCGCTGCGGAGAACCCCGATAAGCGGGAAAGTCACATGCTGATAGGCCATCTCCGCGGGAAGCGGCGCCGACTCGCGAGCTAAGGTGGTCCGTGCTTATCTTCGAATTCGACTGTCTACATCTCACACTTTTGGCTACATTAACGCCCTTCCGCAGATTGGAGGGCTAGATGCAGCTCCTAGTGTAAGCTAGTACATGCCCAGTTGTATTCTCAAAGTGGAAATGAGAAAGTGTGAGTGTATAAGCCTGACATCTAGAAAGATTTCAACCCCCTCAGGTCGGGGTTTTGATTCTACTGTGTTCTGCATGGATTAGGCCTCTGCGAGTTGACGTCTGATATAAGATTATAAGGCCCAGTACTAGGAGCATGGCAGCTACGCATAGGCTATCACACAAGAATCTCATTTGCATGATGGTCGCTAATGCCGCCTATAGATACCCCACCAGCGGTTCCGGAGTGGATCAGTCGATAATCAACCTTAGCCAACGGAGTATACGGGGTACTAGTACTAGCAACTCTCCGGGAATCATCCCAATGGTATATATAGATAGGTGATAAATCCAAATGCCCACGTTGTCCTGGCACAGCATGGTCAGACACGGACAGGGATATTCTCGAAACCGCTTAGCTCCGCGCCACGATACAAGCCCGCCCTCGCGTCTCTCTCCATCCCCAACTCCCTTACCCCCCTCCCCACCATTCCCCATCACTTCAAAACCATGGATCTCACTCACGACGAATGGGAAGCCCACGTCGCCAAGAAAGTAGAAGAATACCGCAGTATCATCCAAGGCACCGACATCTACGAGAACTGCGGCAACCGAGTAGTTGAGTCGCGAACCACGCATGGGCAACTCGTCGCCGTGAAGATCCAGCCAAAGAAATGGTTCCGACGTTCCGAAGCCGCCATGATGCAGTATGCATCTGAGCAGAAGGGGATTCTAGCGCCCCGGGTCCTGGGCTGCTATGATGTGAAACCGAACATGACGGTCACAGTGACGGACCGGGTTCCTGGCGAGTCGCTGGATAAGGTGTGGCATACTTTGACTAGATTGCAGAGAGAGACGATTCAAGATCAACTGAAGGAACAGGTAGGTGCCTAATTGATTAGTGCTATGGTCTGGGAGGTAACAGCGCTCATGTGTTTCAGGTGCAGGAGTTTCGGAAATACACGCAGCCGTATATTGGTCGATTGGGGAAGACCAAAACGTATAATTTCTTTGATCGGTTGCATAATCACGATATGGGACCGTTTGATTCGGAAGAGGAGTTTGATGAGTGGTGTTTTGCGAGAGTGAAGTTTCCTCTGCAGCAAGCGTTCTGGAAACGATACCTGCCGAAGATGAGGGATAAGAAACCGTCCAGGTTTGTCTTGACGCATGGTGATCTGGCGGCGCGGAATATCATAGTTCAGGATGGTCGGATCACTGGCATTGTGGACTGGGAATATAGTGGGTTCTTTCCGGAATATATGGAGTATGCACTGGCCACGGTCATTCATGATGGTATTGAAGACTGGTGGCTTCCGGTGTTGAAGAAGGTTTTGGAGCCGTCTGGGTATTTGCGGTCTAAGTTTGTTGCAACGATCAAGGACCGAGGGTGGTAGTCTTCCCTCCCAATGTTTGCTTTTTTTGGTTTCTTCGTATTTGTAGCATCGTGATACCTCATGCTTTTGATATCCTAATTGCCTGGAATTGATGACTCGAAATACAAACTCGGCCCTGGGATCAAATTTGTCATCTTCGCATTGTTCTGTCTGGGTAGCTATCCTCTCTTCTCGTTTTGATTTTTGGTTCTCCTTTGAGGTGGTGACAAACTGCCTCTCTACATGTTGAACAATGAGAACTTGGATGTCTCATGCTGTATGGGAGCCAGATCCACAGCACTACCGTTGCTCTTGTCGTGAACGGAGGCGTCTGGGTGTTGTCCGAAGAATGGCAGGAATCTACCGGCATTTAGGGACATTGGGGAATCGATGAGCATTTCAACCATGGGAAATGGGGTGATCAGGTGTTTTCACTAACAGTTTGTGGTGGATCGTTTGTTGGTAATGTCGAAGATGGACCAATGCTCATGGATCAAGCAATGGACTTTTGATGGTAGTGATGAGATCGGACCAAAGAGTGATGAATGATTATACTATTTACATAAAAAACCTCGAGGCAGAAAAGTAGCCAGTCACATGGCATGAGGTCTAGTACTATAGCGGGAAGGTGCTATCCTCAGGCAGACCTGCTGCTTTCCCCATCTCCTGCTTGAGTCTCTACCGGCTTGTTCTTGTGAATATGAAGGCCCTTCGCTCACGGCTAAACAAGAGAACTATCTGCAGCTCATCGTCGAGAAATATTAGGCGCTACATCTGGCTGATTTTGAAGGGGACATTTTAATACGGCTGTCAGTAGCCACACCATGCATTGACGACTCCTTGTCAACCGGCGCTTGTCATGCACCAGCAGAAGGTCAGCCCACAATTCAGTGAGTGGGGGGATGTGTTGCCGCGAATGGCAGGGGATCGTGCAGTAGTGCTGATCCATCAGGGTTCCGCATCTGTGCACCGACCATCAGCCTTATCTGGCGTAAGCCAGTCCTGAGGAGTGAGGAATGGACAGGCAGAAGCATACCCTGTTAGTCTGTCAGTACTCCGTACTAGTAGTTAGTATACATGCCAGTCCGGTCAGGTGACAGCCCCTGGACGGGAAGAACCGCCCCTCTGGGCCAATCAGCAGCTGCAAGGCAGAATCACGGCGGGGAAGTCAGTCTCCCTTGCCACGCCTGCATTAGTTTGACCAGCCAAACTGCAAGGGTCTTCAATATCTTGAGGGAGAGGTGGAACTGGCTTTTGAATATGACTGAGGCTCGGAAAGATGCACCTACAGGGAGCGGAAATGAAAAGACAAAGAGCGTTTTCACATAGGTCCAAGACTGGATGCCGCACCTGTCGGTTAGTTCTCTTCCTTCAAAACCAAGCGACTGGGCTCCTACTGCTAGGTGAGCTAACCCCCCGATGTGTGTGTGTGTGCGTAGATTCCGCCATGTCAAATGCGACGAGACCCCGGGCGCATGTCGCAATTGCACTTCTACCGGGCGCAAATGTGAAGGATACGACCAATATCGCCTGCCGATGCGCTGGTCATCGACCCCCCGAACGTCAAGGAACCTTGCCATCAGCCTGCCGGGAATGACTTCCGATGAGCGCCGGTGTTTCCGGTTCTTCGGGCATCATACCGTTTCGATGATGGTGGGGTATGCAGAGTCGGAAGTATGGCAGCAGTTGGTGTTGCAGATGAGCCAAAGCGAACCCGCCATCTGCCATGCAGTGGTTGCGCTGAGTGCCATTCATCAGGAATATGAGGGGAAAGGTATGACTGTAAAGCCCGACCACCGGGCCCATCGATTTGCGCTGGAACAGTATGGTCGGGCAATGTCAAGACTTTGCAGTCGCATACAGTCCAACGATCCGCAGGTGCGGGAGATTACGCTGATGTGCTGCATCATCTTCGTGGTTCTGGAGCTTCTCGAAGGCGAGTACAAGAATGCTTTCGCTCATCTGCGGCAAGGACTAGGTATTCTGGACGCTCATTCGGGCCATACGTCGGCAACAGAACGCTCGCTTGCACAAGCGTTCCTGCATCTGAATGTACTACGATCCCATTACGGCCATTCGGACGTTAGCATTACTATCCACCCTCCTCAAGGCAGTGTGGCCGAAGTAGTCTATGAGAGGGTGAAGATTCGCAGCCTGTCAGAGGCCAAAGAGCGCATGCTAGTTCTGATGAACAATATCTTCCATTTTCAGTCCCGCTGCTACGTCTTGTTCCGGGGCGACCTAGCGACGGATATCTTCAGCCTCTCCGCACAGCAGGGCAGATTGCAGTGCCAACTGGACGATTATAGGGCAGACCTCGAGGCATTTGTCTCGATCCACAGCACCCGGCACGCCTGGACCCTGAGAGAGATTCGGAGCGTGGACTTGATCCAATTGCATCTGGAGACCCTAGTCAGCCTCCTGGGAGGCTCCCTGGACACGACGGAAATGGGCTTCGACCGATACCTACCCGAGTTCAAACGAATGAACGAGTTCTGTGAGCGAATCATCAGCAGCTTCAGACGGGAATATAAGGAGACGAGCCGTCTGCCAAGCATGATCATGGACATGGGGTTTCTGCCCGCACTGTTCTGGTCGTGCGTGAAATGTCGGGACCCGGAAACCCGACGGCATGCGGAACAATTATTGCAGGTCTGGCCGCATCGGGAGGGAATTTATGACTCCCACTTGGTCTCGCTGATCTGCGAAGCGATCATCGCCATTGAAAGCGAAGGCCAGGACGAGGCGGGATTTATCCCCCAATCCGCGCGGGTGCAGACCCAGATCGTGGAATTCGCCGAGGACCGGAGTCACATCGTGATGAAGTATACATTAGCCGGCTCTGGGGCTTGGGGTACGGACGAGCGAGAGCGGGTGATTCCGTTTGAAGGTAGAGAGGCACCAGCGTGAAGAAATAATACCAGTGGGCCTACAATGGCCCAGTGACTTTTCAACATACCGCCTCTAGATGAGGCAATGGTGACACGGCAGGTATTAACGGCGCAGACCCCCTACCACCTGCTTACCACAAGAATTGTGTATCCGCCTCTGCATCTAAGTAACACAGATAATAAGAAATTGATCAACCGAACCGAAAGACTTAACCTTGCATTCAGGTGCAATTACCGAGAATTCATCACATTGCATCCGCTTGTAGATCCCATCCAAAGCATGGGGCAGAGAGAGAGAGAGAGAGAGAGAGAGAGAGAGAGAGAGAGAGAGAGAGAGAGAGAGAGAGAGAGAGAGAGAGAGAGACAGAGATAGCTAGAGCGCGCGCGACAAAAGGCTTGAAACAAACTAAACAAAAACATCAACCACACCCCACAGTAAACACAAATCCACCTCAATACACTCTACCCAATAGTCAAGCTATATACGTCCCCCCTCCACACCTCTCTTCCCCTCTCTCCAGACCCCAAGAAAGTACTAGTACTCAGAGAACGAGTGCTATCTGTGATGCAGTACCTCACCCCATCGCATAGATATAAGAAGCAACCTTGACAGTGCATAGATTTATCCCGTTTAGTCAGTCACTTTCTTCTTCTTCTTTTCTTCTTTATATCTCACACAGCTAGGCTTCGAGTCAGTTCTGCACCTCCTCCCCATGTATGCATATTCTAGTACTATTGTAGGATTGCGCTGACTTCTAAGACCAGATTCAATCATGTGGAGGTTTATTTCTAATTGATAGGGGGGCGAATTCGTTGCTTGTTGGAGACTATTATGTATAAACCTAATAGAAACAGTCCATTACTGTGTAAAAGAAGGAATAAGGATAGGATACCTTCAACTGTTCAGTTAGCTGTTTCATGAGTGGGTCGTGGGGGAGTTAGCTGTAGGAAGCGTGAGTGGTTAACTAAGGTATCTATCTCCACTTTCTGTTTAGGTTAGGTTAGGTTATGTTATGTCACTGTGGTACTACCGTGTCTACACATTAAGATTATCGAATTACCCTACGATCTATGGCTTACAAAGTAACGAATTAACTACTATCACTATATCATGCCCATGGAGACATAGAACAAGCGTGCATAACCCCATCATCTTGATGTCAGGTACACGGGCAAGTCTTGTTCTGTCGATGGGCAGTTCATTGTTATTGCACCCATGATGACATAACGATGGGTTATGTCAAGCAACGCAATAATAAAAACTAAGGTGGAAGAATAAGAAGTGCGGATATGTTCCAACGGAACATGCATAGCAGGAGGGAAAAAGAAATCGTTGAAGATCATCATTAACGTTTTTTCGTTTTTGAGAGTGCTGGATCAGAAGTTCGTCGCTTGCCTTGGCTTTCCGACTGGATGGACGTCATTAAAGGCCGGTGTTAGCACACGAGAAAGGACTTCCGACGGTGCCTTCTCTGTAACTGATGATTACGCTTTCGATGGATGCCTGTGGTGATAGTTAGGATTGATTGCATAGCGCAACGGGGAGGGGGCTCACATAAGTCCCGGGTCCGAGGAAAAAGAAACCCGCCAGAATAAGGATGACGTTGATGATTGCGCCAATCCAGCCGCGGAGGCCACGGTTTCGGTAGAAATTGGGTCCGTAGTCTTCCCGGCGCATGCGCAGGTAGGCGGTGCCCCAGAAGATGAAGCCGAAGAAGGAATCGAAAAGGGAACTCATGATCGATTCCAGGTCGGAAAAGAAGGGAATCACCTCGGCGATGATGAAAGCGAGGATCCACAGGATGGTGAGAATGCCGGTCCAGGCGGCCCAGCCGACCACAGTGTGGTTGCCCTTGTGGCGGGTGCCCTCGAACATGCGGAAGAAGATGAAACGGGCCGACACCGAGGCGTACAGCACGCCCAGGAAAATCAACGTCGGGATCATGAACGAGAAGGACACCTTCTTGTAGACCTCATTTCCCAGAGAGCCGAAGGCCGGGGATGTGATGTACTGGTTACCGGTGTAGGCGTACACAATGGCACCGACCAAGCTGAACACGATGATTTCGGCGATGGTGACGGCGGTGACGGATTTCCAGAAGTCCTTGGGCTCCTTCATTTCCGCAATGAAGCTCGGAAGTGTGATCTGCCCAATGAAGGTGTAACTGATATTCAGGAACGCACTCATTCCTGATACAAAGGTCGTTCCAGAGACTGGGATCGCTTTCACGATGCGATCTCCCATCTCCGGGGTGTAGCCCGCCGGATGGTCCTCAATGGCCGAGAAAATGACGGCGAGCATGACCGAGACAAACGTGGTAAATGCTGACAGAGTTGCCACCTTGGACAGAGCACTGAAGGTCCGGGGGAGCGAGCAGACCAGTGAGATAACTGCTGTGATCAGCGAGAACACAATGGTGCAGGTGCCGTGACCACTGATGGTGTTTAGATACTCGGCGCCGACTAAGCAGTGCAAGCCCTATTCCACATTAGAACTTCTGATCGGACAGCGAACGACATGGTGAGTACCTGGATGAAGGTGTTGTTCAACAAGAACATGACTGCAGTGAGATACCACACGACTTTGGAGTCCCAAAAGATCATTTGGCCAATGTCGCAAACGTCGCGAACATGGGGATGTCGCAAGCAGAATTTCCTGCACAATATAAGCAATGATCTTGTCAAAAGCGCGACGTAGGTAGAACTCATACCAAATGACCAACGAGGTATACAGCACAATCAGAGCCATAAGCACCGTAAGGATCAAACCCGGGACCAGGCCAAGCACGGAATAGGACCATGGAAACGACATGATCGCCAAGCAAATATATTCAGAAAACAAGAGGGCAGCAGTCTAGTACGAAAGTGCACAATCAGCCATCGCGACCCGGCGTTTCGCATTCAATGCGTCCAAACAGACCATACGTACCTTCTGCCAGCTACAGGTCCGGTATTTGATCGAATTCTCCGATTCCATTTCAATCTGGCGACCAATTTCCCCCTCGGAATCAGAACCCGACCCAACCTGCTGCTTCTGGCCCTCGAGATCCATCTGCTTCAGCTTGTCTGCCGCTCTGGTATTCTCGGAGATGGACGACCGGCGGGAAATATCGCCGGGTTTAAAAGCGTGGGACTCCGCCATTTTATCGAGCGGACGAGCCGCAAGTGAAACGAGGCGTTGAAACTAAAGACGGAAGAAACACTAAAGGCCTTGGGATGCATGTACTGCTCTCGATGGGAAATAACCAGAGACCTGCAGGCGATAAGGTGTTAAGGTATAAGATATTAAGGATAACTGCAATGCGATCGGTCGTGGCGCAATAGTTCAGAGTCCCTGACTAGAGATAGGCAAAAAGTGAAGGGAATGAACGATGCCAGTGACGGAAGGTGAGAAGAGAAGAAGCACGGAGGAAGGATCTAACATCTTGGGTCATTAGATGGACCGGGCTAAATAGTAGATCTCGCTGGTCAGGCACGTGCCGCCGACTTACTGGAGATAACCGCGAGACGGATCAACACCCCAGGCCACAGAAGTTCCGAACAACATGCGCGACAAAGGAAAAGGCAAATCCAGAGCCTCGACGTGACGTGCGAGGCTGGGCAAGAAGAAACGATTGAAAGAAATCAATGCGAGGTGCAGGAAGAAAAAAAAATCGACTGAAAATCTGGATGCGCTTATTTCTTTAACCTGCAGGGAGGAGAACCGGGGGAGCAAGCTGAGGGCTCCCAGAAAGCGACTGGCGCGGTTTAGTTGCCTTGGCTGTCTCCCGGCAGTGATTTTTATCAAACGGACCGATTGAATCCAGACGAATGAGATCCAATGACCGGGCCCCAATGCAGCCGGCCAGCCCGACTGCCCGGAATGGCCGATGACAACATCACTGACCCGCGGGCCTGGGGCATCCGGCGCCATGACGTGCACCGGCGGGATTCCCCCCCGGCGAGCTGCCCGCCCAATACTATGTGCACAATAGATATATCAGGAACCGAAAGGCTAGACTAGATACATGCTATGGTACAAACATAGGGATCAGTCATGACACCATACATCGTAGGGTCATGGTACCTGATCTCGCACAGCCAGAGTATGACCGCAGAAGTATCGATTCCGCCCCCACGGCCGTAAAGCTCGACTCGGTTAGGTGCAGCAAGGCCGCGTTCAGGCCCACCCCCGTTTTCCCCCCACCGCCCATTGGTCCGTTCTCGGTACAACCTTGCCCGGGTCCCCACCAATCAGGGGCCCGCAAACGCCCGCCGGCGGAACCGTCCGATCGAGGCTGCCCCGCATCCGGCCACCACACTACTACTATGTATGTACTAGTACTCCGTACTTAGTAGGACTTGGGAGTGCCAGGAGGCCGCGACCCAGCCCTTGGCCGCCCTCCCAATGCAGCTGTTACAGCCACCCACCCTCGCAGAGATTTCCGCTCCAAGAGGAACCCAGGAATAAAGCGGTCCCCGTGGAAGATGCTACATAGGGCGAGGGTTAAAGTTGGCACTAGCACCAAGGTGGCATGACGCTGCTTATGCGCCATGCATAAGTGATGTTCCGGTCATATGATAGTATTTTCACATTGAACGGTTCCTCATCAGGCTGATGGCTGGATTCATGCATCGAGAGGCAACCGCCACACTGACTGGCTGCCTCTCAGCCCGTCGGATTAAGCCTTGAGCACGCTATGCGCTAACAGATGGCGTGATCTTCATCCACGTGTTGGTACTGACTTATGTAAGGGGCATCGCCCTCGCTAAAATGGCGCATCTGGAATGGCGGCACCTAGGACTAAGTAGGAGAAGGTTTTGTTAATAGTCAAATCTCACTACTCTATACTAACTACCACCTTCCTAGTAAACATCCTAGTTCGCCAAGTACTCAAAGTAGAACCAATTCTCCGCAACCGACATAGGCCCTGGTGCCTCTGGAGACACGACATTGCGACCAGAGACCGCGTGATTATTTATCGTCTCGCAGGTGTTATTGCTCCCGATTGATGGCAGACTCCTTGATTGAGGTCCTCAAAGGAACTGTATGACTGCGGAACCCCGGAGTTTCATCAACGGGACGGCGCAACTTCTGCCTTGTAGCCATGGCCACCGCTCGTTTATGTGTGGTATACACATTCAGTCGTGATCTCACGCCTGCACCCTATATTGTCTGTAGGGATAAACCTACAGTAGCAATAGAAGGGGGAAGCCAGATCGTTTAATTGTCGATCTAGGTGAGTGCTAATAGGAAATTGGCAATTAGAAGTGTCTCCCGACTGCCGTGCGCAGCAACGTGTCATAGGTGAGGTAGACGGCGAAGCTTTGCTTTCTAGCCAGAGGGTTTGGAGGAGAGAAGCGTTGCACCGTGGGCAGAGGTAGATGGCTGTAATGAGGAGACGAGCACTGATAGTCGCTGATAGCGGGTGTAGCTTTTCTCGATGTTGACCTCCGGAAGGAAGAGGACCACACACGCTCTTTGATAGAGATTGTAACCTGAGAATTGCAGTGTTTGCATTTCCCTCAAGAAGATTTGCTGAACACCCGACGAAATGGGGTTCCTGTCTGCAGTCGAGTAGCGCCATTATTTTGCAGTGGTGGCACGACACCAGCTGCAAGATGGCTCAATTTTGCTTAATCCTTAAGCCATGCGTATATAGCAGACTCCATATAGAAAGCATGTCGTATTCAAATTGCCCGTTGAGTAGGCCTGGATATCCCCTCGTGATATACATATCCAAGACCAAGGCAACGCTCCGGTAGCTTTCGACAGCCTTCTTCATTTCAAACCCAGCGGGCTGACAGGCCCCGACATAAGAGTTGACATGTTGCTCTTCTGCGTAGCAATCTTTCGCCAGTCCCAGAACTCATATGCGAGTCTGCCTCTTACCTCATTTGTAATCTTCTCGCTGCTTCTGAAAGGCATCGAGCCGCTTGGCATGACTTTCAATCCCTTGTTTTGGTTTCTCGCTGATGAGATGAAGTTTGCAGCAGCCAGTGTGAGACGAGAGTTGATGGGGTTATATAGTCATAAGAGTGAGACCCATTCACGCAGCGTGACGATGTTAGTGCCGGAGAGATCGGGTATAGTCAATTGATTTTATCGCCATTCGCCATGGGATCATTGCTGCCAGTGGGTGGCGTGAATTTTCATTCTGAAACCGTGCATTCTGCTGGGATTCTCTTCACCGGACATTTCAATGGCCCAGTACTCTGTATAGCCCCGTGACTTATCGCAGGCCTGACATTAACTCACACAAGGCAGGCAAAATTGAGAGAAGAAGTAGAATGCGCAAGTTAATGCTATGTTACTAATTGACTGGTTTACATAGTATTGGATAATAAGGAATGGAAATCGGTGAGGATTCGCCGACGGTTTTCGATAGGGTTGGTAGTTTCCCAATGCGGTAATAGGCGGGTTATACCTTCTTGAAAGAGATTACCGGTTGGTGTTTGTTACAAGGTGCGGTTGGTTCAGTTCTTCTCAATAGGTGTCTGCAACTGGCTGTCCGAGGCAGTGGATATGAAATTATGCTATGTGGCGATTGTGTTCATGGGTGAATTCAGCTACGGAGCCTGTCCTTGCTCATACGGGTCGGATATATTGGCCCTATATAGCTCATGTCCTACGTCTCACCAGGTGTATGATATCCAGACTACAATCATATGAAGCCAATTTGAACCAGAGGGTAACATGCTTTTGTGGTATCTGCAGTAAAAGATAAGTACAAGATCCGATTACATTCCCTCGTCCTCCCCGGCCAGCAGGGCCGCATAGTCGTCCGCAGAAGCAAAAGTAGGCAGATGCTTGAGCTTGCGCCTCTTCTTCCGGTCAGACTGCTTGTCATCCTTCGGAGACTCATCAGCCGCTCCGAGCTCCACGTCAGACGGCAGTTCCTCGTCACTGTCAATAAAGGCCTCGGCGTCCGAGACGTCCATGTCGAACGGATCTTCGTCATCAGACGGTTCCTCTTCCTTGGCTGCCTTGGCCTTCTTGGCCTTGGCCTTGGTCTTGGTCGGAGGTTCCTCAACATCCGAGACGGCAGCCTCCTCCACATCCTCCATCTCGTCATCCGAGTCGAGGTTGAGTTCGACTTCACTGTCGCCACCCTCTTCGCCTTCATCCTCGGACTGGTCATATGCGGACTCGAGATCATCCATGTCGAGATCGTCGTCACTGGCAGCTTCCAGGTCGGGGCGTGAGTCAACCAGAGCCTTCCAAATCTCAGACTCGGCATCGCTGGCTCCTTCCCCATCCTCCTCGTCTTGGTCAGTACCCTTGGTCTTCTTCTTGGCCTTCTCCTTATCTTGACCCTTTCCGATCCGGCTAAAGTACTCGTGGAAGAAGACATCCTCCGCAGCAACGTCCTCGGCCTTCTTCTTCCAGAACGCCTCCGAGTTGAGAGAGAGATGCTGGCCCTGCTTGCCCGCCGTAACCAACCGATCCTTGGCCTCGCTGCCTGCAAGAGGTTGCATGATGGAAGATCCACGGGTAAGCGCAGAGGCCTTGGGTGTACGGTAGACGAAGCGGTCAAGGAAGTGAGACAAGGTGTGCAACGTCATGTCGGGCTGTCCAGACATGGGCTTGTGGTCGAGAAGGTGAGCCGCGTTGACAGACACGGAGGGGTGGAAATGAGACAGATAAGGTAGCTAGATATGTATGAGTAAGGGTCTAGGACTTGGGATAAGAAATATACCTACCAATTCCCACAGGCACGTCCTATCGGCGTTACTGTGCTCGGGATCTCTCTTGCGGGGGTCGTATTGAGTGGATGGCTTCTTCTGTTCCAGAGCTTCGGGTTGCTCCTGCGGCTCGTCATCCTCATCAGGGACATCACGGAACACCTCCTCATCATCGCTATCGTTCTCTTCGGGTTGATCGAACAGAGAGGCGAGATCCGGGAACGTCTTCTCAAGTTCGCGGATCAAATAGAACACGCCACAGATGAAGGCAGGTTGGTGCAGTCCAAGGACTTGAATGATACGCTTCACGAACGCCTTCACACGACGAGTGTTCAGATCATTCTTCAGAGCCTTGAACAAGAGGTTGAGGTACAGCGACTGCTTGGATGAGGTAGCAACCCGCGGGTCGAGCAGAGACTCGTACAACGTCCGGTAGAAGCGATCAGCGCCAACCTGGTGAGAGGAAGTCAACTGCTGGATCAGCATGAGTGCCTGAATGCTGGTGTTGAAGTTTGCGGAGTGCGTGATGCGGAAGAGAGTATCAATGTGCTTAGAAAGACTGATAGACACGTTAGTTGTATCAATAATCGGGTGCATGCTATAACGTACCGGTCAGTGTCCGAGCTCGTAAATGGGTAGGATCGGTTGACACCGGTCAGAACCGCAGAGGTCAGTTTGTCCCGCACTTCTTCGGTCTGCGCCAGACCCTTGGCAGAGTCATCCTTTCCTTTGCCCTTGTTGTGCTTGTTGCCAAACTTTCCGTTCTTCCTGCCCTTGGTGTCCTTGTTAGGTTTCAGAAGAGCCACGAAGACCGAGAAGTAGATGTCAAGCAACTGCAATGCCACCTTTTCCTCTTTGAGACTCAAGACCGTCTGGTTCAGCGTGATCACGGCATAGTATTTGGCGTGTTGACTTTGACCAGGGCGGAAAAGAACCTCCTCAACGGCACTAATAATGGTAGGCTTCATCAGGGGATGCGCCTGCTCAAGCTGCAGGAGCAGGTAAGACGCCCGCGAGGCGATTTTCTTGGACGTATCTCCCAGCTTGTTGACCAGCAGGCGCAGGAGATTCGTTTCCTGCTCTGGCTTCTCCTTGAGCAGTTCATAGACATAGCTGACAGCTCTGGAGCGAGAAAACTCAATCTCATCATTGCACCAGACTTCCAAGATCTTAAGGACCTCGAAGAATTGGTCCTTCAAGAAGTGCTCATAGGCCCAAAAGATCAAGTGACTGTTCTTAAGACCACCGGGAAGAGCATCCCCCTCGGACCACTTGCTGCCTGCTCCTTGCAACGCAGCAATAAGATCGGGCTGGTTGGCAAAAGCCCGCAGTCTCCGATCACCAGGGAGCAATGTTCCTTGAGCAAACATATCCTTCAAGGATCTGAGAACTTCCACCGCCTGAGCACGACTGCGCTTCTTTCCAAGGGCAATCAGGTTCTCTAGTGCCTTGGTGTTGTGGAGAGGCGATTCCTGGACGGCAAGAGTCAAGGCAGAGGTCTTATCGCTAAGAGTACCGGTGGACATGATCGTGCTGTAGAACTTGTGGGACGAAGATGCGGAAGCCTGCTGTGCTTCAGCGTACATCTTGTTTTCCTTCTCAAGGAGCGACACGGCGTAGTTGTAGAAGCGATCCACCACATGGCGAGGTAACGACTTTGCTTGTGCTGTCGGGATGGAAGGCAGTTCTGTCATGTACCAATCGGATCTGGGACGGATAGACTAGAGATCGGATTAGAAGGTGGGAATTAGTTGGTCTGGTTAAACTTACGAGTTTGGCAAATTCCTTGGGGAAAACAACTTCGGGAGCGGTCTCTTTGGCTTTCTCTTTCTTGGTCGATTCTTTGCTGTCTTTCGGAGCTGGCGCGGGGGCTGGAGACTCTTTCTCGGAGACTTCCTCATCCATGGCATCATCTTCATCCTCCTCGCCATCTTCCTCGTTCTCCTCCTCGTCCTCCTCTTCAATATCATCTTCGTCGCTTGCTTCTTCCTCCTCAATCTCCTCATCCTCTAGGTCATCTGGGACAACCTGACCGGCGGCAGCCAGCATGCTCGACAGCTCCTTTCTGAGAGAAGCCTCGTCGGACTTGTTCTTCGGTTTCTTGTCTGTAGCATCCTCAACTTCGGAGTCGGAACCAATCCCAGCGAGCAGATCCAGATCATCTTCGGTGCCTCCAAGGGCCAAAATTTCCTGTCGAAGAACATCATCCTGACTCTCCTTCTTCGTCGTCGGCTGCTTGTTTTTCGAGATAACCTTCTCCTCCCTCGCGATCACCTCGCCGTTGCGGTCACGCTTCTTGCCTTTGTTGTTCTTGTCGTTGAAAGCCTGCTTAGGGCCTGGCTTCGGCGCATCATTCTTCTTCGGTGTGTCGTTGGATCCGGCCTTTTCCTTGTTGTTCTTGGGCTTCTGCTTGGCGGCGCTCTGGTCTTTCAGTCGCTGCTCGATCTTCTGTCGCAAGCCGGCAAACGCACTCTCCTCCAGTTGAGGCAGAGCATCGGCACCGGTGTTGGAGTCGTTCACAGAAACACCACCATCAGGGATGATATTGTTCGCTCCAGAGGAGCGCTTCCCCTTACCTTTGGCCATGACGGAATGTTAACGGCCAAATGCAAGTGTGATGATGGGGATTTGCTTCCACTTTTTTCTGCCGCCAAAAAATTGAGGAGACTCCCAGGCCGCCGGAGAAACGGCGGTCCGGACCCGCTGGCGGCGCTCGGACCATCCGAAGTCCTCGAGTTCCGCATGCTTCACATCTATTTACTTGGCAATGTTTCTTGCTTAATTCTCGTGTTTATCCATTGGCTTGGATGAACATAGCTGCCACGTGCTAAGGTGCTGCCCTTATAACCGGACCTCATGATTTCCGGGTTTCGCCCGGTTCCGGGCCGTTATTCGGGAATCAGTCGAGCACACTTTGGCATTGCTCGATTCCATAGAACATCAAAATGCGCCTTTCATGTATGACATCCCAGTCACCGCCAGCCAGCAATCTTGACGCTGATTATGTTAGGTGGATGGTAGAAGTCGGATCTCCAACTTCTGGATTCCAACCGGAGGCATTTCCAAAAAGCCCGTCCAGGGCGAAAAAGGTACCAACTATTGCAAGAGCGCTGCATCGTGACGGCTTCTAACGACGACCAGAGGATGCCAATGACCTCTTGGTTCGGGGTGGCTTTTTGCGACAGGTGAGACTACCTCACAGATCATGATTATGGTCCTAATCCGGCCCAGGCGTACTCGGGTATCTTCCATATGTTGCCTCTGGGCCTGCGTGTGCAAGATAAGCTAGAGCGTCTCATTGATAAGCACATGCGATCACTTGGTATGAGATTACGAACATTCTGTCTGTCTAGTGCTCTGTCTCATCGCACTAAATCGCTACAGGTGCCTCTAAAGTGTCATTGTCGTCTATATCCGCCCAGGAACTTTGGGAGCAGTCGGGGCGTCTAAAAGAGGGCTCTGAAGTAAGGATTCTGTATTCTCCTAACAAACTCCGCTCACTCACAACTATATCAGGTCTTTCGCTTTCATGATCGGAAGGAATCCCGCTTTCTCCTTGCTCCCACCCATGAAGAGGAAATCACCACCTTGGTGGGTCACCTCACTAAATCCTACCGAGACTTGCCGGTGCGAGTGTACCAAATATGTGAGTCAGTCATTCACAGCTGGAGCAACAGCTGACAACTCAATCTAGCAAGGAAATACAGAGATGAGCAACGGCCCAGGCAAGGTCTTCTTCGAGGGCGCGAGTTCATCATGAAGGACCTCTACACCTTCGACTACAATGTCGAGAATGCCCTGAAGACCTACGTGTCAGTAAAGACTGCTTACACCGAGCTCTTCAATGAACTCAAGATTCCTTATCTGGTTGCTGCGGCGGACTCGGGAAATATGGGCGGCAGTCTAAGTCACGAGTTCCATTTTGCCAGCTCCAAGGGCGAGGACACGGTTATCAGCTGCTCCAGCTGCGATAGTGTCTACAACGAAGAGCTCGCAGACGGGAAGGCTCACAGCGTTGATGACCAGCAACTTCCAGCTAGCCACGCAGCCGGTTTTGATACTGGAGAAGTGTCCGGTGAATCGGCAAAGGCGGTTTCCATTGGTCTGTGGATGGCCATATCACAAGACAAGAACGCACTGCTGCGGTGCTGGTACCCACAGTATACCCTGAAGGATCCTAGTCAACCGCCCGCCGAACGGGAAGTTAACTCCCATGCAGTCAAGTCCATAGCCAAGGCAGCCGGCATAGAGCTCGATATCAGCATTGAGAACCCTCTGAAACAGTGGGCCACTCATCTCAAGTCAGACGAGGCTTCGGGTCAACGGCCCCGCGTGGTGGATGTGTATGACTCACATGTGCGGGCATACAAACGGCCGCCATTGACAGACACCCTAGACGACGTCAGCTGCGCGGTGGAGGATATCGACTTCTCCAAACTGGACCGCTTTCCAGGGACCAACAACTACCTCAACCTGGTGAGAGTGCACGAGGGCGACCAGTGCTCCAAATGCGGCCAAGGCTTAACAAAGACACACAAGGCCACCGAGCTTGGTCACACTTTCCATCTTGGCACGCGGTACAGTGAAGTCCTACAAGCCTCTGTGGTGGTCGACCAAGCCCACCTCGACAAAGCGGACCGCTCGTCACTCTCTTCAAAGGATCAAATCGTCCCCATGCAGATGGGCTGTCACGGTATCGGTGTCTCGCGCATGATTAGCGCAGTCGCGGACAGCCTTGCAGATTCGAAAGGGCTCAACTGGCCCCGCGCTATCGCTCCGTACGAAGTCATTGTGGTCCCTGGCAAAGGATTAGAAGAGGAAGCGGAGAGAATATACGACGTGCTGACCTCAGAGCCCACAGCTGCGCTGGACGTGATTCTCGATGACCGTGACAAGCAAATGGGCTGGAAGCTAGGCGATGCCGACCTAATCGGATACCCCGTGATCGTTGTCGTCGGCAAGGGGTGGAAGAAGCAACGCACACTGGAAGTGCAGTGTCGTCGACTCGACGTCCGCGAGGATGTGGCATTTGAGGCTCTGCCGGAGTTTGTGCGTTCCTTGCTTGACAAGCTGTAAGCCTCGGCTGTGTCATGACAAGGCAGAATTGCGCCACAGCAGATACCACCTGTATAGCATACTGTATGATAAGACTTGGTAGTTGCGATAATATACCCCTCCATTCTGAGTGATCGGGCGCGCACCAGCCACAACCATAGCCCAGGGGGGTGTTAGCGCTGACGGCCTAAACCGCCTTGCAGTACTTAACGCAGTGACTGCCATGGACTGACTATATGAAAGATTCCCTCCACAGTGGTATCGTCAATAACTTACGAGTCAACCCTCCCTTGTCTTCATAATATAGGCTCCTTCCATACGCTCGATACACTCACACTCATTCTAGATAAATTCCCGATAAATCCTAAGTACGGAGTAGTACTCTTGGCCCTCCTACTTCCACTTCCACTTTGACCTCAACTTTTATCAACAAATCACACAATGACCACCACCACCACCGACCCCCGCATCCGAGTCGGCATCGCCGCCTTCATCTTCAATCCCTCGGGTCAAATCCTCCTCGGCCAAAGAAAAGGCAGCCACGGTGCCGTACATCCCCCCTTTTCCCCAGCTCCTCCTTCCAAACAAAACCCCAATCGACGACTACTACTACTAGTACCACCACTACTACACCAACACTAACCCTACACCATACAAAACAGGGACCTGGGCCCTCCCCGGCGGACATCTCGAGGCGCACGAATCCTGGGAAGCATGCGCGGCTCGCGAAGTGCAAGAAGAAACAGGTCTCTCGGTGCAAGAATTCCGCCATTTAACAACTACCAACGATGTAATCGTAATGGATGATGGGAATGAGACGAAGTACTACACGACGGTGTTTTTGGGTTGTGTGCTTTGTGATGGGGATGCGGTGCCGAAGGTTAGTTTGTTCCTTGGAGTCTGTGTGGGTGTGTGTGTGGGTAAATGATTCTCATTTAGGTTATGGAGCCGGATCAATGTGGTGGGTGGGAATGGGCTACGTGGGATGAGGTTCGATCTTATTATGAGGTGCAGAGGGCTGCGGAGGAGGGTGGTTCAGTGGAGGGGGTTCAGAGGCGGTTGTTTACGCCTATGCTGAATTTGTTTCGACAGAGGGAGGGGTTTGATCCGCTTGTTGGGTATGGGTGTGAGTGGGGGTGGGGGTTATGGACGGTTGTGATGTTTCTTTTTGATGTTGGGAAATCGAATTCAAAGAAAAGAAAACAGGAAGAAGAAGGGGACGAGAGCAAAGAATAGAGTGGAGTAGAAATGACGATATGATTTTATTAATGAGCGTTCCAGGTTGTTATTGGATACTTCGGTGAAAGACTAACCAGGGCATCGTCTGGTCTATATGCCAAAAATCTTCAAGTGAGAATACCTCTTCCCTCATTCCATGCCTTCTTTCAATGAATGCATCTGATCAAAAGGTTATCATCTGACAATGACATTAGGATTACTCCAAACATACCCCGTACTGGTCCTAGCCCTGAGCACTTATCCTAAATGCGCTCTGTCATGACTTTGGTCCGTATCGGACAAAGCAAAGCGAAGGTACTATGCAACCCTGGTCTTGAACTGCATCTATCGGGAAGCCTGGTTGTTGTCTATACCGATAGTCGCCATAGCCATTAGCCTCGAGCATTGAAAAGTTGATATTGGAGTACTCCTATATAGAAATTAGTTCTAGCCATTACCCATCTGTGGCTAACTTACGAAGCTCGTCACGGGTCGTGTTGAGAGTCTGTAAGGAGATGTTATTGTTGAAGACCCCCAGAAGGTTAGATGCCTTGTTGGTATTAGCAGGAAGGCAATCGCTGATTGTTAGCAGTTTCTTTCTACTTACACATTTGATTTCATTTTCCATCCGACTCACAAATGCATCGGCCCGTAATTTCAAGTTGGACAGAAGGTTTGAGTAGAGACCCAACGTTCTGGCTGTATTATTAGGATATGCCGAACTTGCTTCGAGGGACCGCCTCCAAAGCTTGTGATCTTGCAAAATTGCCGCTGCGTTGGTAACGGCAGCATTGAGGGTTTCCGAAATGTGAATCACATGCCGCGAGACCTCGTGTAGAGTTGCATAGCGCTCGCTGAGCTGTTCGAGTTTTGTATCATCGATGTCTGCTCGGCTATAGGCGTGGTTGTCTTTGAAGGAACTGTACCGCTCCTGGAAGAGGTCAGAGGAATCATGGCAGTGATTTAATACAAGCCCTACCTTTTCTATTTTGCGTATAGGACGGCGAAAACTCCCCAGGTCTTCTTCGAACTGTGCCACCACAGTCTCGAGCGCAACCTTGAGCAGGAAGAATGGCTCATTCTGGGACTCTAAAAGGTCTGTGTCTCGCAAAAGGCGAACAAGCTTTGAAGACATATGTTTGTCTAGGTCAAAACATAGCATTATGTGCGTTTCGCCGGAGGGGAGTGGCATGTCACATTCAGCCTCGCTCTTCTGTTGACCTTCCATGTGCTTCAGCCACAACGTGCTGAATCCCATGTAGTGCCAAATATATTCGGAGCTCTCCGGACTGGCGTTACGATCATCTACCTTTTTGGATAGAAAGCGGGAAAAGGTTCCTAACGACGCACAAGGGGGCAGTGTCAGCTACCTGTCAACTCAGCACTCGGCAGAATATTCAACGGTCGCTCACCGCACCCTCCAAAGTCCCTGTCGCTGCGCCCAGCACTGGATGAGGAGGAGATCCCAACACTGCCAAAGAAGCCATTGGAATCCCAGCCCATATGGTCAAAGAAAAAACCGGGAAGACGGAACCTCTGGGTTAATTTTCGGCGTAAATCCGCAGTGTAGTAGTCGGGATCTTCTTGCGTGGGTGGCATAAGACTGGAAAATCAGCTGGCTACTTCGAGTGACGGGAGAATTGGACTCACATCACATGAGCCCCAGGCTGTTTGTAAAACTAGACACCACAATCAGCAGGAGATCATCTGAAGGGATTTCGCTGTTGTGACGGGTTCACATTTGGATCCAGCAACTCATGGACTTCCAGTTGTTTGACCTCTGATAGTCTCTCCTCCGACCCCGGCACGGAGCCGAGTTGAAGTTGGTAACAGTTCATGGCCTCTGTTCGACTCCTCTACCGGAACGTGTACCTATCTAGCCACGCCCTGGCGGAAATTGTATAGGCCAGGAGGCCTGGGGCGTGGAGGGTTTAGAGGGCTACTGCTGGAGATATGCCGTACAATGTAAGAATCATCAAGCACAGGACTAAATTTATTCCAAGCCAAAGAGAATGTATGCTTTCACTCCCTAGCGTTTAAATTCGGGACCACATCGCAATAAGATGGACGGCACTCATCGAGCGGATACGAGTGCCGCCTGACCCTAGCTTCCCCTCCATTGATTGGTGCCCAGTAGCGCCTTCTTTTACCCCTCACCAGGCAGCTGGAGTCAGTACAGTACCTCCGAACTAGGTTCCATGCATAGCCCCATGATACGGTGATACCAAGTCGACACAGCATCCTTGAGTGGTATTTAGGAGCTGTTGCTTCTTCAGATGAGCCCTACTATTTGTTGAGGGCAAATTCCTGCTGAGGCGCTAGGCCCTCTCTTGGAAGTCCTCTATTTATTTAAATACCCCAGTTGCACCAGAGAACCTCTCTGTCGCTATCCCCTTCTACCCTGCGTCCCGTGCTTAGGATTACTTTTCCAGGTAACTTTCCTAGGCAAATGGCTTAGTGAGGTAGTCCCGGTAACCTCCCATACCCGACTGAGGTACCAGTACCCCAAACTAGTGCCGACCTTGACTTAACACATACCAGTCATATCGGAGCCCCCCGAATTAGATTTCCCTCTGTTACTGCTACTACAGTTAAATTCCTCACGCCCCGGGTCATTGGCCAGTCATGGCCCCTGCCCCCGGTTCTGCCCAGCAAACGTCACTGCAGCCCGGTATTTGGTTGTTAGATGATATAAGAATGCTGTACTCGGTATTTTTACTCACACGTGGGTTTCCTGGATACATCTTACTTCTGAGCCATTGGGGTAAGTAAATTTTCTGGGCCTTTAAAATCCCAACAGATAACAGAATTCTTCAACGTGTTGGAAGGACCCGCCCGCCGATTCTGCACTGCCCCCGATATGAATAATCTTTGTCACCACACGACCCTTTCAATCTGCACACATAGGATGCGCGAGTCCCTCAGACCATATGTCTTCGATAAAATCCATCCCCTTGTCTCGAGTCGCATTTGGTCTCGTATAATAGTTCGCGGGCACTACGCGCGACAAGGCAAGGACGTGCATATCTCCTCCACGGAGAAAAAGGATAAACGGTTCAACTGGCAGCGACCAACGGCGACAATTCTGGATGACGAGACTCTGGAGATATGCTGCTTTCCTGGGGAGGATTATGTACGACATTATTCCCTGCTGATGGCATACCATCTGGCACTCAACGACATCAGACAATCCTCCGCGATTGAGTGCTTTCCACCCTCCTCAGGCGATACCATGGGGATATTCGAGCGATCGAATCTTCGACTGATGGGGAAGGTTGATACTGTCGTGTTAGGGTGTGTGGAATACCTAGTTCCTGGAGAAGAACAGGTTCCCTGGGAAACAGGAACCAGCGCGACCGATCAGGTATTCGCTTGGAAAGTGTTTCGCCGGGATGATGAGCATGTGGTGTCCTTTCTTGCATGTCTGGTTAGCCTTTGGGGGGATACTCTGGGGACAGTGGTTCGCGCTCTTCGGCAGCTGAACGATGTGTCCTGTGTTCTCTACATGGGAAAAGCCGGTTCCTTGAGACCAGAAGATACACCCAATAATGTGCTAGTGTCCGGGGAGGCCAGCTATGTGGCTGGCAAGCAAATCACATGGGATAACGTTCTCAAACCTGCAATATCAGCAGCCACAACTGCGAGGGTTTGTCATGGAATAAATGTGACAGTTCCGACCCCACTTGTTGAGACTGACGCCTGGTTTGAACAGTGGAAGAGAAAAGCAGACTGGGTGGACTGTGAAATTGGGCACGCTGCAGAGGCTTGTCAGGCAAACGAAATAAAATTCGGATACTTGCATTTAATCTCGGATAATGTGGCACGATACTACCCGCAAAACCTTGCAACAGAACGTCAGCCTACCGAGAGGCTGGCACGGAGGAGGATGTTCCAACAAATGCAGGACATTCTAAGCTTACATCTACAACTGGGCGACACTGCACCGGGGCCCGAATGAGGCCAGAATATCACGATTCGGGAGATACATTTATAGACGCAATTCCTCAATGTTAGACAAAGGCGGCACTAAATCTATCTATGTAGACTAATTTCTGCCCTTTTTATTACTAATATCTGTCTAGGTAACTACTTAACAAAAGCCCCTTGTGCCTGTCCATTGACAATCGAGCGGTCGAGACCTTGCTGACAGAATTAGTCACGATAACAAGGCAACAAACTGAAGTTTCCCGTTAATTAACTCTGAAAGTCGCACATGCTCCTCGAACAAACTAGGCTGATCCCTCTCAAGCGTTGTACATATGCCGAAAGTGACAACTTGTGCAACGTTGAGCCCGTGACTCACTCTGACATTGCTCGGCAATAGCCACTCCAAAGCTGACCTATACCGACCATCCCCTTTCTTACTCAAATGCCTTGACCAGGTAAATTCCAATATCCAACCAATAAACGTGCGTGTTGCCTGGATCCTCGATACCGACTAGGAAGGTCACGGTATCCGACCAAGCGGGGCAGAGGCAGTGCAAGGCTCAACGGCTAATAATCTTACCTAGTCTTGTCCGGTAAGCATCGATAACCGGTCCTCGATCTATAGCACGGACGGGCTTTTTCTTTCGCATCCATGTAAGGGGAGTTGCCATTTTCTGATTACCCATCTAGGTTCACAAGCCAAGCCTCACATCACATAAATAATGAGCTGATGGATCCCAGGGACAGACTGCTGCGCTGTTGATCTTTGATAACCCAATCCGCACATCTACATTATCTACCATCACCACTATCACTACCACTACTTCTACTACAGGGAAAAAGGCACCACCCATGATGTCCGAAGTACCCTACACCCTATCCGACGCAGCGACCCAAAAAGTCCAACAAAACAAACTCCTCGTGCGCATCGAAAACGACCGTGAAGACGGGTACGATTACTTCGAAGCAATTGTCCAGAATCGTCAGGGCGAACAGATCTTCAAGTCTCCGGGGAGTAGTATGATTGAGAAAGTCCGTGCGGAACTGGAGGAGTTTCTACTGGCGTATGAAGGTGAGTTTGCCTTACTTAACCCGTAGAGGTATTGTGTAGTATCGTGTTTGGTCTTTTCTAATGGAAGTTGATAGAGCCCATTCCAAAGTGGCGCGCCTTTATGTCGAGGGTAGGTCATGGGAATGTGCATGGCTAGAGAGCTTGTTGCTGATGGTGATGGTGCTCATGTTGATGTTTAGGCGAGACCTAGTGCGACGTGATGATGCGGTGGGTTGGTTGTTTGTTGGGGGAGGCTCGAGGCTGATGGGCTGGGTTTTCAGGGAGTTTGCTACCTTGCTATATTGCTCCTTTGTGTTGTTGATTGTTGATTGGGCTTGCTCATCATCTCTTTCTTCGTTTATGGTTACCTAGGAGAATGCAAACTATATCATAAGACAGACAAGAGCATCACATGCCCTGTATTCTGTATTTTAGATGTCTAGAAGTCGAATCAGTGGGCTTGAGTATAAAACTTGGATGGAACTACTATCTTGATAGTGTTTCGATGGGAGATTCCGCGGATATGGAGTACTCCGTACGTATGTAATTGTTTTCCGGGCCTTCTGTGTCTGGGTCTTTTCTGATGGGGGTAGTGTCATCTCACGTAGGTCTCTGTATGATGCTTGGGCAGTCTGAGGCAGACCTCAGCGGGAGCACGTTATTGGACATCGGTGAGACTTGCGGACACTGTTTCCCGGACATATCGTCCGATACTTCGTGGTAATTGTCCGCGTGGCGGTGTTGGTATTATTCCGGGTCGCCTTCAAGAAACCGATCATCGGTGACTACTATGTAGCAAGCGATGCAAGATGCGATGGATACTGGCGCTTTGCCTGCCAACCCACAGTAATCGCCATTGCTGAAGGACTAGTGAGCAAGCATCGCTCGTGTGCTGAACGTATGGCAGCCGCAGAATTCATGCAGAATTGTCTCCCATTTCTGCCATACACTTGACATGGTCACAGTCGGATTGGTAAAGATATACTAAAAGGTATTGGTCTGGCTGGTGATATTGATATCCCGCATTGCTTGGTTGAGAACTTTATTGCCGTAGTTGTTGATAGTATTGGATCGAGGCTACGTATGTCTCGTCAGCTTCATTGGAACTGGTGGATTGTTACCAGCCATGGGTATGGGATTACCTCTGGGCTGTCCCGTGTGTCTCGAGCATGAATGATCTCCAATAACTTGGCTTTCACCAGTTTGTAACCATCCTCCTCAGGAGATGCAAACTTGCAGATGTCAAGATGGTTTGCTCGGATAGGAAGCACTTCTCCAACGCCAACATAGGCAGAAGAGCTCTCTTCAACGACCTGGGAAGAATTCAGCACTGCAGCAGCACTGGCTGGTTTTCGGACCTGCATACCCGGACCCCAAACGTATCGAGCGTTTCGTAGAAAAATGTCACTTTGACCTTCTCCGGTGTCTCATTTCGCTTGCGTATCACCTCAGGAAATGCGACTCCTAGATGCTTGAGGTCGTTAGAATCTTCTACCAGTGTCTTTAACGTCTTTTGGTCCGTCTTCTTGACCACATTGAATATTGCCCGAACAAAGTTGCCCCATTTTGCCAGGTGGGATCCTGCAAACGGAGTACCCAGAAAGATAATACCCTTGATGTAGCGAGCAATGGCGTTCACACTATCCCCAGCTACGTTCCGATCACCAAGAATGACTGCTTCCGCACAGACGAGACCGCCTAGGCTGTGAGCCACGAAGATGAGGGGACGGGTTTCCTAAGAGCAATGGATCAGATTATCGACTACATTCTTGCTGCTGCACGGTGGCCCTGTCGGTCTTACGCTCTCTGGGGTGGATCTCTCATCCTTGAGGAGGGCACAGAGGCAACGAGCATCGCTAGTAAGGCTTCCTTGGGTAATCTCAGCCTGGCTGGAGTGAATGACATTGGAATCGTATCCGAAACTCATGAGTCGGCAGTTTTCGATGTCTGTCGGGAGGTACTCCTTCGGCCACAAATGGCCATCCTTGGTCCAGGTCTTCTCTCGATGGCCTCGTAAGCCATGGACGAACACAATGCTTCCAAGGGTCAGTGTCAACAAATCGAGGGGAAGCGACAACTCTTACTCGACCTCAGGCTTCTCCCCTGTATACCATGTCGAGACCCCGTAGTTGGACATATCGCAGGGTAAGAGGCTGGATGTTTTGGTACTAGCCACTCTGCCAGGTTCGAGGGATCCAAGGCATTTTTCAAGGGGATGTCGGCAGGCATATGCGACTTGTCTGCCCCCACCAAGAGATGCCTGGGGCCCTGGGCGTGTGACGGATAAGCCACTGACGGTGCGCCCGAAGGAGCGATCTGCAGCTACGGAGTAACTAGCAAGCGAGTCGGCCTAGTTCGCTGTCTGCGAATCGCGGTTCAACACGTAAACCGGGCGCATAATCCTCCTACCGTGCAGGCGTACACAGCTGAGGCGCTAACGCTGCGTCGCGCAGCCTTGTCGGATTCGCGTAATGAAAGTACAGTATACGAGTGCGTTTCCGGGTATCACTACCCATGCGCTGAGCTCCTCTAACACTTCAACGCTTCAACAACATCCACTAGTGAGGCCTAGCCACCCTTGATATCCCTTCATCGACCGGTGATTGGGGCCTCAGATGGAGGATGCCGTACCCACAGACGAATAACTACGCATCCGTCGGCAATCAAGCCGGTGGGAACATCAACATCAATAACTTTGCAGGTCTGTGATGCTCTGCAGTGTCGGTCGATGTATCTAAGTAGGACCTGGATTAGTGCGAGGTCTCTGATCCTGATTACAGCCACCACCAGCATTGACGAAATCATACGCAAGTTCAAGCGCGACGGGCTGGACTATACCGAATCTAAACACCGCATCCCTACCCCCATCGAAGGCACATGCGAATGGGTCAAGAAATGCAGCAAGTACGAACAATGGATCCGCCAGCCTTGCGGGATATTTCTCGTGGTTGCAGATCCGGGATGTGGGAAATCGGTGTTGGCAAGGGCCATGGTCGACGATTTCCAAAGGGTTCAAGAGCGAGAGAACGCCCTCGTCTGTTATTTCTTTTTCGAGAGTAACGTGGGCATTCAAAGAAGCTCAACCATGGCCTTCGGTGCCCTCATACATCAGGTGTTATCGAAGAACCGTGATATTGCTCGAGCCTCATTGGAGAACATGGTGGTTGACGGAGACAACCTCAATGAGGATATCCAACCCTTTTGGGACTTGCTCATGAAGATATTGCAATCTTCCAGGAAGCAGGTAATCTGTGTTTTGGACGCTCTCGATAATTGTGAAGACGGCGAGGAACTCCTGGAGTATTTGATCAAGAATTGTCCCTCCTCGACGCTTTCGGCATCCAGGATAAAGTTTTTCCTCACGAGTCGCCCGTTTGGCAAGCTAGCCATGCTGATTGACAAGCCGGATAACCCCCCGGAGTTCAGTGTCGTCAAAGACAATGACGCAAATAACAAAGAGAGGATTCGGGAAGAAATCAGCCGCGTCATTCAGAAGCGAGTGCCAGAAGTTGCTGCCTTCCGGGATCTGACACCATCCGAGGTATCAGCGCTGATCAGTGACTTGCAACGAAAGAACGGAGATGCCACATATCTTTGGGTGGACCTCGTTCTAAAAGAACTGCAGAGGAAAGAAAACCAGCAGTTGACTAAGAAGGCATGGTTGAATCTGGCTCGTACCTTTCCCAGATCCCTCGATTTAGTCTACGCCAAGATGCTGTCGGAAGTGAATGATGTAGCCTATGCTAGGCGACTCATGCACATCCTTATAGCAGCCCGGAGGCCTTTGACTTGGCAGGAAGCAAACATCGCAGTCGAACTCCGGTGCAACTTTGCTTCCGATGAGCCTTGGGACGCGGAGGAGACGGAGAATTCCGAGAGGGCTTTCAGGACACGGCTTTTAGCTTGTTGCGGATTCTTCATGACAATCTCTTCCGGGAAAGTCCATTTCATTCACCAAACAGCCCGAGACTTCCTTCTAAAGACGGCCCGTTCGCCCGAACCTTATATGTTATGGAAATGGGCCTCGATTGCCTACGATTGCCTCGCTTCCGCTATCCTACGCAGACCGCGGAGCTGGAAGAATTCAATTTCTGTGGAAATAGCGGAGCGAGCACTAGCGGAAACATGTACCAAGACTCTACTCCTTAAAAGCAGCACCGACGAGGACCGACTGCTGTCCTTTATTCGTTACTCTGCAGTATACTGGGAGTCGCACTACCGATATCCTGGAGCAAGTACCGATACTCTCACGAGCTTTGCAGGAAAGCTATGCAAAGCAACGGGTAAGCAGGGAAGGGACTGGTTATTGGCATATTGCCAACACCATCATCTACATGAACGACCACAGAGTGGGTTGGTCTTGGCAAGCTACCTTGGGCTGTCGCGAGTAGTAAGAAAATTGCTAGAAGAAGAAGATCTTCGCTTTGGAGATTACGACATGGCGATGCAGACAGCCTGTTCCAGAAGCCATGTGGGGGTTATCGATACGCTTCTCGACCGACGGCCAGAGCAATTTGAAGTTAGCCTAGAAGTCTCCATGGCAGCCGCACGGAATGGCAAAAGCGGCGAGCAGGTAATGCGTCGGCTGTTCACAAGATGCGGACGGCAGGTTCCAGTCACTACCGAAGTGCTGGTGGCAGCCGCAGGAAATTGGGACGGGGGAGAACAACTTATAGAACTCCTCTGCAACAAAACTGAGAAGATCACAATCAACTCGGAAGTATTGATGGCAGCAGCAGCGAATAGGAAGACGGGCGAGCGGGTGCTGCTCTGCCTGAAAAAGAGATTTAGGCCACTGGACTTATCTGAGCTGAAGAACTTGATCACCCCAGAAGTGGTGGTCGCTGCCGCACGGAACTGGGATAGGGGGAAGGTAATGGGACTTCTCCTGAACTGGAATCAGGACATCATAGTCACTCGTGCTATCCTGGTAGCCGCAGCCGAGAACTGGGGAAGTGGTGCCCAGCTGATGAAGGTTCTTCTTGGCCATCCAAAGCAACAGCATATCTCAATCCCCCGAGAGGTGGTGATAGCGGCAGCCGGAAATAAGGGGTGTGGGAAGAGCGTTATGGAGCTTCTCCTCGAGCACGACAAAGCACTTAAAATCACCCCTGAGGTTGTCGTGACCGCTGCGGGAAATTGGGGGAATGGTGAACAAGTCATAGAGCTGCTTCTGGGCCGGATCAGTTCGGGAGTTCTGACTCCACGAGTGGTGGTAGCAGCAGCCGGGAACTGGGCGAGTGGGGAAGAGGTCTTGAGACTACTACTGGCCAAGTATGCTCACAGCGTCCCTATTACGAATGAGGTGATAGCGGCCGCGGCTGGAAACTGGGGAAGCGGCAAGCAAGTGATGGAGCTTTTGATCCAGACCTGCGGTCAGCAAATCCGTATACCTCCTGAAGCTGTGGTGGCAGCAGCCGGGAGCTGGGATAATGGTGAGCAGGTATTGATGCTTCTCTTACAGGAATGTGCATCAATCATCCCAATTACTTGCGGAGCCCTGATAGCTGCAGCACGAAATTGGAAGAGTGGGGAGCAGGTGATGAAACTCCTTCTCAACCAAGTGCCAGGGGACCTTCCAACGACCCCTGAGGTCCTAGTGGCCGCGGCAGCAGGAAATTGGGGCAGTGGTGTGCGAGTAATAGAATTTCTTCTTGCCCAGCTGGGACCGAATATCACGATTACGCGGAGGGCAGTCACAGCAGCCGTCAGGAACAAGGGAAGTGGCAAAGAAGTGCTGAAGCTTTTCCTCGATCGACACGAGCAAGGGCTGCAAATCAGCGCTGATCTGGTCACAGACATTGAGCAGCACCTGTGAATATCGAGCAGCACCTGTGAATATCGTGCAGCACCTGTGAATATCGTGCAGCACCTGTGAATATCGTGCAGCACCTGTGAATATCGTGCAGCACCTGTGAATATCGTGCAAGCTCTTTGCATGGAGGCCCGCTGGTGCCTGCCAAGGGATGTTTGATAGAGAATTAGGAATATACATACTCCATCTTTTCTAAATGTGATTTCTGGCAGGAACTTACATCAATGTGAGCCAAACCATAGATCATAAGCTACAAGGTCGATTTGCCTCAATGCAGGTTTCTATAGTCGGGATTTCAGCATTATCCTATAAGAAAAAAGGCAAAATCCAAAGGAGGTGTATGTTTTAGAACGCGTATCGCTTCACTTCCAATTCAATCCCGATATATCGTCTGCATTACAACATCAACATCTCCATGAGCTAGTACTCCCATGCCTGCATCACCTTGCAACCTCAGACATACACCTCTCCATACAGATTTCCCCCCTGATTATCCCTACCAAACAACAGTACCCACCACACCACTCAACAACCTACAACTCAAACCCCTAGTACAACCATACAACCTCTACAAAGAACCACAACACCCACAGCAAACAATACCAAATCCATTCATTACATCTATATAACTTACTCCCCCAACCAACCCCTTCCCTCCTCCCTACCTCCCCACCAACCCCCCCTGACACGTCGCCCAATACACCAACCGCGCACTAATCCCATGATTGACCCCATACCGCGCCAAATACTCATTCAACCGTCGCTGGGTCTGATGGAACGTCGGCGCCTCATGTCGCAACACTTTCTGGTTCCGGGCATTCGTGACTTCGGCGACGTAGATCTCGCGCCCGTACGGCTCACAGCGGTAGAATTGGATCTGGAGGTGGTTTTTGGTCGCTTTGGTTTCGGCGCGCGAGGTCAGGGTGTATTCGATGGGTTCTTTGTCCATTGTGTTGCTGGTGATTCTTGGGAGATGTAGATATGTAGATGGGGTAGATGGTTGGTGGATATGATAGGGATGGGATGGTGGTGGGGATGTGGGTGTTACTATGTTGTGGAACGATGGGGTTATTTATATCTGGTTGTTTGGGGGGGGAAGGGGATGGGTTGGGGATATCATGTTGTGTGCAGTGGAACGGATGGTAGAGGATAGATCGGGGTGTTGCGTTGCTAGATTGGATTTTGCCTATAAGTATTATACTACGACGAGGACTTTTATCAAGATTACCGCTGCAAGCAATCTGAGTTCGCAAGCGAGAGACATTGTTAGGAACCTACACGAGCATGGATACTGCTTTGAAAGACATGTACCTAACCAAGCTAAAAGTCATAAAAAGTAAAAGTGACATAAAATTAAGCATGACTACTCGGATCATGGATAGACGCTATACTGTCGGATATTTGCCTCGATAATGTTGTTAATGTGAGACTTGCCATTGGAAAACAGTTGATGCTGGAAAGGTGGCACTGAGGCAGTTCATTGATCCAAAAAAAAACAGCTGGGCAGCGGTCCGCTTTTGTAGTCCTCAATATATAGTCCCGGCACGGATGAGAAAGTGTGTAGTACAGGAGAATATCCCATTAGATAGGCACAGCCTAGTCTCATGAGTGAAGTAGTACAAGATCGGTATATACCGTTCAGATGAGTGATACTGTAGGAAATAGCCTACCAGTGTGCATACGAGAAATAGATATGCTCAGTTCTTTCAGTGTCTTTCAAGCGGGATGTATCTTCCGCGATTCAACCGGTACTCTCCGACATTATGACCATCAATTAAAGGCATATACGACATGCAACCCCAAATGATGATAAAGGCGGCTATTATGATCATGATTGCTTCCACGATCTGGATTTATTCCAGATGATAGGAGGGGAAAGGCTGCCAAACTCGCATGTAGGATAAAGAGACAACAACGCAGCTAGATCCAAAAGAAGTAAGGCATTGTCCGCATCCTTTAGGTCAGTTTAACATTTCTCTCCCTCAACTAGTCAATTTTCATAACTTCAACTACTATCGCTCGATAAGCGAGTATCCAAATTTGTCCGGGAAGATGCCGATACTCGACTTTAGCTACCTCTACCCTTCATATTTGCTACCTATCATACATCTAATCCAGAGCCAGACCTAATATAGATCCCCCTTCATCACTCGAAAAACAGACTTTTATCACCCCACTCCACTATCCAACCCACCAACATCCCATCTCGCAAAACCTCAAGCAAATAACCCAAGATGCCCAGAAATCTCTTCCGGTTTAGCTTCTGCAGCGAAGCAGCCGCCAAGATCCGCGAACAGGGGTTATCAATCACTCTCGAAACCAGCACCGATGGCAAAGGCGTTTCTTGGTATACGGCATTTCTTAAGGATAATCAAGGCAAGAATATTCGGGGCTTTGTGTCGAACGATTTTTATTGTGTTGAGAGAAGAGTTGATGATTATTTGAGAGAGTATCCGTGTCAAGGGCCGTGAGTAGGGTTTGTTTATTAGACTGGAAGGGAAATGATTTCACAGGCATTGCTTGGAACATTATTTTCGATCTTATATTGAGTTTGCAGATAGAGTGTGAAAGGTATATGATGTGGGGGTCTCTTGACAGGTCACAGGTGTACGAGGAAAGGTTTGCTCTTTTATAATAGAAGATGTATGTAGAAGTGAGTAAGATAGTACAAATGCGCATACAGATACACGCCAGATACAGCTGGCAAGTCAACATCTACCTAGGAATCGTCTATTAGTGGACTCCAGCGAATTCCTATTGTTTTGGGAATATAACTCCGAAGGGGTCAACAAAAGCTCCGCTCATAAGCCCTACACGTAACTGACTAGCTGTCGGAGCTACTGATTAGGAATAAGGATATTATAAGCTAACACTTAGTACTATTAAACATGTTTAAAACTGATGAAGTTTCAAGAATCCTCTGACCCATTGCACTAGTTCCTAACCCCTTTCGGAAATGTAATCCCCGCTGACTAACCCACGCATAAATTATGCCCCTCCTCCATCCCCACCATCGTTAGTCCAGCGCGGCCTCAAAGCTCAAAGCCTACCGCATCTCCATCTCCATCTCCATTTCCATCCCCAGTCAACAAGGTAAGTCCAAATAACCCTCATACCCCACCACAATCCCTCCTCCTGTCATCACCAATTCAATAACCCCCTACCCCTTCCATATACTAATCCAATCCGATCCAGTCCCAAAATGCCTCCCCCGAATACCCCCGCATCCGACCCCCCTCCGGGCTCAGGTACGTTCCAGCAACGAAACCCTCAGCCACAGGGCTAGAAACATCTGCCCCAACCCCCCATTGACACACCACAGTCAACATCAACTCCCTCTCCGTCCCTCAACTCCGCGCTCTCCAAACCCGCCTCTCCTCCGAACTCGAACACTTGACCACCTCGCACGCCAAACTGCGCGCCGCCCAGCTGAAATTCAAAGACTGCGTGCGGTCCATCAACGAGGGTGTCATCGGGTCCGCGCAAAAGGGCACCGATGGGAAGGAGGATATTCTGGTGCCGTTGACCAGCTCCCTATATGTTCGTGGAAAGCTAGCGGATCGGGAGAAGGTGCTTGTTGATGTGGGAACGGGATTCTATGTGGAGAAGGTGAGGAGATCTGGTTCTCTTTTCTGAGCTTTTGATTGGTTGGATTTTGCTTGATGAAAGGATGGAATGCTAACGGGGTCTTTGGAACAGACTGCGCCCAAGGCTATCGAGTTCTACGAGGATAAGGTCAAGAGTCTGGAGACCAATCTCACCGAACTGGAGAAGATCGTCCAGGCTAAGAGTGGCCAACAGAGGCTCTTTGAAGATGGTGAGTACTGGGAATGATTACGGTTTCTATTCGACTGGTAACTAACTATCTGCTAGCTCTGAGACAGAAGTTGTTGGCGGAAGGCGCGTCTTCTGCTACCGCTTCCGCAGGTGCTGGTTGAGAAAATTTGAGACGCAAAGCGGGACACCGCGTGGTCATTCCAATGGAAACATAGTCAAATGCGATACGATGGAAGCTGATGCATACCCATTGTGACAAACTTTGAAATCGACTTGTCTAATCTAGGGCTGACCGCAGGTCACAAAGGGCAGGCCCTCGCCCAGATTCATCATTAAGACTACTCTGCATCTGGCTTTCAAAACACATGAACTGGCCTGAACAACCACAATCTGGAGACCGAATCAAGCTGGCAATTTGGAGCTGAAAGAACAAACTTGAAATAAAGAAAGAGCACCCCGTAGCCCCGGCCCTAGAACAGGGTCCCGAGGTCTGCGTTCAGGAGCCCACCGAGATCGGTTGTGCCGATCACCGGCGATGAGTCGCTGGACGAGCCCTGGCTTGTTCGCTTGCCTTCCAACGACGGCCCGGCCGGAGCCTTGTCTCCTGGCAGGGCCCGTCCAGGACCCATCAGCTCCGCCACTTGCTTCACCATGGTGGCGAACTCCCAAAACCCTCGGCACTTCTCCCCGTCACCCGAGCCCCCCCGGGGTGGGAAGAATGTGTTCGTGTTTGGGTGATACTTTGCCGACTGCCCAATGGGCAGGTTGGCATGCTCACCCAAGAGGTTATCCCAATGAGGGTCGAACAAGGACGCCCCCCAAGAGGTATTGGGCACCGGAGTAAATGGCCCCATGTAGGTGGCAAGCAGACCCGGGACTGCTGGCAAGTTGGCGCGGCAGTATTCATCGTAGCGGGCGATCTCTAGGATGTAGTTTGTGCCCTTGAGCCGATAACGAACGGCGGATTTCTCGATGAATCTGGCCACAGGCGCCGACGCAGAAAACGTCACCTTCCTTTCCGGTGTGGCCGAGATATCGTCCATGTGAGGAGTCCTTCGGAACTTGATCGTATGTGAAAATTCCCGCAAGGCAGCATCGATAGATGAAGTTTCGTAGAACTCTAGGGACTTTACTTCGAGCTGCCAGTCCGACCTATGCGAGTCGGGTTAGAGGCATACAGTAAGTGGCTTGGACCCGACTTACCTTTCAAAGTCAATAACGCCTACCTGCAGCGGTGGACGTTTGTCGTTGGATTGGCCACTCTGACGGGGCTTCAGCCATCTCCGTTGGGTGATCTCGTAGTCAGTCGCACCAGGACTTCTAGCGAACTCTGCCTCCAGTCGAAGCATGGAGTTGTTGACACCCAGAAACTCAAAATTCACCGAGAAAGCAGGCTCAGCGTCTTTCAGCGACGCAGAAGTGTTGTTACACGGCTGTAGCAGTGTGATAGCCTTGTAGCATTTAGCAAGGAGTTCGTCTTTATGAACTTTCAAGCTGTAGGGTTAAGAACATTAGCGGCGTCACTATAAGGGGACAAACTCGACCTACCCTGGAACCAGGCGTCCCTTTGTCTGCTCATGCAATAGCATCTCTCGAAACTCTTCGAAGCCGTAGACCAATTTATCGTCTGCTGGGACGCGGTACTCATCAAGCACGAACGAACCGAGATTCACACGCATACGCAGGTGTCCACGTATGGCAACCACACCCTTGAGACATCTCTCAACCGCGCTCAGAATGCGGGCATTATTCTTCGACTCAATTAAATTCGCGAGATTCTGCCACCCCTCCACCTCGGGGCCTTTGAGTGAAGTTCCACGGAGTAGCGCCTTTGCGAAGCGCGTATCCTTCTTAACGATGATCTTAGTCTTCATAGCACTTGGCGGCTCAACAATGTAGAGCTTCGTTTTCATACTCGAGTTTGCAACGATCTCGGTCCACTTCGTCCTGAGGAGACGGACGATTTGTTTCATAACTTCCAGGTCATGCCCTAAGGCACAAATGTGATCTGGCAGATCCTTTGGGACGAATACGTAGCAGTTGAACTTGGCCCGTATGTAGTCAAGAGCCTCGAGCTGCGGACCGAGAGAATCATGAAGTGAAGGTCCATCCTTGGGCCATAGAAAAAGCATCTGCCAATATCCCATGAGTGAGGAGCCTCAATATTTGCACAGGCAAGCCTTTTCTACTCACCTGCTCCGGGAATGCTGAGAAGGAATCGGGCGCCTTACGCAGTGCCTGGCACGCGGCATCTTGTCTCTCCATGAGTTCAATTCCAACCTCCTTATTAACCATGTGTGCCTTGATCTTGCTCCACTCTATCTTCTTCTTCTGTGAGTGATTGCACTTTGAGACTATGCTCTGAATGATATCCTTCGCCGCTGAAACCTGCGACGGCTCGCCCCATAGGTGAATGACCTATTCCTGTTAGCACGTTTCTTAGGATAGAATAGAGAGCCTACAGTATCGCTATACGAAGGTGGTTTCATAAAAGCCCCGGTTCGTCGACAAATCTCGTCAAAGACTTCGTGACGGCCTTGCAGCGCCGGGGGCTTTCTGATTGAAGCGTCAGACCTTGCGACGCCGGAGAATCTGCTGTTACTTTAGCGAATCCCCAATCAATAGCGGTTAAAAGGATACATACTCATTCTTGAACGTTCCAAAAGGTGCGGGTAGGTTTATAAGATCTGTATTGTGTCGCAGGGTGAGCTTTGGAAGGAAGAGGCACGGGTTTGGTCTCACCTGTAGGCTCAAGTCCGCTTCTCCATTTGGACTTTGCAGGAGAGTCCTTGAAAAGATTCGGCTGAGGAGAGGCCGTATGCGAGTAACCAATTTTACCACGAAAGGTTCCACGTGCTCTAAGCAGCCGTGTGGTGCCTCTGAATTGATTTGGAGTGCTGGGGGTGGTTCCTCTGTTTGCTGGGGCACTAGGGATCGCTTGTCTCAAAGGCTGGTTTTGAGAGAGGTTCTTGGGAGCTGACTCTCGAGATTGAGGAAGTCTGGTATCAGCTTTTGCTGGCGTGGATTTGGCACCCAGCTTCCCATATCCAGGTAGTTTCCATTCTAGAAACACGGGAGTTAGTAATTCCACAGGAACATTGTGCATCAGTAGACGAAGATGCCTAGGGAAAAGACTTACCTTGAGCTCCAGACGACTCAAAGCTATCAACCGTCAGTAGTTTGTACCAGGGAGGGCTTGAGGACTTACTCCATCCGCATGTTTGTGACCATCGTATCACTGTGAGATGATGATTTACTGATCCCTTGGAATGGTCTGATGAGAAAGATTGAACAGGGACTAGGGCTTATGAAAAAGTGGGAGTCGTGTGGGAGGAAAGAAAGTTGAGCAGGAAGGTAGATGAGGTGGGAGTTAAGAAGAGAAGAAAAGAAGAGGAGCGGGATGGGGATTGGGTGAATGAGGGGAAGGTTCAAAGGAGAAGAGCGTTGGACTGCGGCCATTGCCTGAGAAACCACTCACCACCTCCCCAGTGAAAGACTCCAGGTATCGGACTGTCCCGATTGAATACCAGATTCAGACGAATCAAAGCCATCGGTATTGGTGTTTAATGACAGCCTCCCCGGATCGATGCATTCATGACTGGGACCTGTCAAATAGGAGCAGGCCATTTGTGGAGATGTAGATGATTAACTCTTCCGTTGTCACTCATTACAACTTGAAGTGAAGGCATAAGACCGGAAATATACCTGAATGGTTACTGGCTTATCCTGTGTCAGTGAGTGGATAGCTGGGGTAAGCAAGTGCAAGAGTTTCGAAGGATTGATAGGAAGCTATGGATTGGTTTCTAGCGTTGAATGAGCAGCATATCTACAATCAATCTAAGCCTGAATCAACTGCAGCCAGGGGCTATATCCCGCACAAGAGACTTTGAGCCGTTTCACCACGAAACTCAATCCGTTGGTCAGTCCGAGTGCTGTAGAGTGCATAGAGTGTGTATAGTACCACCAGCGAAAGTTCCCCGTTTGCCATACAACAGCTACCGGACGAGGCCCGATGTGATTGGCCAGGGAAATTACCCGTTACCTAAAGCGGACAACGCGCGAGCGGGCGCCCCTTTCCCTTTTGTGTCTTTTCCGTCGCCGGTCCAACATCTATTATTGTTCCAATCAATCAAGGCGACCAAGTCAGCAAGCACTGCCGTTATTGCCAACTTCCCCTCCCACTGGGCTTTGCAGGACAATGGCTTCGGACTCTGCCGACGAGACAGACAGGTCGCAATCCCGCAAGGCTAATGTTCGCAAGCGTGCTCAGCTATGGATGACCAAGGGAGGCCTGGTCCGAGACGACTCCGACGACGAACTCGGCGAGGAAGACCACCCGTGGGAATGGATCTATGACCGAGACGATGAGAATTACGAGCAGACAGCTGCAGATGGCCTCCAAGATACTCCGAAATCGAGCCGGAGACGCACTCCCCGCTCCACTACCAAACGCCGCCGAACGATCATCGGAGCTCGCATGGGCTCGTTCGAATGCGCCTTGGGCCAGGTTGTGCTTTTAAAATCCCCCGAGTCGGGAAAGGATTGGATTGGGATTATCACAGAGTTTGTGGAAGAGGACGATGAGGATGCTGAAGGCGAAGTCCTCAAGTCGGCCAACATCATGTGGTTTGCTTCTCCAGATGAGTTCATGTCGACAAGGAACAAACGACGAGCCGACGCCTTACCCAACGAGCAATACCTGACGGCGGATTTCAACGTCAATCCCCTTACGTCGATCAATGGCAAAGCTACCGTTATGTCGAAGGATGCATTCTACGCCAAGTATCCCGGTGGTAATCCCCCGAAGGGAAAGGAAGCTCTAGCGGAATTCAACAAGTGCATTGTGTGTCGGAGGGGTGTGAACCAGGTGCAGGGAAGGTACACAGACGAGTTCATATGGGAGGATGTCTACCATGAGGATCGGATCTTTGATCTCATCACCATGGTCAAGGATGGGTTGAAAGCAGCCACGAAGCGCAAGCAAGCCGACAACGACGTGCGTCATGTTCTCGACCATTTGAACACACGGTGCTAACCTCTAATAGTACGTTGACAGTAAAGACGAAGATGACTTTGTCCCTGCCACTCCGAGGAAGAGGCAGAAAGTGGCTACAAATGCTACCCCTCAATCTCGGCGTCAAAAGAGCTTTACCACCCCGTCGCATAAGAGGTAAGCAAGACAAGCCTGGCTAACACACCTGGGCTAACGCATCCCAACAGAATTGTTGTCAAAAAACCACTCGAATTCACACCCCTTGGCACTCGTGTTCTCTCACCCTCTCATTTCGCCTCTCCATACCGCCAGGCGCGCACCCTGCTGCACGTTTCTACTGTGCCTACGTCGCTTCCATGCCGGAAAACAGAGTTCGAGACAGTCTACAGTCATCTCAGCGCCGCTATCATGGAAGGAACGGGGGCCTGCATCTATATATCAGGAACGCCGGGCACAGGAAAGACGGCCACGGTCCGCGAGGTCGTTGCACAACTGAACTCGGCTGTGCTGGCGGAGGAGATGGATGACTTCATATTCGTCGAGATCAACGGCATGAAGGTCACTGATCCCCACCAATCTTACTCGCTGCTCTGGGAAGCGCTTAAGGGCGACCGAGTATCGTCCGCACATGCTCTCGACCTTCTTGAACGAGAGTTCTCACATCCGTCCCCAAGACGAGTGTCCTGCGTCGTCCTGATGGACGAACTCGATCAGCTAGTCACGAAAAACCAGTCGGTGATGTACAACTTCTTCAACTGGCCCGCCCTTCGTCACTCGCGTCTTATTGTCTTGGCTGTCGCGAACACCATGGATCTCCCAGAACGTACGCTCAGCAACAAAATCTCCAGTCGTCTGGGTCTCACCCGTATCACTTTCCCCGGATACAAGCACACCGATCTGATGGAAATCATCAGCACCCGCTTAGCCAACGTACCAGGCAACATCGTCGACGCGGATGCCATTCAATTCGCCAGTCGCAAGGTGGCAGCCGTGAGTGGTGACGCCCGACGTGCCTTGGACATTTGCCGGCGCGCTGTCGAAATCGCAGAACAAGACAGCGAGGCAGCAGCCAAAGCCCTGGACGCAGATAAACTTGACGCAGACGACACCGACTCCCTACCCCCCACTCCGACCAAGACGCCTGCCCGCAGGGAAAGGGCTCTCAAACAATCATCCCAACTATCCCCTCAAAAGAAACCGCCGGCGAAACCACAAAGCGTTGGCCGAGTCACCATCGCGACCATCAAACAGGCCATTCACGAAGCCACATCAACGCCACTACAACAATCCCTCCGATGCCTACCCCTCGCCGCCAAGCTCTTCCTCGCCGCCATGCTAGCCCGCGTCCGCCGCACCGGTATCTCCGAATCAACATTCGGCGACGTCATCGACGAAGCCAAGCGAATCGCAGACGCAGCCGTCGCCGTCGCCGGAGCAGCAGGATCCGGAATTAAAGACTTCCTCCTAGCCGGAGGCAACAGCGCTCGCGTGCGAGCCCTAGGCTACGCCGCCATGGAACTGACAAGCTCGGGCGTCCTCGCCCTGGAATACGGAGCCGGCGCCAAGGGACCACTAGGGAGCGCCGCGATTCCGCACCGCGGCGAACGTAGCGGTAAAGTACGACTACGTATCGCTACAGAAGATGTCAAGATCGCTTTTCGCGAAGACGAGGAAGCAAAGGGTCTAGGACTGGGCATGGATCAATGATCATCTGGCTACCATATACACACACCTAGATAGAATCTGTACAACCACAATGATACCCAATTAAATGCATTAATGGAATAGACACAGCCCCAGACCAATTCTACGATCATACTACAGTTAGATGTGCACCCACCAATCAATAATTACGAATACGAAACACATTCAAGCCCTAGTAAGAATTATATGATACATTCATTCACTCCTTTTATGAGCCCAAACAAACCCCCAATAACTGAACTAAACTAATATATCATAATGTATCACTAACGCTGAACTCCAAAGTGCAAAGCATAGCATAGCATAACATCAATGCTAACAGGATAAGATATATCTGAGCTCCTTCCCCCAAGGTCTCGGATTCAAACAAAGAAGGGAAAAAAAAAAGAGAATTGATGTCGGGGTATTCAATGTTACTTCGAAGTGAGTATGATGGATAATCAACAGTATCAGTAGCAGTAAGTAGCGTAGCAAACAAAACTACCTAATACCTCTGTCTCCCCAAAGTGGGGGCCCACGTAACAGGGTGAGATTCCTCCGTTGCTTCATCATCGGGTTTCCAGATCTTGATAGTCTTGTCTGCTTCACCGGTGATGAGACGTAGGCCGGTGCGATCGAAGGTCGAAGCCATGATACCTGCTTCGGCTTCGAGGGAACCGGGCTGGGCGGTGGATTCGATGCTTTGGAATTGGTAGCCGGTTTTCCAGTCCCAGAAACACATGGAGCCGTTGTCGCCGCCGGAGAAGAGGACGTTGTCTTCGTTGGCGGAGAGGGTGTTGATGATGGCGTTTTGGCCGTCGAAGTTCTGCATGAAGTCGCCTTCAGGGCACTTCCATTGCTTGATTGAGCCGGTGCTGGCGGAGGCGAAGGTGAATTCGCGCGGGTGCGTGGTGAGGGCTCGCACGCCCTTCTTGTGGTGGGTGAGCACGCCCATGGATTTTCCGGCCGCGAGATCCCAGAGGCGGACGGTGGCGTCTAGGGAACCGGAGATGATCTGGGGATCGGCTTCCTGGCACTTCACGTCGGCGACGGTGCCCTTGTGGCCGCTGAGGACGTGGACATTGCTGCGGGTTCGCATGTCCCAGACACGGGCGACGCCGTCGCGACCACCTGTGACGAGGAGGTCGAGACGAGGGTGCAGGTCGAGGGTGTACACGCCGCTGAGGTGACCGTGGTAGTGACGGATGACCTTGTTGGTTTCCAGATCCCAGCACTTGACCATTTTGTCCTCGCCGCAGGAGAAGAGGTAGGGATGTCGGGGGGACACGGCCAGGCCGCGGACGGTCGAAATGTGACCCGTAAGAGTGAGACGGAGGGCTCCGGTGGCCAGATTCCAGATCTTGATGGTTCGGTCGCCCGCACCACTGGCAAACCACTCGTTGTTCGGCTCGACGGCCAAACTGCGCACCCAACCCAGGTGGCCGGAGATGACTCGCATGAGCTTCCATGGTGGGTGCCAGTCGGGTCTCTGCTGTTTTGTCGCCGAGGGACGCTGGATCAGACTCTTGGGTGCGTTCTCACCGCCGACACCAGCGGCTCCCAGGCCGGGGGCTTTCTTGACCAGGGCCATAGACGCGCCGCTGCCGTCCGCGGCGCCGGCTTGGGTCTGCGGTTGAATCTTTGGGCGTTTGGCGCGTCCAGCGGCCGCGGCCTTGGCTTGCTTTTCGGCGAGCGCTGGGGGGAGTTCTGTCACGTCGGCGTACTCTGCTTTGCGCCGGTAGGAGAGACCGATGGACCCATTGCCGGCGGAGGGGGTGACCATGAGGTAGTCGGAGCCGAAGAGTTCGGCCGTCCGCTTTGCGGACAGGCGCACCGCTTCATCGGGGGTTGTAGAGGGGATGACGTCCATGGTGGTGGGCGGGGATATTGCGACACTCGGTAGGTGATTGAGCTGGTTGCGGAGACGTGTCGATGGCGCGTCCTGAGCCCCAGGCGCAGGGGTGCGATGATTCTTTAGTCAAAAGCGACGGTCTATTTCATGCGGAGTTATCCCATGTACCAGAATGACGGAGAATAGGCGACGTGGGGTGGAATTGGAGAGAGCTGGAAGGGAAGGCGAAGATGGAAGCAGCGCCAGGAAGCTCGATGTGATTTTCGGCGGGCGGCGAGCTTGTTACTGCCTGAGGCAGTAGGGCCATCATCAGGTGTCGAGACCAGGTCTCGACCCCTCCGCCAATCAATCCCGATTAGATGCGCAATCGATAACATGCAATTCTGCCACGCTCACCATGGATCGCACGCAAGAAGCCAAGTTTCCTCTTCATGAGGCTGCCCGGGAAGGGAAAAGTGCGTATACCCTTCATCATACATTTTACCGGTCATTAACAAACAGCTTCCAGCTCCAACCGCCGAATCACTCCTCAGCGTGCGTACTCCGGAGCCCCGCATCGTCATCAGAGCTCTGTACAACCTCAGTTGCTCGATCCTGGTCGCTAATGAAAACTAGGCAAACCCCAAGCTCGCCAACGTCAAAGACGATGATGAGCGACTCCCCATCCACTGGGCGGTAGCCTACAACCGTCTCCCGATTGTGGAGCTATTGATATCCAACAAGTACTTTGATCCGGATGTCGAGGTTCGTCATCTTCCTTGCCATGCACGCACCTTCTCCTCGGCCACTCTGGAAACCCTCGTTAACTCTATACAGGACGGCTCCGGCTGGACACCACTCATGATCGCAGCGAGCTTGAAAAACGCCGAAGGCGATCCCATCATCGACCTCCTTCTCAAGAAAGGCGCAGACGTAAGCACGAAGAGTGTCTCGGGTCAGGTATACAACCCCCCCTACCATAAGCTACGATCCATCTCATCTAATATTTATATGGCAGAACGCCCTCCACTTCGCAACCTCCAAAGCTAATCTCTCCACCGTGCGCACCCTCATCGCCAACAAATGCAGCGCCAGAGTAAAGGACAAGCGCGGACAACTTCCTCTGCACCGTGCTGCGGCGATTGGCTCTACGCCCATCATCAAGGTCCTCCTGGAAGATGGGAAAAGTCCGGTGAATGCGACAGATATGGATGGGTTGACGGCTTTACATCATGCGGTGTCGGAGGGGCACGGTGATGCAGCGATTACATTGCTTAAGGCGGGTGCGGAGGCTGATAAGCGGGATGTGAATGGAATTTTGGCTATTGATATGGCGCCGGATAATAAGGTTGGTTTTTTCGTTGTCTTCTTTTGGTGTCTGGGGTTTGGAGTTGAGTGCTGACAAGGGTAGGTGCGGAGCTATATTCTGCAGACGGCTGAGAGGGAGGGGATCGATTTATAAGTTGCAACAGGTGCAGTGGGACTTGTGTTGGATAGCAAGGATGGAGAATGTGAAGGATACCCAGTCACCCAGGTTAATGCATGATTATTTCAGTATCTGTTCTAGTAATTAACGGATTCATGACATTACTCTTGAAAGGCATGTCTCACATCACATCGTCTAAATCGGACTCTAGCCCGACCAAGTCTATTTACAATCCATAACAAGTCTACCGTGCAGAGGCAACTCATTTCATGGTGCTATCGACCAGTTCCCGGTATATCTTCTTGAGGTCGGCAATATCGGCCTGTAGCTCTTCTACCTGCTCGCTCTTCTCGCCCAGCATCTCGAGCGTCGTCTGATACCTCTGGTCGAGCTCCTCGAGCCGCTTCTCAAGGTCCTGTACACGAGCATCGGAGGATCTTTTCTCTTCTGTTTCTCGCATTAAGTCGACGACTTGCTGACGGGCTTCGTCGCGCTGTGTGGTGATCCGTGCGAGTTCGTCCTTCGATGCTGCGCGTTCGCTCTCGAGGCGGCGGACTGTAGCGCTCATGCGCTCAACCAGCTGCACGGACGGCCCCGCCCCGACAGTGGACTCGGAGATGATGTCGTTGATCCCGCGAGAATGCTGCGTCGCCGCTCCGCCATAAGCAGACGGGGTGCCGGAGCGGCTGAAGTACTCGTCCGGCTCGAAGGTAATCGAGGGAGTCTCCGGAACTGCTGGGTGGGAGGAACCATTGGTTGGTGGTGGGGAGAGCATTAAGTGCGTCGACGTAGGGAACGAGTTCTGGCGAGGGGGAGTGCCAATGTCTGGCGAGGTTGGTAGCGTCGAGGAACGACGGCTCGTGGGCCGGTAGTCGGATAGAGACACTGGCTCCAAAGCACTCGGTCTCCGGCTGTATGCGACGGGGGACTGGGTACGAGGCTGCTGCAGGAAGGACGCGGGAGTAATAGACTGCTCGCGCCATTTCGCTCGCTCGTCCTCGAGTTTCTGCGCCCATGTCGTATCGAGCACTTTCTTCTGTTCGACAAGATCCTTCTGGGCCATAACCAGGTCATCCGCCGCTTTCTTAAGCTTCTGTTCGGTCTTCTGCAATTCCTGCATGCGTTCTTCCAGTTTGTCCTCGAGGTCCTGCTCGGCTTCCTTGGCACTCTCAAGGTCTTCTTCGAGTCTTTTTGCTTTGAGGTTCTGTGTCGTAGTCAGCCCACCGAGTTCCATTTAGTAACGTCAGGACGTCTTACCACTTCACGGATCTTCCGGCGCATCTCGCCCTCTCGCCGTGCGACCTCATCGCGCTCCTTCTCAACGTTCGCCAACCGCGCAAGAAGTGAGCCCTCCAAGGTTTGCCAATTCTCACTGGCGACAGCATACTGTGTCTGGAGGGTCTCGATCTGACGTAGAAGTTTTGCCTGCGCATCGCCGGTAACCCCGGAAGACGCCTCTTCTGCCCTGGACCGCAGAGACTCCATCTTGCTTTCCAGCGCCGACTGTTCCCCTTTGAGCTCGATCTCCAACATACGGGCCCTCTCCTTTTCTTGCTCGACTGCCCCAGTCAGATCGCTGATCTCTCGCCTCAGCTTCTCTTCACTAATCTCACGCTCGATCTTGGCGCTAGTCAGATCCTCCTCCAACTGGGTAGCGCGGCGCTTCTCCTGCTCTAATGCCTCAGACTGAGCTTTGGCTTCCGCAGCCTCGGCCCTAGAGACAGCTCTGGCGAGTTGCCCTTTCAATTCTTCCACGGTCTGACTGAGAGCGTTACGCTCCGCCGTCACGGCTTCCAGGTCCCGGGACACCTTCGTCTGCGCGGACAGCGTTTCAGTCGCTCTCTTCTCGGCCGCCTCTGCTCGTTTAGCTCGGACGTCCGCATTGGCCAGATCCCGTTCCAACTCGTCGGTCTTCTTCTTGGTTTCCGTCTGAATCTTTGCATTCTCCATCAGCTGCTGCCTAAGCTTCTTGATCGCCGTTCTGTGGTCCATTTCCGACTTAGACAGCCTCTGTCCTTCCTCAAGCAACAGGGCGATCTTCTCGTCCTTTTCTCGAAGTTGCTTCTCAGTACTCCCTGGGTCCGCTGTGGTTGCAGCCTTTTTGGCAGACTCCGCAGCTTCCTTGGCTAGATATTTCAGTTTGGACTGTAGAGCATCGATCCGTTCGATATATCCGTACATCTCCTCCTGCCATTGAGATTCCGCAGCCTTGTGTTCTGCCTGCAACTGCGCGATTGTATTTTCTTGGTCGCTGAAAGTTCTGGGTGTGTCCGTAGGAGTATCCGTAACCGGTAGGGAATTTGTCGGCGCAGGCGGTTGCTCCGGTTCGGTGACCGTTGGTTCAGTATCCGGTGTAGTGTCCTTGATGATATCGGAAGTTTCTGTAGTATTGGTCTCCGGCACAGCAGCACCATCGATCTGCGATCCAGCGTCGTCCTTGGAATCTGGAGATGAGACGCCTGAGTCATGGCTCATCCGAGGGGCTTCAGTAGCAGAGTATCCATCGACTTGGCTAGAGTTCCGAGAATTCCTCCCGGTGATCCCATTATGGGAATCCAGACTGGCATCGATATCCATACTCGAGCGTCCGCCAATGCTGGGCACCGGACTGCTGACGGGGGAGGAGGCATGGCTGGGAGGCTGGGACGTATTTCCAGCGGTGTTCGATTTGACCATGGCACGAGCCAGGCGTTCCTGGAGACGATCATTCTTCCGCGCATTCGACGAACTGCGTGATATATCTGATACCTGTTAGCGATGCGACACGGTGCAACCACCCAATTGATCAAGGATATTCATACTGCCAGTCTGTTCAGATTGCCTGGGCTTCGTAGCCACACCCTTGGCTTGCTGCTGTTTCTGACCCTCCTCCTCCGCTAAAATCAAGTCGAGTCTGGACTCGACACCGGCAACAGCCTGCTGCAGGAAAGAGCCCACTTTCCATTTGGACTTGGGGCCTTGGGGGTTCTGGGACATGATGCCAGTCGGAAGTCTCGTTTCTCCTGTCAATAGACCGCCTAGCAGCGAGAATGCGCCAAGTCAATCATGGAAAGCGAGGAGTCGTGAAGATGATGCGATCTGATGGCCGCTTGCCGTCAGAAGGAAGACGAAGCCGAAGTCGACGAGCCGGGGGGGGGGACCGCAATCGAGAGACCGAGGGCACGAAAAACAAAGGAATCAACAGGCATCAAAAGTCCGTGAGACTCCAAAGGAGAGCTGTCCGACCGTGGACGGGGCCGTCAGTCACCACGTTGCGGCTTGCGTGGACACAGGAAGCGATGAAGCGCAACCGGCTTGGCGGCCGTGGAGTAGTAACTAGTCGCAGTAGTAGATACATGACGGGGAACGTGATTCGTATCATCATCGGCTCCTCCCTGGCCTTCCCCAACCTCCTCCTCCTCCCTCACCACCTCCCCCACCCCCCGTTCCCCTCTCCCCTCAATTCCACTGCTCTCGTTCCGGTTGGCTCCTGATCTCCCCCCCTCACCGGAGTCACAATGTCGTCGCTTCCCCTGGAGCCACCCACCTATCTCAGTTCGCTACAGAACAACATCCGAGCTCGCCCCATCCCGTGGGAGGGAGCCGTCCGTGCTGGGAACATCACCGATGACCACCTGAAGAAGATCAAAGCGGTCGACAAGGTTCGCAAGGAGCAACGACGCCAGACTGTCGAGGGAGATCTGGCCGGGTATGTGAGTCTGCTCGCGGGCGGCGCCGAAGGCAAGAGCGTGCTGGACTCCGCCTCCAGGAGAACCGATATTGTGCAATACATCCTCGTGCTGGCCGCGGATTTGATCAACGGTACGGGCATCCTCTTCCCGGCCGAGTTGTCCGAGTGAAATGGTATGCTGATCAGCATTACACTGCAGATGTCCCCTCCCTCTCGACCGCCCTGGTCGCGCATCCCGATCCCTACAAGCCATTCCTCCCCCTCTTGCGTCACTCCTCCAACGCCGAAGACCCGATCCCTCTGCTCACCTCCACCTTCCTGACCAACCTTGTCTCCGTCAGCCTGGGCTCGTCGTCCAAGCCAGCTGCGCGGGATGATGAAGCGCTTCCGCAGCTGTACACCTATCTCTCTACCCTGACCCAGAACCAAGACAGCGGGCTGCAGGACATCGGGGTCCAGGAGTTGTCGGCATTGCTACGGACCTCGAGATCCCGTGAGATTTTCTGGAAGCAGAGAAATGAGACGGTTGACCCCCTCATCGAGATCCTGCGTGCTGCTGCAGGCGCCAAAGATAGCAGCTCAAGCACCCTGGCTGGCAGTTCGCGCGCGATCGAGCCTGGTCTTGCCGGTGGAGTTGGACTCCAGCTGTTGTACCGGGTTCTGCTTGTTCTCTGGCAGCTCAGCTTCGAAGGACAGTTGATCGGTGATGATCTGCAAGCGTATGTGACGTGATGCGGGAGTGCGTAATGGAGCGGCACTGACGATGATGGATGTAGGGACCAAGAGTTTATCCAGCTGTACACACACCTCCTCCGCCTTTCGCCGAAGGAGAAGACGACGCGACTCCTCCTTGCTACCCTCAACAACCTCCTTTCCACCAACCGCACCAGCTTGCTCCCAGTCGCCGTCTTTGTCCGCCTCCCTGCCCTCCTCACGAACCTCTCCGGTCGCCACCTGACCGATCCTGACCTCTTGGAGGACCTCCAATCTCTGTCGGACATGCTGGATGAGTACACCAAGACGCAGACGACGTTCGATCAGTATGCCGCTGAGCTGCAGTCCGGCCACCTTCGGTGGTCTCCGCCCCACCGCAACCCTACCTTTTGGAAAGACAATGCTCGCCGGATCCTTGATGACAACAACGGCGCGCTGCCGAAGAAACTGGCCGAAATCATTTCCAAGACCTGGGATAACGATAAGCAGGTGCTGGCGATTGCCTGTAACGATGTGGGCCACCTGGTGAAGGTGCTGCCGGAACGGCGGGGACAGCTGGAAAAGCTGGGTCTGAAGGCCCGCGTCATGGAGCTGATGGCAGACAAGGACGAGTCAGTGCGGTGGGAGAGCTTGCGGGCCGTTGGGGAGTGGCTGCGCTATACGTTCGACGACTAGTGGTCCGGGGAGGTGTGGTGTGATGTGAAATACTACCCAGTTCTTGTTTGATCTGCGTCTTTCTGGCCGGGCACAGACACCTTGGCTGTATTGTATGGGTTCTCAGCGTAAACCAGTTGAATATCATCGTCTTGTGCACATAGCAAACAATCAGGCCGATAAGGTTTCGGTGAAACACCACCATCCCATCGCCGAAGCAGCCCCTCGTAGGGACGATACATTTGAACTGATAGATTGAGGACGATGGCAGGCCAGTATGGGGCAGAATGAAAGCAATGCACCATTGATCTGAGACATCAGCCCACGATCTACAGGGACCCCAACGGCGCTTCTGATGGCGACGATTGGTAGAGCCGGTGGATCGATGATCGGCCGCTATCCTGAACGCCGCGGGTCCGGCCGGATTCGCCTTATCTCATCGGATTCCCTTGGGTTTAGCACTGACCGTTCGACCTCAACGGGCTTGTGGCGCATCTGCGACACACCTGCTCTTTCCTGCACCGAACGTTGAGCTCCATCGGCCCGATACCGCTATACGCTTGTGCTTATCTTTGCAGCCGCGGAGAGACGATCAGACGAACGCCCCTGAACCGGGGGAGCGAAAAACTGCGGAGAAAAGAAAAGAACCGAGACGAAAAAGCAGCCACCGCATTCCGATCCCTCATCACCACCAACTCCATGTCTCGGTCCTTCACCGGGTGCAAGCGATGTAAAGCCCGGCGGCAGAAATGCGACGAGCAGCGGCCTAGTTGTGGCCGATGCATGACGGCGGGCACGCAATGTCGCTATGCCATGCAGCTACAGTGGGGAGGCCGGGCCTTTTCGCGCTCAAGGTTCGGGGCCTGCGTGGGAACTGGAGGCATGCAAAAACTGGGTCAGTATTGATCGCCTATCCCGGTTATCGATGTACACTGTCTGACTCTCCTTTTGCTCAGAATACTCTCCCGGAGAATTCATCTACACCACCAAATCTTCTGCTGCGGTGCTCCCGGGCACAACGACTCCGACCGAGTCCACCACCTTGGTCCGCCATATCGATCCCTTTGCCTCCCTGAGTACCGACCAGAAGTCGCTTCTTCACCACTTCCTCAACGATGCCTCTCAGATCACAGCGTGCCACTCAGGCATGCAGCGCGATATCTGCAAGATGCTGGTCCCCATGGCCCTCCAGACCCCATCCCTCCTCTACGCCACCATGGCCCTCTCCGCAATCCACCTACAAGCGCTACACAACCAATCCGAGAACGTCAAGTCCGCGCCCGAAATCGCACGCTTCATGGCTCTCAGCTTGGAACATTTCAGGAAGGAACTACAGAATCCCGCAAGCAAGGGTTCCGATGCGCTGCTTGCGACCGCGCGAACCCTCTGTCTAGCTGAGATTCATTCCGGCGCTATTCACCCCAATTCCTGGCGCGCTCATATCGAGGGAGCCAGGGCCCTCATGGAAGCCTCGGCTAATAGCGGGGCACTGTCGCCCAAGTCGCCGGAGGGGTTCCGAAGGTACCTCGACCGGTGGTATCGGTCAATCGTGTCGCTCACAGCATTGACGGGAAATGGGCCGCCAATTGGTGAGCCAACAGATCAGATGTGCGCGAGTGGGCCAGGCCAGTCGGCGTCGCCAGACTATTTGGATGATTACTGGGGCTTCACGGTCAACCTGGCGACGATTTTCCGGAAGATTGGGGCTGTGGCGTGGCGAGAGCATCAGAGTCGGAACCAGAGCCAGGAAGAAGATGCAAGCGCTGTCCATGGGAATGAGATTAGCATGCACAACGAAGCGGCAGCGCTAGAGTCCTCCCTTCGCCATCTCATGGAACAAGAGGTTGCCTCGCACCCCGCATTCTACCCAGGGGTAGTGGAGGGTCTTTCGGCGGAGTGCATTCAACAACTGATGCTCTGCAACGAGGCGTTCCAGCTCAGTGCACTGATCCAGATCCATCGTCGACTGCGCAAGACGCACGTGTCTGCGCCGGTGGTTCAGGACTCGGTCAAGAGGATCCTCGAATGCACGGCCCAGATCGGGCCATCGCCAGGACTAAGCCCGTGGGTCATGCTCACGACGCCGTTATTTATCGCCGGGTGCGAGGCACGGGGCGAGGACCGCGAACGGGTGCGACAATTACTATCCTCCCTACACGACACCATCCGGGTACCGAATGTGCTGCAGTCGTTGAAATTCCTCGAACAATATTGGGGGAATCAGCTGGATGAGAACGAGGGATGGAGTCAATATCTAGGTATGAGGCCAATTTACTGCTAATCCAGCAGCCATCGCTGACCACGTGTATAGATCGGATGCGATTCGATTTTATCCCGTATTAGGGATTCTTCTTAGACGAGGATATGTTTTATGTGCGTTATGAGCAGAGCGTTGGTCGGTGTGCATTTATACTTCTTCTTTTTCTTATTCGTGTGATTACACCGGCAGAGTAGGCGTTATACTTATCGGAGCATGAAATATTTCCATATACACGGCGTTGGAGGTTATCTAGCGATAAATCGATCCTACTTTCCTATCCTATCTTATATAAATACCTCGCAATCTACAAAGTACATACTGCAATATACCTTTTCCCAAATAGTCTATCGCCGTGAAACATTAATATAACAGCAACCTACTAAGCTTTAACCTAACCCAAATGCATCCACCCATCCCTAAACTACGATACCACAGAGTACAGAGTAGTAGAAACAGACTAGGTAACCCTCCCGCCTCGGAAATGAAGATGAAACAACCGAATAATCCGTCAAATGTACCCAACCCAACCACCGAATCGGAATCTATATAAAGCACAGCTTACTGACTGACTTACCTACCCAAATGCAACTAAAGAGTCTAATCCTGCCACTACACTTACCTAATACACATAGTACATGCATGTGTAACTAGTTATGTTTGACACACACTGACTAACCTATTCCATACTAGTCATGCATCAAAGTGCGTTAGGTTAGCAACCTACCTATGTAGTTCGTAGTTAGTAGTTAGTTAGTAGTTGGTGTGGTTAGAAAAAGGGTCCGGTCCGGTTGTGTCAGCAAGGGGCCAGGACAGGGCCAGGGCCAGGGCAAAGGGGGCCGCCGGGACGGGGGCCAACAGCACTGCGCTATCCCTGTACTCCGTCCGTGGCCCTGCGTTTTCTTCTTAGACATACTACCTACTACCTACGTGTATTCTCTCGTGGGGATAAAATTAGTAGCGTTGCTTTATCAATCTCTCTGTTTTTTTCTTCCTTTGTAGACAAGATACAGTAAATAGAAGGTATAACGAGAAGCATAGAAAGAAAACAAGGTTGCGAATAAAGATAGATGTAAAAGAGAAAGAAGAAGTCAGTTGTCAAGGAAAGTTAAGTTGCCCCTTGCCCTATCTACCCACCTATTCAACCCCGGGTCTTAGGGCATTATACTTTCTCATTCTTGGGGGATGGACACGGATTACATCATGGGTGGAAAGGGGATTTTGATTTACTTTTGAGGGTGGGAAGAATTGGGGATTATCTTAGGGGTTAAGAAATAAATTAGAGTAATGGAAGTGATAAGGAAACGGGGATAGTTCAATTATGGTAGTAATAAGCTATTCGAGTAATTGGTGAATATAAATTGCATGTCTGCTATAGATGAGGTCTCGGATCGGGGTACCTACGGAGTAGATAGAGGTGGGATACGATGGATATGGAACGTAATGACATACGTGTGTGTGGTCTGTTCATTATTCTTCTTTCCATTGCTCTAAGTCTGTACGGAGTACTCCGTACTAGGTTAATTAATTAATGTGATGGTCTATGTACCGCACTCGAAGCGGTAACTCTAGTCAGGATGATCCATCGTCATCTCCTCCCAGAGAGACACCGAGTAACCGTGGTCAGACCATAGGCATATTATTAGTCGTCCAGAATAGTAGACCAATGCCACTATTGCAGCCAACCGTCGACGATCGAGGTCTAGATTAAGCAGCTGTCGGCTGCCGTTTCACGTCGAGATAAATTTAGCATCGCGTGCCAGATTGCTTTTTGGAGGGGTCAGTCTCTAACGCGATACTAGCGACATGATGCAGTAGTCAGGAGGAGGACTGTTGGTTCGGGACGGAGAACCGCAGGAGGAGGCAGGAGACGGGCGCTTAGCTAGTCTTGCAGTTGCAGGCGGGAGTCTCAGTCTCTACCACGGTTCCGCCAGTCATCACCTGCGGTGATCCGCAAGTGGAGTTCCAGCACTGTAGCTGTGTGGATGGGATGAGGTGTGTCGGTCTGCAGTCTGCACTGACTCCTGAATGCAGTTGCAAAGTTGGGTCACAACTGCTCGGTTGCATACGCACCGGCCACTAGTCTGGTGTCGGCATCGGCCTCATGCTGGATGGAATCACTTGGGAGAGGTTGGGGCCATAATACTGCTGACTGTACTGTGCACTAGTAGGTACGGAAAGCGCTGCTATTTCAGGAGACAGCCTTGTGAGACAACGTTGGTTTGGGGGTTGGTTCTGGAACCGGATCCTGCAGGGCACACAGCTTCTTTGTCCGTCTGGATTGTGGTGGTGGTGCATCCATGGATGGACTATGGAAGTCAGTATCATCGGGCTGGGTTGAACCGACGGTTCTACCCCTGACTAGTTGACTACTGCCACTACTACCGCCGATGTCGAGTGGGGCAGCTCCCGATCGGCCGCCCGGCCTGGACGCGAAGCTGGCTCGGGAGGGCGGATACGATGGATGAAGGTCATTGCAGGTGCGGATGAGGAGGGGATAGAAGTGAGAGAGCGAGGCAGATAGTAACTAGCAGGAGGAACCAGGCTGAGATCAGCTGGCAGTGATGGAATTGGCCCTCCGGGCTGAGCAGACACAAAGTCTTGTCGAGGTCGATGCTGGCGAGAGATCCCCCCACCAATCCGGGAATTCGTTTTGTCGGGGCCAATCAGGCTGGGGGAATCTCCGTCTCCTCCGCCGCCGCCCCTTTCAAACCGCCCGCGACGGCTGCAGTTGGCATGGACTGCTGCTGCTACTGCCGCCGCTGCTCCTTTTCTCGTCCTCGCCCAAATTTTCCTACTAACCAACTGCTGGTTCTTCCCGAACCGGGTCTGTCGCTCATTGATTGCTTGATTGACGGCTTGATGGACTGATCCATCTTGATTGGGATTGTCTGAAAGCCCCAAAGAAAACCCGCCCCAGGAATGGGTCTCCGTCCCCTGAGTTTTACAGCGGCGCGTGTCATCCTCCCTCACCTCAGACTCGCCGACTCCCTCTAGAGCCCCGTGCCACTCCTGCTCTTGTCGCCATGAGGGTGCTGCGTCGATCCTGAACCCATTGACCAACGATTGTTTCTGATCTTCCCTCTGCCCCCTTCCCGTCTCTTGCCTGTTCTTGTCATCTATCCCGAGAGTTGGCGTTCACCTTGCCAATTAGAGTGCCGCCCTCCCTCATGGCCCCCGGCTGGTCTTCTCCGCCTGCGTCGGGCGCTTTATCGTCAAGCCCAAACCATAATCATTCCCAGTCCCAAACTTATCATCCTACATTTCCAGGGACTGTTGACCCCGGCGCTTGGCCAAGCCCTCCTCGCCCTCCCTCGTCCGCCGCCTCTCCTTCTTCCCCTCCTCCCTCTGCTTCCTTCGTGCGCAGGAAACCAGTACCCCAGGATGCTGTGATCCTGTCGCGCCAGTCCAGGCCTCCCTCTTCGCCCTCCTCGCCCCTGCTGTCCCCCCGGGGTGACTCTGCTGCAGATCCGCCGTTACTCCCTGTCTCCCCCCCTCCTGTCGTCCATAACTTGGACTTCTCCCCTGCTTCGACCTTGTCCTTCCCCGGCTCCGTGTATGAGGTTGACGACGAGGAGGACGAGGATTCCTTTCACTCTGATCCAAGGGATCTGGATAGGTATGACAGCCGTCAACCCTGCTCGTGCCCTTCCCCCCACCCCCCTGCTGGCCCCCCTCGCTTGGCTGCAGTCCCTTAAGCTTATGCATGCTACTTCTGCAGCCTTGGAGAGGGCGTTTCATGTTGCCTTTCCCTTTCAGAAGTGGCAAGACTAATACCGGCCTCTTTCTTCTCTTTACCAGATCTCCCCGTGGTGGTCCGTCCGCGTCCCATCTACGTATCAATACCTCCGCGGCATTCGTCGACGAGGACGACGACGAGAGCAACAACCGCCACAACCATCTCGCCTTCTCCGCCCAGTTCTCGAATGGGACTCCCGTGCACAGCCGTCTTGTCAGCGAGCCGTTTGTTCCCATCCTCAAATCACCTTCCTTTGTCCCGAAGCGGGCTACAACCATGGCCTTGCATTTGCCCACCAACCGTCCTCCCCCGCTACATATAGATTCACCCAGCCGGTCCTCGTCCGGAGACTCCAAGCAGCCCAAAACCCCTGCAAACAAGATCAGCTCCTTCTTCGGCTGGCGCGCTACAACCTCATCCCCTGGCGCAGAGTCCTCCAGCACCGAAATCTCCGAGACCGGTCGCTCCCCGGTGCCCTCCCCGATGCCTCCTTCTCTACACAGCGCTCACTTCTCCATCACTCCCTCCACCACGGTTCCCTTCGATCCCACCAGGCCTCAGGTGCCTCTTCCGCAGCGAAACCCATCGTTGAGCAGTGGGAGTATTCTGGATTCAAAGTCAACAGCTTTGGTGACAGAACTCGAGAATGAACTGCGGGAGATCAGCTCGGAGCTGGCGGGGTCCATCCGGCGGGAGATGGAGTTGGAGGATCTGGTAGAAAGGCTGCAGTCGGATGTCCCCTTAGATACCCCCAATCGCCGTACGAGCGATTACTTTTCCGATTCGGGCTCCAGCTCCATCCGCTATGCGTATGAGGCAGGCGGTCGAATCGAAGATATTGAGAAATATAAACGCACCGCCGAGCAGGAAAGGGCTCAGCTCAAGGTGGATTTGTCTCAAAAGCTGCAAGAAGAGCGAAGCCGTCGAGCGGCATCCGAGGCGCACGTCCAGATCCTAGAGTCGCAGGTTCACCAGGTACGAATCCAATTAACCAACAATGTTACCCCGGACTAACACGCATTAGCTGCGACGAGAGAGAGTAGACCTCTCAGACTTGTCGTCTAGGACGAAAGAGCTCGAAGCAGCATTAGATGGTACCCGTAGAAAGTTGGCGGAAGAACGGCAGATCAAGGACAACTTTGAAGATCTGTTAACAGCAATGAGAGTTGAACTCGAACAGCTGCGAAACGAACGGGACCATCTCCGGGATGACGTTATCCCTCAGTTGCAACAAGGTAGCCAATCGGCCGTCCCTCCGTCCGATCCCTCGGAAGTCGAGCGGCTGCTGGAAGAAATCGAAGCGTTAAAAATCGAAAACGCCTCACTTGCCCAGCTGCAAGGCAGTCGGTTCGCATCGATTGCCGAGGAGGACGGGATGCCAACCTCAAGAAATGTCGGATTGGGCCTGTCGCGGTCGAACTCGCTGGCTCGCGTGCGTACCAAGCCCGGTACGCCTGGCCTGTCCCGGTCGAATTCGGTATCTGCCAAGGAGCGCAATGAGTCTCCCCGAGAAAACCTGGCGGACCGCATCGAGGATGTGGAAGCGCAGCGTGATGCTCTTCACCAGTCTCTTCGGCGTCTGCTTGATCGCCAGGCCCACGATGCCCGGGAATATGAGAAGCGGCTTCAGCTCATGGAGCTGGAGGTCGCCCGCGCACAGCAAATGGGTTCCCCGCGCAAGCTGGGCTACGAACGCGAAGTCCGCAACTTGCGCGAAGAGGTGAATGATCTTCGTCAGCGGGCCGAGGACGCTCTGGAGCAAAAGTGGCAGTGCGAGAAAGGTTTGGCCGGTCTGAAGATGGACCTGGACCGGGCCGAACAGGAGACCACATCCCTGCGTGTACTGTTGCAGGAGCATGACATCACTGTCCCCGAAGACCTCGAGTGCGACCGCGACGGGTTCGCAGAGGTTCTCGCCACGTCCTCGTCCCTGGAGTCGGCTTACCGACAACTCCAGGCGGACCGGGAGATCGCCGAAGCCAGCGCGGCTCAGTCACCCATGGCGGAGCAAGGCTCGCTCGCCGAGTCGGTCAGCCGGACGGAGATGCTCGCGCAGCATGTGCAACGGCAGCTGGCCAGCAACCACGCCCTGCGAAGCCGTCTGGCCGAGGCCATTGGCAAGGGTGAGAAGGAGCAGCAGCTGTCGGCTGCTCGCATCAACGAAATGCAGGCCCGGCTCAAGGAGATGGAGGACATCCTGGTGATGGCGCAGCAGTACTCTGAGGATGAAATGGCCCGTCACGAGGAGGAAGTGCGTGCCCTTGAAGAGAGCCACAATGCGCAGTTGAAGCGTATGAAGAACGGTGCGCGCAGCCCCGCGGCCTTGTCGCCCATGCCTCCGACCACGCCTTTTGGCGCGCGGTCGCCCCGGCTCGAGATAACCACCAGCGGCAAGGGCATGGCTTTGGATGAGGCCATCCAGTCGGAGAATTTGGAACGGCGGGTCAAGGAGCTGGAGAAGCTCCTTCGCGACGCCGATTCGGAAATGGAGGAAGTTGTGAGCCGGATGAACCGGGCGCAAATCGAAGTTGGCGAACTTCAGTCTGATCGGTAAGCAGTCCTGCTCTTGGAATTTCTGGCCAGAATCGTTGCTAACAAGGAACAGGGATGAGGCACTCCGCCTGACTCGCAAGCTCCAGGCCGAAATCATGGCCGAACGCGAGACGTTCAAGGCCCTGATGGGTTGATGTCGATTTCATAACTCCTTGCTTTGCGCTGTATAAAATAATCTCATGGGGCGGTGTTTGGGCGTCGACTAGCGTGAGGAATGTTTTGGATGCGCATGTTTGTTTTGGACGAGGTGCTGCGCATCCTCCGAGGCTTGTATATGGTGACTGGGGTCCATGGCCAGATGGACTTGTATATATCTCACGATCACGAAGTGGTCATGTGTAACCGCCTAGATGTACAGTTGTATACCACCTTGATTGACACGCGAATGAGAGATACGATGTAGATTGTATTATGTAGAAACGACGAGGTCGAGCCCCTTCCTAGTCTAGTCTTATCACGAGATCCACCCCCGGGCGGCTGTTTGTCTGGTTTGGCGCTGCGCTCGGGCGCTAATTGGCCCGCGCATGGGCGCATTGTGCTGGAGCATCTGGCCGTGGAAAGTCCCGAGGAAGATCCCGACTCCTTCATCGACCATCGCTGTCCTTTCTTGGGTTTCATACAATCATGGCAGTTCCCGTTTTATAGGTCCTATATAGCATTAGACCGCTCGCGTTTATCTCATCTACCCGACTTCTCTCCGAACGACCTTCCGTCTACCCATCCTTCAACCCGTATAAAAAACTACGACCGACCGACCTCTCTTCCTCCCCAGCTGTCTCCACCATGGATTTTCTCCCGGGTATGCAATGCCTCCCACCCTCACCACCCTCACCCCTAACCACCGAGGTCTTCATAGAGTCCCTTCTCTCCCTCATCCAACAACATCCGACGCTCCAAACCCTGACTTCCACCCCGATCACCTCTCACCTCGCCACCCTTCATTCCACCTATTTCACACCCTACATATTCAATCTGCGCACCACCTACCTGGACCCCTATCTCATCCAGCCGCTCGCCACGCTCCTCACCTCCTCCATGCCCGACCTCGTCTCCATCATCATCCTCGCTCTCGTCCTCCTCATCTCCCTGAAGATCCTCGACTATGCTCGCCGTCTCGTCATGTTCTGGGTCAATCTGGCCCTGCGCTTGCTGTGGTGGGCGCTGGTGCTGGCCGTCGTATGGTACGTCTATTCCGTTGGGATTGAGAAAACGGGTAGGGATGTAGGGTGGTTCGTGGGTGTTGCGGGGGGGTTTGTCGATGGGTTCAGAGATGGAGTGGAGGGGGGACGTGCCGTGACTGGCACTGCCATGGCGGGGGGGTATGCTACCGGGTTAGGGGGCAGAGGTAGATAGGTTGATCGGGATTATATGATGTTGCGTTGGCAGGTGTTGGGGAAGGGATGGGGTTGGAATGGGGGGCTTATGATAATGACTGCATGGATCAATGGTTGATTTGGGCGGTGTGTGATGTACACTGCAAGGATTGGGAGCATGATAAGAGCAATGCTCATTGGGAAGCTTCGTTGCTACACGGGATATCTATGTAGGAGGGAAAAGTACATGATTGGTGGTGTTTGCATTGCTATTGGGTTGTCTTAGGTATGGTGTAGGTGTCATGCTTGGCAATTACATGATCTTCGGCTCACATTCCTCTTTGTCGGAATGGTTGATCGCCCGATTCCTTCGGTGTCTTTGTTCGTATCTGATACGAATCTCTGCCCTTGGTTTTTTTGGCCCCATCACCCGGTGGGATGCTTATGGCAGACGGTGCCGGCGGTTCCAACGGGGTGGTGTTGTTGTTGTTGCTGCTGTTACTCAGCAGCGGGTTCATCCCGCTGCAACCTAGTTAATATACCTCGACGGAGTATGCGCTAGTCAGGCCCCGATCCTGACGTGATGGCGTAATCGCCGCGGCGCTCAGCCCCTGCCGCTTACAGCTCAATCCTCGTAATCCACTTCTTGGGCGTCCGACGGCTCGCGTGGTTCCTGCGCCTCATGGTACTGAATCGCATCATCAATGTGACTCAGAACCGCCGCAACGCTGTCCTCATCCTGCACGTCCAGCTTGAGGAACGAAACCATACTGAAATCATCAATGAGCTGGCCGACCGCGCGATTCAACTGCTGGAACGACCCGCCACTCAACATCGTATCTTTCGACGATGGATCACCCTCCATCGTCGTCGTCCCCTCCTCGTCCGTACTGCCCAGCAGGTTGTTAATATCCACACTGGTGAACTGCTTCAACTCCTTGCGCGAGATCATATCCCGCACCTGGTCCATCTTGCTCAGAATGTTGACGTGGGGCATCTCCAGCATCAACATGGCAGACATGGCACTCAACGTGCCGGCAAAGAATTTGGCCTTGTCCACGACGAACGTACTCTCGAGCAGATACGCCGCACAGAGACTGATGTTCAGGGGCCCTTGACGCGACAGAAACTGTACCAGCGACGGCAACAGTGGAATGTGCGTGTACAGCTCGATCTGACCGGGCATGTCGAAGATGATCAGGTACTCTTCGCTGAGCGGATCGAGCGCCTCCGAGAGGAATTCCAGATTTTGCAGTAGGAACTCGAAACAGTAGATGAGGCCGCCATTGGGACCGAGTCCTAGCTCTTCCATGACGTCTTCCAAGGTGATGAGTTCGCGGATGTCCAAGTCGGGCTCATAGTTGAAGGTTTCGGCGGCGGGGTCAAGGTTCACGTAGAAGCAGCTGCGTCGGGTGTTTTGGAGGTGTTGGATGATGGAGCTGCAAAATGTGGTTTTGCCCGCGCCCGCGGGGCCCATCACTAGGACGCCGTACTTGGACATGCTGACGGTGGTGGTGGTAGTGGTGGTGAAGGCGCGGGGTCCAGGATGCTGACAAGGAGGGGAAAAGTGAAGCTAGTAGTGGGATCCGTCTCGAGTTCGGAGTTTCACGCACCCAAGAAAATCACCGAAGCTAGAGAAAATCACGCCGTACGGAGTAAGTAAGAGACCCGTAATACGGAGGGCTGGAGGCAGGCTGGAAGGAAAGAAGTTGAGGTTGAGAAAGCCCGGGGACCGTCTGTCAGCGCCGATTGGATCAGCCGCGCATTCGAGGGGTTCCGGTTGGCAAATAGAAACCCGCGGCCGGTGCATGAACCGCTTCGTGCCCTTCTTTTCCTTGCCGTTTTGTTCTTTTGGCCCTTACTTTTTTTTTTTTTCTGCCCCCGCCGACCGCCGGAGGGAATGGCGCCATCGGAGACACATTAATACGGGCCCCCTCTCCTCTTTTCTCTTCTTCCCCTCCTCCCTTTTCCCTCCCTCCATTTATTCTCCTCACTTTCTGTTCTTTATCTCTCCCAGATTCCTTTCTCTCCGTCTTCCTCTTCTCTCCCCCCTCAGTTTTTTTTTCTTCCACCACATTCCCCCTCCACTCTTCACAATGGGCAGCGTTTCCAACGGCTCGACTTTCCTTTTCACCTCCGAGTCTGTCGGAGAGGGTCACCCCGATAAGATCGCGTATGTGCACATAATCAATTTCATCTGGTTTGGTGGATCCGTGCCTGACTAACCTGCCTCTACAGTGATCAGGTCTCCGATGCCGTTCTCGATGCTTGCCTGGCTGAGGACCCTCTCTCTAAGGTACGGCTCCCACATCGGATTATATCGGCTTTTATCGGATTTTTGCGCGTCCCACCTTGTGATTGGCCGACGCTCTCTCCGATACCGCCTCTCCCTCGTGCATGTGAATGTCTGATTAACATGATCTGTTCCCTGTAGGTCGCCTGTGAGACCGCCACCAAGACTGGTATGTTCCCCACCTCATCTAATCTTATCTGAACCATGCACTGACCAACCTGCAGGTATGGTGATGGTCTTCGGTGAGATCACTACCAACGCCAAGCTGGACTACCAGAAGGTCATCCGTGGTGCCATCCAGGACATTGGCTATGACGCCTCCGAGAAGGGTTTCGACTACAAGACCTGCAACGTCTTGGTCGCCATTGAGCAGCAGTCTCCCGATATCGCCCAGGGTCTGCACTACGAGGAGGCTCTTGAGAAGCTCGGTGCTGGTGACCAGGGTATCATGTTCGGTTATGCCACCGATGAGACCCCTGAGCTCCTCCCCCTCACCGTCGTCCTCTCCCACAAGCTCAACAAGGCCATGACTGATGCCCGCAAGAGCGGTGCCATCCCCTGGCTCCGTCCCGACACCAAGACCCAGGTCACCATCGAGTACGCTCACGACAACGGTGCCGTCAAGCCCCTGCGTGTCGACACCATTGTCATCTCTGCCCAGCACAGCGACGAGGTCTCCACTGAGGAGCTCCGCGCTGTCCTGAAGGAGAAGATCATCAAGTCGGTCATCCCTGCTGAGCTTCTGGACGACCGCACCGTCTACCACCTCCAGCCCTCCGGCCGCTTCGTCATCGGTGGTCCCCAGGGTGATGCCGGTCTCACTGGCCGTAAGATCATCGTCGACACCTACGGTGGTTGGGGTGCTCACGGTGGTGGTGCCTTCTCCGGTAAGGACTACTCCAAGGTCGACCGTTCCGCTGCCTACGTCGGCCGCTGGATCGCCAAGTCCCTCATTGCCGCTGGCCTTGCCCGCCGTGCTCTGGTCCAGCTCTCCTACGCCATTGGTGTTGCTGAGCCCCTCTCCATCTTCGTCGAGACCTACGGCACCTCCTCCAAGTCCTCCGATGAGCTCGTCCAGATCATCCGCAACAACTTTGACCTCCGTCCCGGTGTCATTGTTAAGGAGCTGGATCTGGCCAAGCCCATCTACTTCCAGACCGCCAAGAACGGTCACTTCACCAACCAGAACTTCTCCTGGGAGAAGCCCAAGGCCCTCAAGTTCTAAGCGAGTCGCTCGCGGTGACCGTGGACCTGCTTCTCTTCTGAGACAGATTCCGTTACGAATGTGATGATTTTGCTTTGTTTTCAACAACTCAAAGCACGAGCATAGACATGTCAAAAAAGCACCTTTTGATGTTTGGATGTTTGTTCAACTTTTGCATGGTCTCTCTGAGACGGGTTCGGCGAGGATAAATTCAACATGATACCACTTTTCATATACCTTGGGAGGGTTGTTTCGGCGTTTTCGGGAGCGAAAGTCTTCAACACTGCCTCCAGGCTCAGGACCGAGTACTATCTGCGGGATGGCCATCCGGCGTGGTGGCCTGTCCCGCACGGGGGTTCGGACGTGGCTCCGACAGGAGTGACATAGATGGTGAAAGCCATTGCGCTAATCTAAACATTAGCATAGAATAATAATGATGCATACTTGTGCTATACTTAGAGTCGGAGTGTATCGGTGTCGAGTAGATTGTAGGCTAAGTGCAACTACTTGGGCCGTGCCCACTTAGGGTTAGCCGAGTGCACTCAGATCGAACTGCGTGTAAATAGCTTCCCAATCAATACTCTTGCGACACTTTTCTATCTATGTAGTTTTACCGTCTTAGATATGCTTCCTATCCATAATCCATACTCCATGTGTAGAGTACCATACCATGCTGGTAGTACTCCGTAGGCGGCTGCAAATGACTTCGCCCCCTCCGCCGCGACGCGTGACCCAACTCCGCGGACGCGTCGACCGCCCGAACAGAGGGACCTCGACTTTCATCCACCACAACTATCTCGACCCATTGCCCAACCCATTACCCATCTAGACTAGACCAGATCTTCCCTCTTCAAGTTCCTCCGACATCCGACAATGAGCGCATAATCTCATACCACACACCACACCACACATACACATACACATACACATACAGACATACCCATGGCCACCCGCATCTCATCAACAGCCACCGCAACAGCAACAGCCCTCACCCCCATCCCACTCAACCTCGTCCCAAACAATCTCTCTTCAACTCCTAACTCACATAAAAAGCGCAAGACCTCGCACTCAGACAACGATGTCTTCGCAATCCCTTCCACAAGCGCATCGGCTAAGTCGTCGGCGTCGATAACTCCACAGATTAGTATACGTGTATGTATGCCCCTTCTTGTCACTGGCTTGATTCTTATATATGGAAGTATATAACTAATGATAAGATGGCAATGATAGACCCACTCAGATACCCCCTTCCACCTCACACCGATAACCGTCCTCGCGCGCGACAATATCCCGTTTACGTGGGTTGAGTTTGAAACTCATCACCAGCAGCAACAACAGCAACTACCAGGGTGGTTATTCGAGGGGTACATACCTGTTCTGGAAAATGGGTTGGATGTGGTTCTTGCGGTACGGGTGGGTGGAGAGATGGGCGTGTGGGTGGTCGAACGGGTGAAGAGGGGGGTGTATGCGTTGTTGAGGTTGAGGGGGGTGGGGGAGGGGGAGGTCGTTGTTGCGGCGAAGAGTGGTCGTGATGCTGCTGAAAGGCCGAGGGAGAGGCCTGCTGGGGAGTGGTGGGAGGTGGCGAGGGTGGAGGATCCGGGGGATGGGAGGGTTGCATTGGGGAAGAGGGGACGGGGTGTGGATGTGGAGGTTGTGTTTGGGGGGGTGGAAGAGGTACAGGTGCAGGAACTGGAGATGGTGCGCAGTTCGAGTTCCGAAGGGCCGGTTCTGCTGGGGGTTGGGGAGCAGAGTGTTACTGCTGACGGTGTTGAAGGGTTGGATGATGGTAGGGGGGATGGCCTGCAGTCGCCACAGGAACTGCTCGATGGTCTACGGGAGCAGTATCTGCAGGCGTTGTATGTTTCCAAGGTGAGTGCGCTTTTTCATGAGATTTGGGAAATAAATGCTAAGGGATAGACTTCCGTGGCGTATTTCGCCAAAGGCCCTCTGGCACGATGTCGTGCTGCCTTCCAGGCAGGGAATGAGTCGGCGAAACCGGTGCAGTTGGTCGAGTTTTACAGAGAGGCTGTTCTCACGGCCAAGAGGATGGATCACAAGTATCGCGAAACTCTACCATCTACAATTCAGGACCTCCTGCTCAGCGTGTCGGATGACGAGGCGCAGCCGAAGCGCAAGCGCAAGAACTCCAAGAAGAAACTCGGCAAGAATGGGCTGTATCCTGAGGAAGGGGACTTGATTCGCAAGTGGTGGCGGGATCGTGCACTCGACCAGGGTCTTCCGTCGGAGATGTCGAGAGAGGCAGAGTCGAAGAAGCATGTTGCGGATTTGCGGTTGCGCGAAACGCAGCTGCAGATTCTGTTGATTCTCGAGACCATGGCTCTGGAGGCGACTATGGCCGACGAGAAGCACGAGGGCAATGGAGAGGGCACCGACAAGCCTACAAAGAGTGTCAAGAAGCCGCAAGACCTGACTGTCATGCTGGAACTTCACCTCGACCGACTGTGCATCTGGCATGCCGTCAGCTTCGAGGAGACTGTTGTTCCTGACACGGCCAAGAACTACGGCAGCAACCATCTCTCGGGGAAGAAGGTCGAGAGCGATGCCGTCCGTGATTTCTGCACCGAGGTCATCGTCCCGTTCTACGCATCGCGTCTGCCGGACAAGTGCAAACTGATTACACGCAAGTTGGGCGTCTCGACTGCGATCTCGCCCTTTACGAAGCAGCCTCAGAAGGCGACACGGGAGCCGGGAACCCCGGTGGAGCGACAGCACGCGCAGAAGCAGTCTCGTCGTCGCGCGTTCCAACGCGTATTGACGGACCAGGCGCCGTCCCAGACTCGCCATCCCCCATCCCTCACTCGCTCGAACACGACCCCGGCAGCCGACACGAAACGAGACTCGCTGGATCCTCTGCTGCCCACCCTCAGCGCCAATGTGCGCGGCGGCATCCAGAAAGCCAAACGGGTTGAGAACCGCGAGGTGGATCTCAATGCGGTGGCACGCCAGCACGAGACCAAATTGAAGAAGATGCAGATGCTGGTGGAGCAAAAGAAAGAGCTGGACGCTGCGATTCACGCCCTCCGCAAACCGAACCGCGAGCTGGTGGCCAAGGATATTGCCGAAGATGCCGACAAACGACTGACCACCGGCAGTTCCAGGAAGCCCAAAAACCCCGTCCGAAACCCTCTGGGCCAAGGCGTGCAGGTCGCCGCCACGCCCAAGGGGAGTCGCAAGAAGGAGGCCATGGCCATGCCTCTACCGAAGAGTCTCTCTCAACCGTCCTTCAAGGGATCTTCCCCGTTCACGAGCGAGCCGCAGATCGTTCCCGGCTCTAATATCCGCCCCAGCTCAATTTCAGGGCTCTTCCGATCCGCCGACCTCGGGGCGATCCAGGAAACGCCCACGCGGCGGCCGTCGCAGCCACAGACCAGTGATCTGAACGCATCACCCAGTCTTTCAGGACCCCTTTTCCGCGTTCCCAGCAAGCCAGTTACCACAGCCTCCGCCCCGATGACGAAGGCCACGGAAATGGGCCCATCGACGCCGATCGCCGCCCGACACGTGGACGCATATCTGCCCCGAGTCAAATCCATCCAAAGTAGGCCATCAATGATCATGGATACGCCGCCAAAATTGGGTGTGGCCAATACTCCCATTCCGGTCTCTGTGCCTGTGATCACGAACAGGATGCCCGAATCTGGGTCAGGGGAGACCCCTGTGAAGGCCAGCAGCACCAGTATTGCTGCCACTCCAGCACAAGTATTTGCTACGCCTGTGAAAAGTGCCCGGTTAGCCGTGCCGAGTATGTCTGCGGTGCCGGTGACTCCAGAGAAATCCATCTATGCGCAGTTGGGATGGGATGATGATTTTGCCTGATTCTGTTTACTTGTGTGGGTTAGCGGGCGTTCATAATACCTGGTAGATTTATGATGACCATGCATTACATAGTTAATTACTATTCTTTCTCAGTCAACAATCATGATGCTGAACCAGAACCACTGACTGCCACCACAAGAACCTACCTTGCCGAGTTCATCTACTATTCTAGATCAAGTCCACTGCAGAACCTTATACCAATGAAGCACAACGAGCCCCTCGACAACAATAATCACAGACTAAACAACCCCCCAACTCAACACCAAGCCCACCATCCCATACCAACATTGTATCACCCTACAACAACCTCAACACAACCCCCAACCTCCATATACCTATACACAGTACACCCTCCCACCCTCTCTACTCCTACCACCACCCCACTGCTCCCCATAATAGTCTGCTCCCTCCCCCCAACACCATCATCATCAACATCAACATCAACATATCCACCTGCCTGCTGCCACTGCACCCCGACACCATCACATCAACCAAAATAAACAGATCAGGCACCATAACCTCTTTGATATTCTGCAGTATCTCTCAACATTTCTGATCCGGCTAGTCGTGTAGATGTGGCGGTAGTCGAATTTCGCCTGCATTCTGTTAATATATTACAATACCCTACAAAAAAGATAGTAATAGCAGATAGTAATGGGGGATTAATGGCTAGATGAGCTGAACAGGATGATGATGCACCTATTTAACTACGTGATCGATGCAACCGTTGCAAGCAAGGTGGGCGGGTTTCTGGCTGAAGATAAAGAAAAGAAGCATTCTAGGCGGTTGATGACACGCTGTTGGTGGGAAGATACTTTGCAAATACATACAGGACTCATGTCTAACTGGGGAAGTATAACTAGTCTGCTCGTAATTCATGTCGACGCATTAGCAGCATGTTCTTCCTACATAGTATGTTGGTAATCTAAAACCCATAGTTAGGGCTACGGCCTGGAAGGAAGGGTATAGGGAGGTGGCTCAGATTCCTAGTCTTTTGCCAGTCTCTTAGTTCGGTTAGTAGGTTTGCTTTGCCAAATGTACCTAGGCGGGTCTAACCGTGTACATAGTCAGTTTTCTCAAGGGATAGAAGAATTGATTGAAGTTTCTAAGTACGTAGGGGGAGTGGTTGATTTACATCTCTAGATGTTATGCGTTACCTCGCAGGCGTTAATCTATTCAAGTTTGAATAAAGGAACGGAATGAATATCATGAATATAATAGTACTCTCGTAGGTAGGTTAATACTTTTAGTGTACTCCGTAGTGAGTATGATATTTAAGGATAAGTATAAGTACTATAATCCACCATTCATACTACTCGTACTACTATGTATAATAGAGGAGATAATATTAAAGCAAGCACGTCGTACTTCATCCCTCCCGATCGATCGAATCAAAGTACGTAACCCTGTGGCTATGAATCCGAAATGGTGGATCTCGCCATTGCGCATCCCTACTCCATGCAGATCTTAGTTCCGTCTGGTGGCAACTGGCAATACCACTCACTCATCTACCCGCTCACTCGCCCCATCATCATTGTTATCGTCATCACCATCATCATTATCATTTTCTTGTCAGTACGTAGTATGATCTAAATAGGTATCCTCGCTTTACTTTCTCTCGCTATACCTGCCCAATTAAGGCATTCCTATCATGGTATCGATGTTGTTGGGTGATTGCTGTAGTGCATCATGCATCACGCCACGCCATGCCAGGCCGCGCCATGTAATGCTGCCACGCCACATCCTTTCTGTCTACTGGTTTACTTCTCTGGTTACTTCAGTTGATTACTTACTAGTGATGTGTGTGTATGATGTAAATAAGTCACGCATTAAACACGTTGGTTTAATTCTGGTTTTACGTTATGTCTTGTGCTGTAAGTACATAGTAGTGGATGATGTGGATATGTACAGGGATTGGCTGCAGAGGGATGTCCCTGCCGGTGGGTTCGTGAGATTTATTGATTGGATCCTTGCATTATTACCTAGATAGTATGTACTATGTAGATACTGGCTGGTACAGGGTATGGAGTACGAATACGATTAAGTGCATGGGTACGTGGCTTGCCTGGAATTACTCTACTATGTATCTATGTAGGGTATGAGACTGCTTATGGTTTGGATCGGTATGGATATTATTATGTACGAGATATTCTGTATATGTATAGTGTGTGGTTAATGGAGTAGACAACGGATAGAATCATGATAGATGTAGTATTTATTGATTGACTTTTGCTAGATACATATGGTCCTTCCAATCTAACTGGTAACTCCGATGATGTGGTGATATTAACCTTCCAACTCCTAGCTCGTATGGACCGATAATGAGTGCTGTGACTCCGCCAAGTATGTATGATGAATGAGATGATATTAAGAAATTCGTAGCTCGTGTCGTCGTGATTATTAGATTATGTTGTGATGTTGTGAGGTGGGAAGTGGTGTGGTGTGATGTGATGTGGTGAATCAGCCGGCAATGCGCACTGGCAGACACTGGCCAGGTGAAGGCCAAAAGTGTTTCCGTTGGACGGTCTTTTCGAGACAGTTGCGACCCTTTTCGAGGAGTCCCTCTTCCTTCTTCTCTTCCTTCTTATCGGTCTTATCGGTAGAGACTGCAGGAGCAGACACATGGAAGCTGACGTGGACAGTGGTCTTCTCTGTCGTCTCGGCCGGCTCGTCCTTGGAGGTCCGATCCTGTTCCTCATCCTTGCGGTCCTCGGGACCCTTCTTCTTGTCTTCGTCTTCACGGTCCTCCTCCTCACTCTCGGACTCGTCATCCTCCAGGTCGAACGAGTTGATGCGCGTCGTCATGTCCTTCTGAGCCCACTCCATCGACATACAGTGCAGACGGAAGTGACCGAGACAGCGACGAATGTCCGGATCCGGAGCCGTGGCCTCCCGGGCAAGTTTCTGGCGCGACAGGGTGGTGAGTTTGTAGGGAAGAGAGGACTTGTCGGCGAGGGGAGGCCAGCGCTTATTCATGGAGGGGTTGTTGGAGGAGAGAGGAGAGGAGGAGGGCTTCTTAGGCATGATATCGATTGCGGTGACGGCCATTGTAATTGTGACCAGTCTAGTAGTCTAACTACTGGGTATGTGGTGATGAGTCAAGGGCAATTGGTGGGGGGGGCCAGTATAAGAATGCGGAGGGAGATGACTGGAGCCGACTGGCGAGGGGATGGAGGGGTTGAGAATTATTGGGGGGAAGAATCTGGAGGGGAAGAAGAAGAAGACGGACGAGGAGAAAAATACTTAAGGGGAGAAGGCGGCGGTTGGGTTTGACTGGGTTTGGCTGGATCGTGACCGACGGAACGCCCAAAAGAGCAATCCGTCCTGGTGACCATCTGATCTGGCAGATTCTGCAAGCGGTTGATCCCCGGGTCTAGACTGGGCCTCTCCTATCGTCCTCCGTATTCGACGGTATGCTGTACCACTAGCCGTATGTATCGGTCAGTCCACCTGCTGTTCGCTGTTCAGTGTCCAGTGTCCACGCTGGTCGATGTCTCGTGTTGTACTTCTATGATGGGGTGATTTACGTGTCGCAAAGTCTACCACTCTGCTAGTTTGGTGGGATGGATTAAACTTCCGGGGTATGGGATGATAGCAACAGGTGTGACCGAAGAGGTATGTAGGAGGCATACACAGTAAGCAGGGACTGAACAGGAAAAGAAAAGAAAAAGGAAAGGGCCTCGACTCGACTCCACCCGCAAAACTGGTCGGGCAGCTGACCTCGCAGTGGGGCCGGGTCTGACGGCAATCCGTGGAATGTTCGACGCCGGGGGTCGTCCGCCCAGTCTGGCTCCTCGCTATTTGGTGACTATTAAATGGTGTCCTCCAGATCCCATTCGTGGCAGCCCTCAGTTACCCGTTCACCTTTACGCAGTAGGTTATCGCGACAACGTTCCCCCCGTCTCTGGTTCTGATAGATGGCGCAATATGGTTATTTCCAACGCGACCAGCCATGTGCAGCTCCAGAATCCGGAGACGAACACCCTCCAGTAGGAACGGTAAGGGATGGACAGGTCCGCCCCGGTGATTGGCCGCGCGGTGCGGGGTCACCATCCAGCTGGGATTAGGGGGGTTGCTAAACTCAGTAACACTATGCCTGATCAGGGACTAGGGCAGCCCTGGACAGTTAGGGTTGCAGGGGAAACGCTGACTGAGCGTGGATTGTGGGCCGTGGAGTTGGAACGCACATGATAAATTTACGGGGGAATTCATCCGGTATCAATAGTCCTTCCATTAAGACGTGATCAGCTGGACACGCGTTGGTTTCAGATTCATCTGGCGTCCTTCTAGTCCTCCGCCTCCGTCCGCCTTCTCACCGACCGACGGGTCCTTCTCCTGAGCAACCGATGGGTGGAAAAGTCTTTTCCGTCCGTCCGTTAGTCAGGTTTCCGGGCTAGTCGAATTATTGCCCGTGAGTCAGCGTCGCTGCCAAGGCATGACCGATCAGGCCAGGCCAATCTAGTCCATGATGTCAAGACTCCGCGATGTTTCCCTGGCACCCCATACATTACTTCATCCATTCATCATTGTTCACTGTGGAGGTTCCATTGACACCATCCCCTCTGGTACGGCTTAAGCTTATCTTTGCTCCTGCCCTTGCGGGACTGTGTATCCTCGTACTGCTCCCCGTGGGTCTGGCGATATCCATCGCCCGTGCGTCTGCCCAGCATCCTTGGGTTGATCCGTCACCACTCGGGATTACAGGATTGATTCCTAATGGTGGGCATTAACCTCGGTAGCCGCGGAGAAGACTCGGGATGAGAACGGGGACCATATCCAACTCGTCTGGGGTAATCTGCGGAACCGAATATCCCGACAATGTCATTGACTCGTGTCCCAAATATGGGCTCGCATCCAGTCAAGGGATCATGATAACCGAAGCCGGTCCATGCGCATCAATAGCACGAGTGATGCTCCGTTTCTTTCCGCCACTGGCAGCCGGAAAATCCTCGTGATGACGGATGTCGTTCGTTTAAGCTCCTGATGTGGTTTGTTCAATTTCCATTACTAGCGTGATCGAGATCATCGTATTGTCCATGTTGCTTGCCTCCGGAAACAGTGCCTTCGTCATGTACTTGTCAATGATCACGATATCTCAGGTGGCACCTACAGTATCTACATAGTACATGTGGAGCTGAGCTGCCCCATGGATTGTCAGTTGGTCACCAACGTGCCAGATATTCCATGAGCATTGACGTGCTCTTCGATTGAGCATGATGTAAATACTTGCCACAATTCAACGGTTCTATGCCTGCAGCTCTGGCAACATTGAGGCAAAGAGTCGGTGGCATGGGTAGCAGGCCACTCAAAGTCTAGCCTACGAGAACGTCCAGCTTGGTCTAGGCCGTCTTCTAGATGCCGTTCTGATCAATTGGTAATCTGGAGCTGACATGAACTATCTAGCTAAACTAGCAAAGAACTGAACAGCAACTAACAACTCTGTTCTAGTGTCTGTCAGCGAAAAGCGTGCGTACGAAGGGCATCGTCGTTCATCGTCGTCCATCCTCGTCTGCGCTTACATCATGCTCAACCTGGAGCTATAGACAACTAAGGTTGTATTGTAATGTCAACCGTTTATTGCCCCTTGATTCAATTAGGACACTAACATGATTGTCCTTTCCTAAGCAATGATGCAACCAGCAACAGGGCTATGACACGTGATGTTCTGCTATACGAGTCTAGCCAAAAGTACCGCCAGCCTACGGGTACGAACGTAGGTCGATCGAAGATGGCATGAGGCTACGTAGGATCTGCGTAGTCCGAGTGGCCAGACGCTATACCTACATAGTATCTATCATCTGGGTATCCCATCCCATAATACTATGTACACAATCTCATGGTTTATGTTTGTGGATGTATGGCATGATAACGGTTAATCTCTGACAATACCAGGCTGGGCTTGTTTCCATGGCCTGACATTGAAGTTGCAATCACAAGACAAATTTTCCACAAACGGGTCAGTCAACATTTCAGACGTGATTGCTTCAAGCGGAATGGCCATCTATCCTCGAACTTACGCATCCGGTAACGAGCCCAACCGTATGCCTCACTGCTTTCTTTGTTCTTTGGCATCATAGCATGGCGTCATGCGGATCTCAAAACTGGATCAACCAATTGATCCCATGCCGTCAGCCACCCTTCGTATAACATGATTCTGACGCGCAAACTCTCGAGACCCCTGATGTGACTGGCTGATGGTAGAATGCAGTCGCCTAGCGACTACCAATGGAGTGGTATTGATACGAACATCATCTTGCAGCTCAATGGGCTTTTGATGGCCTAGATGTGATGGAAGAGGAGTGGGTATCGAGGGGGATCGAGGATCGAGGATCGTATGAGACCTACGCATATACTTACATCAGGCTGAGTTCGATCTCTGACGTGGCAATATCGTCAGGATGACAATTTCTCAGGAAAGGAATGATATAGTTGATGCTTGTCTCGACGGGTTCGGGTACAGATGCGGGTGAGGCTTAAGTGAAGCTCAAGTGAAGCATAAATGAATACTAGATGTGGGACATCTCTACCTTCTACGCCAGTAGCCAGAAAGGATATACTCTTCTTGGTCTACGTGGTAGTAGTAGCTTTAAACTAAAATATTCCGGAGGTTGGACCTCACTATGCTCACTCATTTCATGTTATCTGGCATGACCGTGTTCTCTAAAGGTCACTTGGATCTAGTTGGCAGTAATTGTGTTCGAATAGGAATTCCCGAGATATGGTTAGGCTTAACATTGTTGCTAAGAAAGTTGTTGTCTGGGTCTTCAAGTCCTCAGATTAGCATCACTATTCACATTCTGCATATCCTGAACAGCGTCGTCATACGGGTTCATCATCAGACCTCAAATCTGCCTGCGATGTCATCGCTTGGCAAAAGAGCCAGGATATATATCTCATCTCTAGGAGCTATATTGAAGACAATAACGATCCTAGAGCCAGAGGCTTGCAGCACTGGTGATCTTGAATAGCATTGGCATACATGAAGCCTTGCTATATAGATGACAAGAAGCCCAATAGCAACCCATCAATCAACACTAATGTTCCTCTTCAGCCACTTGGGGACTGATTCAACTGGACATGAAACCCTCAACTCTCATCATTTCAATCAGCCGATATCCACAATGTATACAGCTATACATTTAGACAATGCCCAAACCATCCCAAGAGCATTTGAATTAAAATTGTAACCCATTTCCATCTACACAATTATCTTACAGAAAACCTACAATTCCAACCACACTATACTCCGTACCTGATACTGTAACTATGGTGGCAAACCCACCCTCCTGTCCTTGGTTCCCATGAATCAGTGGACCATTAAACCACCTCCTACTTCCAACCTCCATCTCCACGATCCTCAACCTACTTCCATCTATCCATACCTACCCCCTCAATACATCTCACCATGTCCACTTAGTTATACATAGTATAAAATACACACAATGAACCCTCCCCAACTACAACGACCGCCAAAACCAACACGACCCCAACCAACCACCCGTTGGTATCCCTCTCATTCTTGCCATACAACTCTCCTCCGGGAAGAAACCCGCACTGGTACTATACAAATCACTCTCGAAAGGAACAATGTGGTGAAAAGTACTTGGTGTCGATGGTACGGGTTGGACCATGTACCTGACTAGATTGAGGGATGGGGAGTGGTAGTGTAAAGAATTATACTTGTTCGTTGAGACAATAAGTGAGAGATATCGGCAGAATATTGGGGGTTCAAGGCGTCAGAGCTCTCACAAGTCTATATCATACCCGTCTCTATCTGCGAGGTCTTGGTTTCATTCTTGTTTCTTTCTGGGGTGGTTCTTTCTATGTAGCTTCTGTTATGTTATCGAGGGATTAGTTCTTGTTACTATAAGTGGGTAAAGGGATATATAACTTGCTAACAAGCATTAAATAAGTCACATACTCAATGCTAAGCATGCATTGATTACTTTTGGTATATTAGTACTTGTTATACTAGCTAATATACGACCCCATCCCATCCTAAGACAGACAGAAGATTTAGTATATTCATTTCTTAACCTCCTCGGTACTTATTCACAACTCTTTAGATATGAAATAATTGAGTCTTGATACCGTACTAATCACCACTAGATGAGACCTACTATCATGATAACCATAACCCATATACTCCCCTACCTATCTCGTACCACCCAACCCCCATACCCCAGAAACCAACCCAACCCAACCCACCCCGACATCGCAACTCCAACGGTCCTGCTTATCGATTTAACGTAGTACCAAATGTGGCTTAGATCCGCGTAACGTAGTACATGCAGTCCAGAATGAATAC